TTACAGCTGGCTGTAAACTACGGGTATTAAAACAGCGACCACGTCGTTCCGGAAAGTATATGGGCAACGATAAATAAAATTATGCAAAAGAGGCAAGCTATCATGTGTAAACTTTACTAGCTCGTACATTCTTGTTATGTGTGAGGCTTGCATACATTACGTGATGCAGCCTTTGAGATGTTTTATAATTAGTTGTTTTAAAATAGTTTTATTTATTTAATTCTAAATTAAGAACTTCTAAAAGTTAAAAGCTGTATTTGGGTGCAGATTTGAAAATTCATCAAAAGCGTATTTTTGGGGGGATCGAACTGTTTACAAAAATACCCTTGCCACAGCAAACCTGCCGACTAAGCGAATTTCCAGCTGCCCAAATTGAATTTCAATTAAATGTATTTAATTAACATTAGGTTTTATGAATACATAGGCTTGCTGCTACAAGGAGGGTAAAAAAGTGTGTTTTTTAGTAAAATATTAATAACTTAGTATAAAATAAATAAATTTACCAAGTTTGATAAAAATATATCCATAAACAAGTAAACTACAACATTTTGCAATATTCTCCATAAGAATAATATGGGAATTTTTAAATAACTATTTTTTGAATTTTCTCCGTAACCAATAATGGTACAAAAACACCTTGATATACTAAATATTTTTTTTAGCTCTATAAAAAGGTCTAGAGAGAAATTGTGATTTTTTTTTAGAGGGTCATAAATTAGAAAAACCAATTTTTACCCCATAAAACCCCCCGTAAAACCCGTTCCAATGGTCCGATCATGCTGGTTCGCGAACTCCTTCAAGTTTATCCCGCCTTACACCTTCAAACCAAAAATCAAAAACCAAAAACTTCATTAAAATCGAACCAAAATTACTCAAGTTATCGTGTTCAAGGACACACATATATATAAACTTGAACGAATGGTGTTTTTGGCCTCTAGGGACATCAAAATGAAAAAGTAAATCGGTCCCGGGCCTAGGCCTTAACATGCCATCTACGGTAATAGCTACTTCCCTGTAGGAAAATTTGCTAAAAACCATTTTTATACAACATAAAGTAAAATAAATATGTAAGAACAATTAATAACCGTTTTATAAGATGAGTGTCACACCAAATTTATTCGAACGCTGTCCTATATGGTTTCTTGACATCACAGAGAGACCATAGGATGGTCTATTGTCTGTGATGATATAGTTTAAGTGTTTATATTATTATGAAGCGATGGTTTATAAAATTTTACCTAGTTCATTCAAAGTAAAAACTTCTATTCGGGTTATAAGAATGGTCAGAAAAAATACTTTTATAACCTCAACTATATGCTACGTTAACCATTAATAATTCTCCATATTACCATAGGATAACCACGATCCATCTAACTACTAAGTCAATGCTACTGCTCTATATATTTTTTTAGTTTTCTTCAATAAATATAAGACCTACCATGAATACTAAGATAGAATATTCTAACGTGATAACTAAAAGCGAAATTGAAACCCAGCTTAGTAATGTTGTCTCTAACAACTTGGAAATGTGAACGGATATTTCCCAAGAGAGATTGTTTATTGATTTTCAGTAATTCATAGTCAATGTAACGCGTGGATTTAGGACCTCATGTTTTATGTAGCGAAAAGCTCGTCCGATTCATTTCCGGGCCTATTTTATTGAAAGCCGTCATATCTTTGGTAGTTTTTTTGGCCAGAGAAACAATGTACTTTATTTTAAGGAGGATTTTATAAAATTACCAGTACCGGTACAGTACAAAGTATCGGGTTGTTAGTTTCAGAATAAGTTCAAATCTTTGCAAATTAGTTAAAACTACAGGGTGAGGCAATGAAAGCGTCCCAATTTATAAATAGTGCAAACTCAAAAATATCTACCCTATAATAATAAATAAATATACTTACCGAAGTCATTTTTCCCATTTCTTGAAAATAAAATCCTGCAAGTGACGTCCTCGCTCTACTTGGCTTTTTAGTCACTTGTAAACTCCATCAAATACTCCTCCAGCATTTCTTTAGGAATCACTTTTTTTTGACAATTCTTAGCTTCGGTTCAAGCAAATCTGTAGGGTGACTTTGAAAAAATCTCGAACTTCAAGAAGCTTATCAGAATAACCCCCCCCCCCCCCCAAAAAAAAAGAGCCAACGTAAAGCTTTCAACAACAAAAGCTTCCTGGCTCTTTGGACTTCGAGTTACTGCGACTCGCACTCTTTCAACATTTGCTGGTGTACAAAGAGTTCTGCGGTACACGCCGATTATTTTTAGGGTTTAAGCTGTTATCCTAAATCATTTTACCCAGTTCCCAATATTGTTTCCCAATCTGGAACAGTGCCATTTTGACCAAGGATGAAAAATGTGGTCCAAACAATCTTTGGGTCTTTGCACAAAATTTTAAAAATAGGTTTCCACATCCAAATCTCAGTGTTAAGAGCCTTAGGCATAATGTTTACTAAAATAATTGCATAGCTGTTTAATTGCTATTATAAGCACAGCTGTTCATTCATTTTTGCTTTACTTATAGTGTGACAACGAAAGAAAATCGGGGTGCTCTCACTCCTTCACCCTGTACTTTGACTCCATGTCAAATTCAGACTGTTCCAAAATAATATTATTCTTACTCGTTGTATGGGGAGTGAGCTGGTCTAGTGGTAGACGGTGCATCGGGGCTTTGGTGCCCGAGGTCCCGGGTTCAAATCCTGGCTATCGCCAATGGATTTTATCTATGTGATAATGCCACGATCTCCTCTAGACCTAGCCTGAAGAAATGTGTAAAAAAGTTACAAACTAGAGCCTATGATGTGAAGGTGGGTCAAGAAAAACTAAAAGAACTCGTGAGTAGAGAATTCTTTTAACACGATACTACTGTATAAATGCTTATTGAGATACCGTACATCATCGCGTTTACGGACACATATATAAATCTATATATAACATACATACAATTTTGAACAGATGTCGTTTTTGGCTTCTGGGGACATCAAAATGAAAAAGTAAATCGGTCCTGGTCCTAGGTCTACTTACCTATAGGGAAATTCGCTATCAATAGCTTACTGGGTAGCTAACTGATAACGTGCACTCATTCATCTACTGATGAAAGGGATTTTGGTTTTAAACTGAAAAAAAACCTCTAGCTTCTAGCTATATTGCATTTTTGGATAGGCAATTTAAGAATGGACCATCTGTAACAAAACATTGCACTTCACCCAAACAGCTGGTATATTTTAGATCTATCTATCTATCTATCTATATATTAATAGGCAAGCATGTTTCTTTAAAACCTTTTTTCTCAGCTCGCGTGTATCGTAGGAAAAATCTACGCATACCGTTAGAAAGCTATTTTCCTGTAGGTGTGCAGAATCCCTTTATAAATTAAAATAGGCTCAAAAATAAGCACAAAAAATGAATTTGAAATTTAAAAAAATTAACATGGGTATTATGGGTTGCTATGGTGATGACGAAATAACAACACAATATAAACAGAAAATCAAAACAAATGGAAGACATTCCAATCACATGTTTTATTTACAGTGTGGGGTGAAAATAGAGAAGGTTGTACAAAACATACTTTTGGTCGATTTTTCTACCACGGGGCGTGCTCTCGTCAAAATTAATGCGTGGTTTATTGTTTGAGTGCCGAGAGATGGTGCATTTCGCAGTTTTGTTCTTAACCACGCAACATTCAAATAGCTGGTATATGGTACAAACAAGGAAGAAGGTATAACTGAAAACCACCTGAAAACCCGTAAAACGTAATCGATTGATTAATAAATACCAGGTAGAATTAGAGTTTTAAATAGGTAGGCCTACTTTTGTTATGAGTAACAAAATTGTCAACAAACGCACCCTGAACAGCCACCTCTGCAATACAGTTCCATGGTTGAGTGTCCATTGGTTACGTTTAAATAGAGTAGAAATAATCAATTGTTCAAGTACCGGTATGCTTATGTAAACTAATTGTTTTTCCATATTGTGTTTGGATTTTATAAAGTTAGCTATAATCTTTGTTAAAAATATCAAAGGGCAAGCAATATAAATAGAATTGTTTTTAAAAGTGCCCTCAATGATCCGCATTAATGACAAATTTATAAGTAGGAATCAAATCGTAATTTAAACAACTTTAAACTATTATGACGGAATAAAACTATTTTCTGTTGATGCTAAAATTATAATATGTTAATGTTAATGGAACAATTCCAGTGGCGATTCCAAAGGTGGCTAAGACCCCCCCCCCCTATCATGGACCCTGGGTAAACAAATTTAAAAGTTCATTTCGTCGTCCCTAAAACGTAACCTAGGGTTTTTTAATACAGTTCTAGACCTAAAAAGCTGTTTTAGAAAGTCACCAAACTGTTTTAAAAATACAAAATTTTCCATAGACAAATTAGGGGTTAGGGAGGGGTGGCTGAAACCCTCTCTTCTTGGAGGTTGTGAGACAGCCACCTGGAGAGTTTAGCTCCTCTTGACAAGGTCCTGTAATTACCACTGAGTCGAGTGCTGCTTATTCCCCGACAGTACCATCACTTAGAATGAGCGCGTATTGTAAGATCATGAATGGTAAGGTAAGACAACATTTTGTTAGAGTGTATCGTTTATTGAAGATTCTAAATTCCAAGATAAGTAATTGTTTATTCATAGAAAACTAATCAGTTTAATTATTTATTGTGAATTGTGAAATGGGTTTTCTTTCTGACAATAACGAATAAAGAGTAAGTATAAAGACAAATCTTTTCGCTTTAAGCTCATTTAATAGTGAACAATAACCAACAGGCATGACATACAAAGTATGGCTAGAAAAACAGACTCCGAATTGTAATTAGGATGTAATGGCTTATTGCAATATCTAACTACAATAATCCCAGATAAGGGCTCTAAAACTTACTGGATTTTAATTTTACTAGTTATAGTATTGCAAAAAATCACAGCCTTAGAAACCAACAGCTAAAGTAAACAGCTGAGTGAAATCGAAATCATCAAGCTGTAAATTGGCGTCTGCTCTGCAACAGTCAGCGGCTGCGCCATTGTTTTTGTTGATCCTGCGTTGTAGGCAAGGAAAATTTATTAATTTTGCTCTGCATCGGAGGAGGATTTCAAAATGGCCGGATCATTTGCGTTATCGAGGGTCTCCCTGCTGCCGAAGAATAGCTTAGGTGAGCTTTAATGCATATTTTTTAACGTCGAAATATTTCATCATGGTGTTTCAATGTACTACACAACTTGGAATGCGATGGCGCTTCAAGGATGTTAATAATTGAACGTTATGTAAGACACGGAGAATTCCACTCTCTATGCAAAATATTTGTGTGTAGGCCCTATTTATGCCTAAGCACTATTCAATTGATCTTAACTATAACATAAACTCTCTTCCCTAAAAATGTGATACTGCATTTTTAATAAGTATTTTATGCCATTGCAAAAATTCTGACCTTGTGACCTCCAGGGCCAAACAGTCATTGGTGTATTTTATATTAATTTGTAACATGCCCTATGAATGTTTTAGACCCAACGCAATGTGCAAAAGGCAGAATATTTCCATTCTAATTGCTGTATTATTGAACGTCATTTAAAGCTTAAGTTTAGGCCTAAGTTGTTTTACGTAACTTAAACAACATTAAATTGTAGGTATTTAGATAGCCGGTAGAACTTTGCTATAGCCTAAGGCTCCTTTTTTATATTAATACGATTTAAAATAACGTACAACGTCTTGGGTCTATAGTCTAGGACAATGGAGTCGGATAAGAAAGCTTAACGAGCCAAACTATTAAGTTACTTTCTGTGCCTATTTGTTTCATTATTTTCATTTAGGTTATTTACCTAGAAGTAGCATTCAAAGTCTTAAACGCAATAGCCATAAGTTCAGAAAGTTTTCAATTTCATTAAATAGCCTCACTTAACTTTCTCAACTCAATTTTAGACCTAGGCCTATATTTATTCAGAATTCATTGATTCTCACAAACAGGGACTCAAACTGTCAGGCGAATGTAATCACTACCTGCCCTGTGTACCTATACAAATATTTTAGGCTAATTAAAAATTATATATCAATTGACCAGATGTAGCCTATTTAGGATTCTTTGACAATAGGTAGTCAACTCGTTGAAATTTGTAGGCCTACCTCCAATAGCCTACAATTTTATCTAAATTGGCAATCTTAAGTTTAATGCAAAATTATTGCCATTTATTCTCTTTGAGCCATAGTCCTTCATGATCAATTTATTTTCTTGAATGTTCCTAGTTCTCTTTTAACTTGGTGTGCGTTTAATGTTTCTATCCTAAGGTACCTATAATAAAAACTGTTCATGTTTTGTTAATAGGCAGTGTTGGAGCCAGCCTAACACAAGTAAGACATTTTGCTGATGCTCCGCCGCCACAAACCAAGGTTTGTACAGGTTTTAAAGATGTAACTGTAAATATTATCTGTAAAAACCAAATATTTATAATAGGCTAAGGCTACTAAATACTATTTAGTAGGCTAAGGAAGACTAAGAGATTGATTGGTCCTACTAACCTGAAACATTCAAGTTAGTGTTGTAGGCCTTGTAAATAAATTGGTATCTTAACGCAAGTTGAATAAAACATATAAGTTTCTAATGATCTACACTCAAGGTAAACCTTCTAACTTAACAGTAAAATCCTTAAAACCCCCATTAACCTTTGTGAATATGAGGTCTAGTGTATGGTCTGCTAAGATGCAACACCGCAACCGTTCCGCCTGTACCCGGCACCCTGACTCTTGCCCACCAAAAAATATGCAAATATAACTGTCAACATTTAAAATTTCAATTACAGTTTAAGTGGGGACCCTGTCACATATTTTAAGTTATTCATTGCCTCTCTGAAAAATAACCGAAATAGTTTATAAGTAACATGATTGCATATTTCTTTGTTTCTAGTACGGTAATCCTGAAGGATTATTTTCAGTAAGAACCTTGATAGTGTATATTTTAGATTTGATGTGTTGTTTGGTAATAGTTCTGTATTTCAATATATTTATCGGTTCAATATTTCAGACAAAGTTCGGCCCATTGGCCGATGAGGACCGTATCTTCACCAACCTCTACGGACGACATGACTGGAGGCTCAAAGGAGCTCTCAAACGAGGAGACTGGTACAAGACCAAAGAAATACTTCTCAAGGGGCCTGACTACATCATCAGTAAGTCTAGTTTTTGAATTGTAGCCCTTTAAATATTTAATTTGCCACTTAAATTTAACAATAGCCTAACCTAACTGCCTTATGGACTCAAAGTTGGAATATATTTCTTTACTTAGAGAATAGAGTTTACAAAATAAATCCTGAAGATAGAGATGGTGGTTTTTGTTAGGTTTCTAGGCTTGCATTGTTGTATCAGCAAGTGCTGGTGTTTCTTATTCAAAGAAATATTGTAGTGTTACTGACAAGTAATATACAATTGATCCCATTACTTAAGCCATTTATCATGACGAGGAAGAGCAGAGGACCAAACCCAGAACCCTGTGGTACTCCATTTGTATATTTTTGTCAACATTGTTTCAAAGTATCCGTTGGTTTGTGCCTGGGTTATAAATATTGTTTCAATTTCAGATGAAGTGAAAACATCTGGGTTGAGAGGCCGAGGTGGCGCCGGGTTTCCAACTGGAATGAAATGGAGTTTTATGAACAAGCCTTCTGATGGCAGGTGAGAATTATCTTATTTTATTGGTGCTGAAGTATGCAAGGTATGATATACCCTAATAAGTTAGGCAAGTGCCATGGCAAGCATCAAACTATGTGGCTCCACCAAACTCATACAACAAAGTAAAGAAATGAATATGCTGTAGGCCTAAATGTTTGTGACAGCCCAAAATCACTGCTCATAAAATAGCAGAAGTAAATTGCAGCCTCTAGGTAAATGTATAAAGAGAAAAATGATAAGATAATCCTGTTGTAAAAACTAAAAACCTGAAATTGAGCATCTCTTTTTGTTAAACAAGAAAACTATTTTATAAAACGTTTGAAATTTCTTCTCGGATTATTTAATTTCATTTTTAAAGCGTACTAGCTGTAACCCGCGGGCTTTGCCCCGTTTAACTTCTTAATTTTCAAGATGATCTCGTTCGCATGGCTCAATCACGTCCTGGTTGAAGTTCGTTCGCTACGCTCACTCACCTTTAGGTTGGAGCTCGTTCGCTACGCTCACTCACCTTTAGGTTGGAGCTTGTTCGCTGCGCTCACTTGCCTTCAGGTTAGCTCGTTCGCTACGCTCACTTGCCTTCAGGTTAGCTCATTCACTACGCTAACTCGCCTCCAGGTTGAAGTTCGTTCGTTGTGCTCACTCACCTTTTGGTTGCAAATTAGCTGTTGTCATAAATGTAAAAGAAATAATAGTGCTGCACCCTGTTGGTAATCCTTGTAGGTAACTTTAATGCTATTGAACATCATAGAACAGAACCAACTTGTTTAATTGAAACAGCTGTTAAGATTCATTAATTACATTTCTCATAAGGTTAACATGGAAAACTCCAGAGCCACTGGGGTGGAGCCGATTGGACGGATCACGAAATTGATGGTGTATAAACCTATTCCATGAAATTCTACACGTATGTACCAAGTTTCGTGGCAATCGGTTCAGCAGTGTCTGAGTTTATCACTGCTAAATATATATACAAACATCCTCTTTTATACTTATAGATAGTTTTTGCCCAGAAGGTTTTTAAGATGCCTTTTCACTTTTGACTTTTTCAACTAACCCCAATAAAAATCTCATCCTGGGAGCTGTTGTTTCTAATAACAAAGCAGCTCATAGGCACAACATACACTCTTCACTCACACAGGTTTAATCACTAAAATATATACCAAGAGTAAAAGTTGATTTTCCAAATGACATACGTATATCTAATTCCTACAACCCTCTAGGCCCAAGTACCTGGTTGTGAATGCTGACGAAGGAGAGCCAGGAACGTGCAAGGACCGAGAGATTATGCGTCACGACCCACACAAGCTGGTGGAGGGCTGTCTGATCGCAGGTCATGCCATGGGCGCCCGAGCTGCGTACATCTACATCCGAGGAGAGTTCTACAACGAGGCGTCTAACATGCAAGTGGCCATCAGTGAGGTAGGTGACAAATTGGACAGTGTTTTTGTCATTTATAAATGATTACATGTATTATTTGATGCCCTTTGTTGGTGTTTGTGAGTTGATAGACTCCTTTATAATATTGTTAACTTCAGGAAATAGATTTTACAGTTAAAATGTAAAATGTTAAAATGTGTTTACTACCTATATAATTAAACTAATTTGTATTTTTGGCTGATTTAGTAGTCGAAATTTAAATTAAGTCTTGAATACCGTAGAACTCCAAAAATTAGTTGGGATGACTAGAAACTTATTGTATTTCTCTAGGCCTACCAAGCGGGCCTGATCGGCAAGAACGCCTGTGGCTCTGGCTACGACTTTGACGTGTTCATGCACCGAGGCGCAGGAGCTTACATTTGCGGTGAGGAGACAGCGCTCATCGAGTCCATTGAGGGGAAGCAGGGTAAGCCCCGCCTCAAGCCACCATTCCCCGCAGACGTCGGAGTGTTCGGCTGCCCCACTACTGTTAGCAACGTGGAGACCGTAGCAGTTGCTCCTGTAAGTGTTTCAACTCAACTACATACATCATTAATGCTTGCACAAAATGTTACAATGATCAGCATCAACATTATACCAACAACACGATATTAAAAATATCATACTCAAATAGGTACTTAACTATAAATAAATGTCAAACTAAACTGATGAAAATTAACCATAATCTGTCCAATTGTTTCAAGAATATAAAAAATAGGGAAAGGTCAAGAATGTATCTGGCATAAAATTGTGTATGCTTTTAATTTTTTTTTTTTACTCTATGGTAGGAGTATTTAAAAAACACCTATCCTTATTCTATTCCATATAAAAATCTCGAGAGTGTTTTCAGTCTCAATTTTCACTGTTTTTAATGGGAAATTTTTTTAAAATTTTGTACCTATCTTCATCAGTTTTTAAGGAATATCTGTACAAACTGTTTAATCCATTCTGTGATCAAATCTTGAGCTAAAGAACGCAATTAGATAATTTTTAATAAAATAAATAAATTTGTTATAATACATCCAACATTATCCATAGTGCTGTCTAATTATCATCACAACCCTGCAGGCCATTTGTCGACGCGGCGGTGCATGGTTCGCCGGGCTCGGAAGACCTCGTAACTCAGGTACCAAGCTGTTCAACATCTCCGGCCACGTCAACACACCTTGCACTGTGGAGGAGGAGATGTCCATTCCTCTGAAGGAACTGATTGAGCTACACGCGGGCGGAGTGGTGGGCGGATGGGACAACCTGCTAGCTGTGATACCCGGCGGCTCGTCTACACCACTGATACCAAAGAGGTAAAATGTAGCTGTCAATTAGTTTTAGTACTTCTTGTTCTTGGCTATCTAGATTAAATTAAATACATCATACCACTTTTTAGGTTAACATGGTGAAAAACTCTTTTTGTGTCCAACCTTCAATATATAGGGGCTAGGATCTAGCCTGGAACTGTTTTACACATTACTTTAGGCTGGACCTTTGCGTAATTGATTAAACCAAATTAATCGGGGATTGGCGAAGATTGAACTCAGAGCCTTTTAAATTACAGAGTCCTGCTCTCTAACATTGAACAGCTGAATAATACACCCCTTCCCCATGAATGAAATTCCAATTTCATGGGTGTCGCTAATGTGTATAGCCTAATTCTCAGTATTCCGTGAATCATGTTTCAAATCACAAAACTCGATCTGAATTGATCATTGCAGGTTGATTGACAGTAATATTGTGACAGTAATATATCATAGGCTTCTAGGCTTTGAGGTGGTTTAGGTTTTTTTTATGTTGTTTCATTAGTTTCTCATAGGCCTCCAATCTTCTAATTAGTTGGCAACCTCGGTGTTCACTCTCACTCGTCTACCAAGTCATTAGTTTTAATTTTCAGTCCTAGATCATTTCTACCTAGTTCTAATGTTGTTTGTGTTGTGACAGTGTGTGCGAGGATGTACTGATGGACTTTGACGGCTTGGTAGCTGCCCAGACCAGCTTGGGAACTGCGGCCATCATTGTGATGAACAAACAAACAGACGTCATCAAGGTAGGAAACATGTACATAATATTATGTACTAATAAGGGTTACAGTTTTATACAAGGGCGGTTTTTTTAAGTAAGGTCCGTTTTGTCGTATAGATCCGTAGTTTGATTTGTGAACAGAATGACACAATTGGCAGCTCTCTGTAGCTGACATGTACGCTTCACTGTGTGTGTTATCCGCTTGCAAGATAAGGCAAACCGTTAGTAGTAGGCCTACTTTAAATGTTTTTTTTGTGCGTTTTCATGCCCTTTGTGTATTTATTTGAATGTCATTGACGAGTCTATTAATGGATGAAACATTCTTGAAAGCACTTGGAACACGTGGGCTTGACCACTACTTTGATGAACTATTGACGTATGGGAACTTATAGTCTAATTAAACAGTTCAGGGGCTACATAATGAATTTGAATGCAAATTTTACATTTTTGTTTGTGTTTATTTTAGGCCATTGCCCGTCTCATCATGTTCTACAAACACGAGTCCTGTGGCCAGTGCACACCGTGCCGTGAGGGCATCAACTGGATGAACAAGCTCATGTATCGCTTCGTCGATGGAAATGCTCGCCCTGAGGAGATCGATATGCTCTGGGAACTAAGCAAGCAGATCGAGGGACACACCATCTGCGCTTTGGGCGACGGCGCAGCCTGGCCTGTACAGGTAAACTTGATTGCTCGTCCTCAATGTGGTACTAACCTACCACTCACTACATCAACTTCAGTTTGTGTTCTCTCAAATATATTCCTCAGATAATTTTGTATGGATTTCTATCAAGGAAAAGGAATACACAACTAACAAACTCAAGAGGTATAAGTTGAGTTGAAGTAGTTGAGAATTTAAGAAGTAGTTCCTCTCCTCTTCAAGCTCCTCAAACCCTTGCAGGGTTGAAATATAAAATAACTTTTGTTGTGAGCTTTTTGTTTGCTATTGAATGCTTGAAACTCTTGTCTTGGACTAGTAATTTGATTATCCATTCAATTCATTCAACCTTGATATATATATACCTAAGCCAAGTGCTCTTTAATCAAAAAATTGACCTTTACAACCAAACGTCATGAGAAAAACATAAAATCTTGGGTTCTATATCAGTAGCTCCCATTTCCCATGTTCCCTTTATAACCGTGGAGTATTGCTCTTTATATTTTGCCATTCTCATGGTATATTGTGACTGCCAAACCTTCAGTCTAAATTATGGCATAGTGGCTGGTTTGGCGTTCTGTTATATTACATAACTATAAATTAAAGGACCTGTTAGTCGGTTCTTTCACTGTATGTCTATTTTATTTTACATTTGTGATAGGAAAGAAGGATGATATATTTATATGTATATTAAGAATTTACAAACTATGGAGGCAAACACATGGTTTGCCATGTGTATGGCAATATCCATATGTTTGGAGGCACATATGGTTCTGAATTTAAAACTCCAATTTAGTTTTCAAAAATATAAGTGTTTTTCACATTAGTTAGTAACACTGTTTACCATTATACTTGAACTTATCAAAATACTTTTTTACTGTCAAAAATCAAAATCAAAATTTTGGGGCTGAGGCGCCTATTGGTAACAATTATTCTCAACCCTATTCCATCCCCATAAGTTTGAAACGTTTTGTTTATTATTTTATTCCAGCAATGAAATATGTTTTAAAGGTTCTACAAACTTTCCTTTTTCTTTTTCCAGGGTCTCATCCGACACTTCAGACCAGAAATCGAAGAAAGGATGAAGAAGTTCCACGAGGAGCAGAAAGTCGCTAAACAGAACTAATACTATGTGTATACTCACTAGAGGCCGCAAAGGCTGGATAGGCCACACACTAAGCCAGGGAAAACAACCCATTTATGCAATGATATTTATTAAGTTATTAACCACAATTGTGATTTTCCCGGCAAGGAATTAAATGTATTTGGTTTTGTACAGTATTAAAATTATTTTCCTCTGTTATTTGTTCTAGTATCATTCAAAAGCCTATATTCTATTCACTATTTAGACTAGATGCAAGTGTAGCTTGTCATTGAAAAAAATTCAATCTGTGGTTTGTGACAAGGGTTATTTGCTACATCACTGACAGAAACACCAACAGTACATAACAAATTACTAAGCCGCTAGCAGAATTTTTATTTTTTATCACTATGTATACGAAAGTAGCTCATTTCTGTACAGCTGAGCTATCCAAAAACAGTTGATTTCTAATCTAGCAAAACATATGATTTTGCCTGTTCTAAACAGCCATACAAATGAATTTTCCGTTTAGCTTAACAGGAGCACTAATGTACGCATTATTTTATTACAAGAAATATTTTCAAAACATCAGACTTTTATATAAATTACATAACTTAGGCTTTGACAACTTTAAACAGAATTACTAGACTATCGAATAGTAGCTTATTATTAATTTCTTGCTTCGAGATGAAAAGTATTGTTTACTGTTCGTCACAAAATGACCCATTCCGGGTCTCGATCGTTGTTTCTGTGCAATGCCTCGCCTCGCTCGTAAACCACTATTTTGCCCTGAAATGGCACTTTCGGGACTAGTAATAAAATATGCTATCTATGAGTGGTAGCAAGTTAAGGAAGGTTTCCATTGATCAATATGTTAATGCAGTTCTCAGTTCTGTTATTATTAATTGGCATTGTCCGCCAATTTGGATCAAATTTAAAAAAAATTCCTGACTACTAGCCTAGTCTTTTTTGATGGTTTATTGGTTTGAGATTTTTAAATGTAAAAAAAGCTCCCAGGGAGAAATTTTTTTATGATGTAGATTTTTGGATGTTGTAATGGCAATGATATTACAAGAAATTTAATTTTCAATCTCGACATATTCTGATATCTAAAGTATCTCTATCTTTGTAATCACTCTAACTTGCCATTAAATAAACAATTGAAGTTATTTTACATAAATTAATTGAGATGGTTGCAATCAATATACATATACACAAAAATATTTGTAGTTTCATATTAAATTTGTGTTCTGTACAAAATATTTTATTCTAATTCGATTTTTACAAAGCAGGTATATACAAAAACTATATTGAATAATACAAAGATGCTTACAGTACAAATATGAGTATGAAAGTTAGACCAGGGCTGCAATTGGTATGTGTTTTCATTATTTAGATCCTAAATGCTATTGACTTTGAATAAATTGAGAAATTCTTCATGAAAACTGGATCTTAGTTTTGGTTTGGGGTTTATTTAATTTATGAATTATAGTTTATAGATAGGAGTTATTTTTTTAATTGAATGAACAAAAATACTGTGCAATTAAATTACTTTATTTTAAAATTGAATACTTTATGTTAATATTTTTAAATAAATGACATAAGCTTAAAATTGAACCTAGTGATTATAAAAACCACTTTCAGTCTTCCGATAGAATTTTTTCTCTCAAGCAAATAAATCTAAAACTATTTTCAGAAAGAAAAAAACAATTTTAGTTGTGTTTCCCTTTAACTATCTAAGTTAAATAAGCATGGAAATCTACAGACAAAAATGTTTGTGTTCTCTTGCCAAGAATAAGCACATTGCAACTTGCAACCCCAGACTAACTTAACAGTTTAGGACACCAATTCCGCTCTCGTCTTTCCAATAACTTTTGGCATCTTCTTGTTCGTTGAATCTTCCAGTTCTTTTTGTTTGTAGTAGTGAGGCGCAACCTCCAGCAACCATTTGCTCTCTATCTCTGAAACCTAAAAAATATAATCGAGATTAAATAGTTTCATCTTAATGAAATCCAATTTCTATTTTATTTTGTTTACCGGTATCATTGCATTAGACTAAAAATAACTACACTAAAACATATTTTCTCATTTAAAATAGTTCCACCTTGTTCACCAATTTAAAAATCAAACTGCAGGAAATACAGATTACTCAACAGACTCAAAATGTCACAACACTAATTAAAATCTAAATTCATTTCCTACATGGAAATTATCATGTAATCAGTACGCAAAATAGCTCATTTGCTCTCTAGAGCGGGAATGACCCTGCTAAATCTGCTGATTTCATTGTTGGTATTTCTATAAAATAACAAAACATTCAGTAAGCAAATAACATAACCTACAAAAATCAAACATAACACTAAATGACATTTTATATACAACTAAAAAGTTAATCTGAGTCTTATGATACCGGTAAGTTAATTATGGTAGTAGGAAAAATCTTGTGTGTATTACGACACCAACAACAATTGCCTCTCTAAAAATGTATGGCCACACTCAGCTGGCCATCTACAGTTCGAGCGGCAATGACTTACTTGCGCTCTTAATACACAAATAGCTGTTTCATGCACAGGAACTTACCTGTCTCATAAACTCCTTGGTGGTAAAGACCAACTCGTGGTAGATGACCCATCGAGGTAGTTCCTCAAACAAGGCACTGTTGGGGTGTATCATGACTGTCTGGTTGTGTTTGACAGTTTTGTAGTGACCTCCCTTCGACAGCCGGGCTACATGGTAGAAGTACCCTGACGTAATGGCCTGTAAACACACATGCAGATTGGATTGAATGGAAAGTAAAATGTTTAAAGATTTTGTTACCAAGTGAATAGTTAAAAAACTTGCTACCACACCAGTCTGTTACTCTGTTACCTACATGTATAATTCTGTCTGAAGGGTTCTGCAAAACGTTAGGCGTGATTCCATGGACGATTGTGTGTGATGTATGTATGAATGTGTATGTATATGAAAAGTCCTGGGTATCAATAGTGAAGCCAACTTAAACAATTTTTACTAGGCTGACATACATTATAGCGAATATAAGTTTATCCTTTATACATTGTCAAAATGTTCGTCTAATCGCAGTGAAAATTTTGGGAATTGTTCTGTAAAAGCCTGAGAAGGTTTTTGTCTTATTCTCCTGTTTTATTCTGTGTTACCTTAAAATCTGCCATCTCCCCAACCTTACAAAGTATCATTTACTTGAAGAAGTACTTGGGAAGAGTAAATTGTAAAATTAACATATCATTTTGTTCTAAATTATTGACAGATAATTATTACAGTTTATGGACAGTATATTTTTGATACAATTATGGTTTACAAAACTTTGAATTCAAGCAAGCCATTAAAAAACCATCCAACTCACCCATACAATACCAGAAATAAATCGGAAATCATACCCACTCATCACAGATTGCAACTCTACACCAAAAAACCATCATATGCAGGAGCAAAGTTTTTTAGAACTTTACCTAAAGAAATAAAAAAAGAAAATAATGTTAATAAATTTAAAATTAAGTTAAAAAATTATATTACATCAAATCCTATTTATTCAATTGAGGAGTATAACCAGTTGTAAATATGTATTATAAGCCCTGTTAGCTATAAGGAAATGACACTATTCCGTTGTATGACTCATGTACACATTATGAATAAAGATTGATTTGATTTGATTTGATTTGATTTGAATTACTTAATTCATCTTAAACTTGAATGTTAACATTTAATTCCATTAATCAGGCATAACATTATCATATTTAATAATTTGCTTTGTTCCTTATACAATGAAGTAGGGCACGTTCTGAAGAATTCACGAGCAATTGGCTTTGGTCGGGCATGCTTGAAAAAATGGCCTGAATATTATCTCTTTTGACTCTTTTAACAACATTTTCACTATGCTTGGAAGAACGGCTATTATAGTAGTTCAAACTGGCAGGATACTGTAGTTATGATTTTATTATAATTGTTTAATGTTCGAAAAGGCTAATAATTATGTATTCACTACAAGGGCGGTCCTAGACATATATTTTGGGGGGGGTCACTGGGGGGTATGGAATACCCCCCAGCAAAGGAGGGGGGTCCGGGGAAAAAATCCTCCCCCGGGAAAAAATTTGGAAATAACGTGCTAAAACGAGTGGTTTTGAAGCTATTTTGAGGGCCTAGTTTAATATGTTCAAGCTTCCCAGTTTATTTAAAGGTCAAAGAAATGTCTAAAAATAAACTTGTATAATGTCATGTTTTTGCATTATTGAGACTTGGGGTTTTAATATCAAAGGAATAGCGCAACATTACAACACATTCAAGCATTATTGATTTACGAAAACACCCTTTCAACTCATGGTGGATGTATTTTCGTTCCACCATGCTTTAAACTGGTGCCAATGTGCATGCTAAACGGAAAATGTCCAAAATCAGACCAAGATTTTGAACAAGAGAACTTATATTAGGTATTTAAGAAGTGTTTAAGAACTTGGACCCAAAACGACTGCATTATACATGCCCAGTAAGCAACAGTTAACCTACACAAAGTACACTACCCAACTTTAACGTTGCCGTCGGCGTCCTGTCACTGCTACCGCCTGGAGAATTGGTTCTCAGTGTTCTAATTTTTTCTACGCCAATGCCAGTGGCATTTTACAAAGGGTCAACGTGAGAATAAAGTTTTTGTGCAACGATTTTGTGGTTGTGCTGGGAATTAAATCTGTCCCTTCCACATCTAAGTCTGAGACACTACCATTTTGTTGTTGTTTTATGGCTAGCAACATGCCAATTGGGTTGTGGTATTCTTAAATATGATATCAAGTGCTCTAAATATGAATACTATTTAATATTGCAATTTTTCTACAGTAATCTTTGAGTTACATTATTGTAATTACAGATTCCTAACGCTCAACTCAGATAAATTAATATTCAACTACCTTTCAAGCTTTGACTATTGATACAACTTCTTTTCTTTATCCAATACCCAAACCCAATTCAAATTTTCAATCATCTAGGTTTAAAATGAATGATAACATTAAATGCCGAAAAATTAAATAAGAAGAAGAATGCGGCCGAACGTCGAATGTCAGCATCGGACACTGCCGTTGCTGAATATGGCTGAAAGCGTCCGTCGTCTGCCGATCTTCCCTACTTTTCATAACGTAAAAAAAACAGTCAGACTCGAACGATGAGTTTTAGGTTAAAGTTTGTAATTAGTCCTTTCATTCGCCACAAGTGTAAATACTACAATGAATTTCAATTTGGCAGAAAGATTTGCAATAAAAATTATTAAAGTTCCCCTGGTATAATAGTTTAAGTTTATATATATAAAAAATATTTTGGGGGGGGTCATGACCCCCCTGACCCCCCCCCCCCTGGGACCGCCCTTGATTCACTATTCTGTGTATAGCAGATTCAAGAAACCACAGTAGCCTATGTTACCTTCCTGATGTTGATAGTTTCTGTGGGGTTGGACGTCAATTCCATCTCCACTCTCTGCATCAACCCAATCAGCTGTTCCCGGACATCTCGTGCTCTCTTCATTGATCTGGAAAATGTTATCTTCATTTTAGTGTTCATTGTAGTTGTTAGCCTCCGGATTGCCAAATAATATTTAAAAAGGTTCAAATACCTGCTATTAAGCAATCCAAATTTGTTGTTAGAACAACTAGTTTCGGTGTCTGTGTGACACCATCATCAGGCTGCACAAGGACAGTTTTCTTTCTTCTTACAAAGAGCGTCATATTTACACGAAAATAAATAAACATTTACAGACGACACAAACACGAACACGAGACATTTATGGTAACTGATCAGTTAAGAAAACAGACGACACTAACCCGGCGGAGTTTGAGTCCAGACGCGGTATTTTGACACAAAACATAAACTCAAAGATCTCAATTGTTTACTAATATTTTGTTTACCTAATGCTAATTTTATCAACCTAATCCTAATTATTTTTCTTACCTGTTTTCCCAAAACAGGTTAGGCAACCGAAAAAAGCTAAAATACACGCAATAACTATTGCATATAACCAGGAAAAATATTGACCCGACAAGTGCTGCGATCCTTCGGAATAATGGTGAACTAGTAGCAATTTAAAAGTACAAACAAATATCTGTATTAGATCTACAACAATTTTTCTATGACTGTGCTCACTCAATACAATTTATGAGAACTGTCAAGGTAGGTCCTAAAAGATTCCAACCACCAAAAATCTATAATTTTTGCTGTATAGTACCTGTACTGTATGAAGTTCTCGTAGCACCACTGCGTACTGTGGTCAGTATCCGCCCACTGCTTGTACACATTGAGCAACACCAGGTGGTCGCCTCCGGGAACAAAGAAGTTCTTGCGAGCTGTGTCTGCGTGAATTATCTTGTCCTTCGGCCGATAGAAGATGGCGCTGTTTACTGACAACATGGCTGCGATGCTCACTATCTCCTCACTACACTTGTACCTGGAATGTTGATGGTGTTTAGTTTAAATTATCACCTATTTTGATTTTTTATAGTTTTTTGTACTAGATATGACCAAATACTGAGCTATCTACAAAATGAAAACCACTCAGATTGTTGAAAAAATTAAGCATTCTCATACTGGTTATGCCAAAAACTTAAAATAGTCACAACTCTTTAACTGTGTTTCTGCCAGGCTGTTCAGCAGCTAACTATTTCATATTGTATACATAACTACAAGCTTTCTCTAACTAACAGTACTCATCCATACAATCACAATCTGAAATCAATAATAACACAATACATAGTTTAAATTATTACTAAGGGAAAACAACAGAAACCCAAACATTTAAACATTCATTGAATTAATGTAACTCACTTTTCAGAAGCAATGAGCATTTTAGCCATCATCGGATCAAGGGGGAACTCAGCCATCCGTCGGCCGAGCTTAGTAAGCTCTCCGTGATGGTTCAACGCTCCCAGTGCATACAGCTGCTCTAGAGCTAAAACCTGTGAACATGTCAAAAGGTCAGAGAAAATAAAGGGGGAGAAAAATGTAACAGGGGCAACTACGTCTTTGGTGCCAGTGACCTTTTCTATGAAAAAATCGGAAACACTTAAAAAAAAATCCAAATTAAAACAAATTTACGTCATGTCGGGGTTTGAACCTGTTACTCCCACACCAAAGTTTGAGACACTAGGCTAGTAACAGACCTAACTGGTACAGCTAATTTTTTCAACATAATAAATGAAAAGTTGATTCTTTCTGTTTTCAGGTACAGTCCAACCTCAGTATAACGAATCTGAAGGGACCGAACTGAATATTTGTTATATCAAGGATTTCGTTTAAACGAGGTTCGTTATATAGAGGTTAGGTTTGCAGGAATTTCGCTAAGTCGAGGTTCAGAACCAGCGTCGATCAATAGGTCGGGATTTGACCTCATTAAAATACAGCACAATTAAAGTAGCATAAGGCTACAATACTTTACAGTACAGTGTTTACATTGTACAGTAGAACCTAAATTATCCAGCATAATAAAGGGGAGGGATCTTGAATATTGCGCAATCATGACAATGGCATTGACCTTGGTACAAGTTAAAAACTGTAAGTTTAAAATCACAGCTCAGGGTGTCCACAGAAATTTTGTCTTTAATTTCCCTGACTTTCCATGACTATCCATGACCATTAACCATTGATTTCCATGACTCACGAACTTAACTCAAAAATTATAATATACCGTATACACACGAATAATACTGCCTAGACAAGTTATTTCACAGAAAATATTGAAATATGTAATAACAGATAACAATGGAGTACAATAGGTACAACAATGAACAAATACAAACTCAAAACCCATAAACTAGGACAACTGTATAAATTGAAATTGTCGTACATTTGTAAAAATTTGGAAAATGCTACAATAGTTGGGGTTACGACCGACTAGAGCATTGAAAGGTCCCCTGGAATCCATCCATCATTGGGGATTTCCATGACTTTTTGCCTATTTCCATGACTTTCCATGACTTTTTGCCTATTTCCATGACTTTCAATGACCAGAATTTTTTTCCATGACTTTCCATGACTATCCCTGACTTTCCAGAATGTGGACACCCTGCAGCTTGTTCTAACCCTCCTAAAACCTAGCCAAACACTGTTTTGCGTAGTCATAAACCATGTAATGAACAAAACAAAACAGTAGAAAGTGTTGTAAGCTACTGATCGTGATAGGCCAGTAGGCTACTTACAGTACAGTACTGATTTATCACAACAGAGGAATCTCAATAATAACCATTAACTATAGCATTGGTGTTGCTAGTTGAAACAAATCGTATTGAAAACAATAAATTATTAGATAAGTCATTATAAAAGTGTATAATCATAGCCAACTTAAGGATAATAAAAACACTCGTAAAAGGAATGTTAAAATAACGATGTTGCTATTCTTTCTCTTTGGTTTTGTTTTTATATTCTTTCTTAGGTTTCTCTTTATCCAAAAATTGTACAATTCACCATAGTAGTGTCGGCTCTGCAGACACTCCTGATTTGGCAAATATGTCAACCTTTCCACCCCTCAACTCATCTCAACATAATTATCATCATCATCATCATGAGTCCAACAGTCAAAGTGAAGTGAGTGTAAGTGCAGAGCAGAGTAAATGTGCTTTGGAGTGTTTGGATAAACTGCCAAAGACTCTCATTTCTGGCAGCAGTGATGGTAATTTTTTATAGATAACCAGATTGGACCAGCAAGAGTTACTAATCCCTCCTCTTTACCTATTAAATACACTAATGTTAAAAGTTCACATAAAATTAAAATTCTACACCAAAACATTCAGCACTTCTCTTCTCGAACTTTATCATTGGAAATTGTTTTAGAAGAAATCAAACCTGAACTTGTTGTCATAAGTGAAAACAAATTAAATAAAAATGAAATCCAACATGCATCTATTGTAAATTACAGAACTATAAACTATTATTGTAGAAAATCATATTTTGGAGGAGGGGTCATGATTCTTGCTCGGAATAGTCTGGCCATAAAAAGTAAAAAGATAATGATACCTGCAGTTGAGGATATATTGGCAGATAAATACTTTGAATGCTGTTTAGTTGAAGTAAATATGTATAGATTTTCTTTTTTATTAGTCGGAGTATATAGAACACCAGGAATTCAATTTGAGACTGCTTTTCTGGAAAAATTAAATTGTGTACTTGATATTATTTTCAAAAAATACTCAAGAGTAGTAGTGGCTGGTGATATTAATATTAATGTTTTAAAAAATTCTCCTGGCTATAAAATATTCTGTAACACTTTGAAAGAATTTAATATGCAATACTTGGTAGATTTTCCTACTAGAGTAACTCTGGATGGTGAAAGTAGTATAGATAATATATTTACATCAATTCCAAGAAATAAATTATCAATATCGGGTATAATAACAGAACTATCCGATCACGATGCTCAATTATTAGAAATCCTAGATTGCACAGTAAAAAATAAAACTAAACCTTTAACACAAGAAAAACGGAAATTTACTCATCAAAATATCGCCAACTTCAATAACTATCTGGCACAAGAAACTTGGTCTGAACTATATTTTGCACCAGTTGAAGATAAATACAATGTATTCTTAAAAATTTTTACTTATTATTTTGACTTGTGTTTTCCAAAAATAAAGTCAAGAGTTTACTCAAAGGCTAAAAGCTGGATCACTCCACAATTAAAGAGGAAAAAGTAAAATATTATTGACCTTAGCCAACATATAAGGATAACCAAAGACAGGGAACTAAACCAGACATTAAAACAACTCAAGAAAAATTATACAACAGATATGATAGCAACCAAAAAGAGGTTTATTGAAAGTAGCATAGAAAATGCTGACAATGTTATCAAAGCCACGTGGAAAATAATAAATAATGAGATTAAAGAAAATTCTTTTCACAACGATGAAATTAAATTAGTTGTAGACAAAATATCATATACAAATCCTAAAGATGTTAGTGAAGTTTTTAACGAGTATTTTGTAAGTGTTGTTGACAAATATATTAACCCTAAACTAAATAATCATAGACAGTTTGTCCAAATGCCAATTCCAAATAATGTATCAAAATTCCATATTAAACCTTTAGATGAACCAGAACTCGAGCAAATATTATCTTCTTTTGATAACAAGTTCACTTCAGGCTACGATGAGATTCCAATGCCCATTATAAAAAGTTCTAAAAACGCATTACTAAAACCCTTGGTACATATTATCAACTCTTCTTTCATTTCTGGATTTTTTCCAAATAAACTAAAAATTTCTAGAATCAAAACATTACACAAAAATGGAAAAAAAACAGTACCATCTAATTACAGGCCTTTATCAATATTGCCCACCATATCTAAGCTCTACGAGCGTGCAATGTACTCCCGATTGGTAAGTTTTTTGGAAAATAATCAATTATTTGACGAAGAACAACATGGTTTTAGGTCTGGAAAATCTGTAACAACTGCTGGTATTGATCTAGTTGAGGTTATTATTGATGCCATTGATAGAGGTGACAACTCTGTTGGAATTTTCATGGACCTTAGTAAAGCTTTTGATAGCGTTTCGCATCAGACACTTATTTCAATATTACAACATTTTGGTATTACTGGTAATTCACTAAATTGGTTTAAATCATATTTAGAAAACAGGCAGCAATATGTTGAACTGAATACGATTACAGAATTCAATCAATTACTTAAAGTCAAATCATCTCTAAAACAAGTCAAATATGGAGTCCCTCAGGGGTCTATTCTTGGTCCAATTTTATTCCTCTGTTATATAAAAGGCCTGCCTTCAGCTCTAACAAACTTAAATAGTAAATTATGCCTCTATGCTGATGATGCAAATTTAATAGTTTCTGGTAGATCAAAAAATGACATTGAATATATAGGCAATAGTAGCCTTGAATCTATATATGAATATTTATCTTGCAAAAACTTATTGCTTAACTCAGAGAAAACCAATTATATAAATTTTTCAACTGCCCAAAAAAAACCTTTAAAACCTAATTTAAAAATTGATAACAATTACTTAACTCAAGTGACTCAAACTAAATTCTTAGGACTAATAATTGATCAACATTTATCTTGGTTGTACCACATTGATAAACTAAAAAGTAAAATTTGTTCAGGTCTATTTATGCTGCACAACTTGTCTAAACTCTGCTCGTTGAATGTTTTACTGAAGGTTTACTATGCTCACATAATCTCACATATTGCATTCGGCATTGAATTATATGGTGCAACAACCATTCAAAATTTAGATGGTATATTAATTTTACAAAAGAGAGCCATACGTATCATGTTAAACTTGGGAGAAAACCAATCGGCAAAACAGTATTTTGCTAAATTAAATATCTTTACAGTGTATGGATTATATATTTATAAAACTATAATTAATCTAAAAAGTGAAATGAATACACATACACTTCCAAAATTGGGAATGTCACATAATTATAATACTCGGCATCGGAACTACCCAGCCATCCAGAGGCATAATTTAGAGTTTTATAATAAAAAACCCACTGCTGCAGGTACTAGGTTTTTTTATGCTCTGCCTAAAGATTTAATGGAAATTAATAATATTAAGACATTTAAAAAGAAATTGAAAATATTTATATTAAGCAAATGTTACTACTCATTTAGTGAGCATTTTGATAATATTTTATAGAATTAATTGTATTTATTGACGCCATTCTGCATTTATATTTGTAAAATGTAAATCTTGAATAAAGTGTTTCTGAATCTGAATCTGAATAGTTATCCCATATCGCCCAATCACAGCTTACTAAACATTATGTCGTCATCAGTCCTCCCTCAGTGAATGAAATCAGTTCTCAGTTGCAAGTTGCAACATAGCGCGCGCAGCGACAGCAGACAAAGATGTAAAACGGAGCAGACGAATGTTAGCGCAAGCGATGACGTGACCTTTCCATTTCATTTGATAAAGAAAAATATTTTCCCAAAACAATGATTGGGTGGGGGATTTGTTATATCGAGGGAAAGACGTAGACAATTCGTTATGCAGAGGTTAAATTTGCAATGTAGAGGTTCTGACAATGATAAATTCGTTATATTGAGGTGTCTTATTTTAGCCGAAATCACAAAAAATTCGTTAAATCAAGGTCGTTGTTATGGTTTGCTCGTTATGTAGAGGTAAAATATACATTGTGTCTTATGGAGAGTTCTAAGGGATTAAAAAAATCGTTATATCAAGGAATTCGTTATATCGAGATTCGTTATATCAAGGTTAGACTGTAAAAGCATTTAGCTTGGATTAAATATAGGATGGAGAGTACACAGCTACCTCACCTGATGAAGGTTACAGACGTGTCAAAGAACACATAAAATATATACAGGGTCACAGTTATTTTTCTTAATCCAAGAAATAATGTCCAATATTTCAAATACTTAATAAAACATACCACAGAGTAGTAAGGTACAGAGGAAACTCGCTTTATGGGACGACCGTGTGCTTTCAGCTCTAGTATGTTGTGCTGAAAATATATACTTGTGATGAGCAAGGATGAGCCCGAGTGGCGAGCACTGTGCGGAAATTCTTATAGCATAGGGTCTTCCTCCACTGTAAGCACTGTAGTACATGAAGGGAGGAGTGAGGTTGGACTTTTCCCTGGACACCAGCGACTAGAGCTAGACACCACTTAAGTGTACCATTGAGTGTTTCCTCTGTACCTTGCTTATCTGTGAAACAGTTTTATAAATCTTGGCAAATAACATTGCACTGAGCCCCAGTATCTAATTTAAACTGCACAGTTTTGTTATTTGGCAATTTTAAGGGTTCTGTCTGATCTTGATTCTTGACTGGGTTAGAGATGCAATCAACATGCATCGGATAATCAGCATCTTCATTCTCTACCACCTCTAAAACATCAGTATCTTAACTCTTACTAGGGAGATTCTTTTGAGTGTTTCATAGTACAGACCAGAGTCTCGTGAGGCGGGGGGTCGAGAAAGTCAAAGTGTATGAGGTCGTTGATCCCGAGTGCCTTGAGCGTAAGCACAGCGTTGCCCAGATTGATCCTTTGTATCTCAGGCACCGTTTTGTCCTCCAGCTCGTGTTTGTACGCCCAGGCCGTGTACAGACGGAAACACTTGCCTGCAGCCACTCGGCCTGCGCGTCCTGCTCTCTGATTGGCCGACGCCTGGATAAACAATGTTGATTATAACATTTTAAAAGAATTCAAGAACTAAAAAACCTGATTTACAACGATACTAACAGTAAAACTAGAGTTAGTCTAAATCATAAACTAACTGATTGAACTTTATCAAAACTAATTAAAATCAAAGTTGAGTTTAAAAATTAAAAGCAAATTTTACAAAATTTAAAACAGTAAAAGCCATTACAGCAAGTTTAGTACAATAAGTAAAAAACAGCACAATGCAGAAAATACATAAAGGCAGAATACAAGAGTCAAGTAAAGGGAAACCTTAAGTTAAGTTAAGGGGAAACCAAAAAATTGGTTGAAAAGTTAATAATCTTGTCTTCTCCCTCTTGATTACTTGAAACTATGAAGTAGAAGATAAAAATCATTCAAATTCTGAAAAACAACAAACTGATGTATTACACCGTCTCATTGTATAGGCTATCACTGAAATGTACAACTTCAACATCTTACCTTGGATATAGGCACAACAATGAGAGACTCCATGCCAGTTCGGGAGTTGAAATTGTTCTGTTTACAAAAACCAGGGTCAATCACATAAATGATATTGTCTATTGTCAGTGACGTTTCTGCGATGTTTGTTGCCAACACTACCTGCAAGAAATGAAAACATTCACTTAAAAAAAGGTAAAAGGCTTTTTTTGGACTGATTTTACGACTGAAAAAAAACCCTAAAACTGTCTTCAGAGCAAATATTCTATTGTAAGTTGACTAGTTGGATGATTTTACAAAGAGTAATGTGTTTGATTCCTCAATTCTTTGGGGAGGTTTTCTGCTTTATTTTGAAGTTCAGGAAAATGGGCATCATTTGAGAGAGGGATGGAAACAATTGATTTTTCCAACAATCTTAAACGTCAAAGAAATCACATGAATTTATCTTACTACTGAATCCTATTTTAGCCGAGGAAAGAGTTTAAATCTGTAAAACAGCCTTCTGCAAACACCCACTTAAACATACGCTCGCAGAAGTGTGCATGACCTTTCATTGAATTTATAATATTCATCATTCTATTCTAACCAACATACATAAAGGTTATGGTAATGACGACTACAGTAAAATGAAAACATATTGGAACTATGGCTTCTATATTCAGTGTCTGGTGTTACTCCTCACAGAAACAATCATTGGTAGTAGCTAGAAAGAGGTTGAAACGTCAGCCTTATATCATGCAATCGCATTGAGTTTATTTACTATCAAAATAATGCAGCTGTATTCCTTGCCAGGCACATTTACAAATCGGAACTAAACCTTCCCAGCAGTGACATTACACTGTTTTCTGATACCACATGATCAATCCTGACATTTTCCAGTGCATCAAATAAAACCTGGATTCGCTCATTGAGTTATGGAAAATTATTTTGTTACAAAACTATCAAGTTTTTACCACCAAATTAGACTACATCCTATTGATTCTCCTCCATTCATCTTCAGTATAAATAGCCTTATGATGCTCGGCTATATAATACAGACGAGCGTACCTTCCTGGCGCCCGGAGGCGTGGGCATGAATATCTTTGCCTGCATGTCACTAGGCAGGTTGGAGTAGACAGGCAGAATGATCAACTCTTTGATCTTGGAGCCAAGTCTGCGCACTCTGTCCTGCAACAGTTCTTGGCATGTCTCAATCTCCTCCTGACCTACAACAAGTCATGTCTGGTTCACATGGTGATACTATCAACCCTGTTTTGAATTACTAAACTAATTTATCTTAGTGCAGGATATAAGAACTCAGAAAACTGGTCGTACAGAATACCAAACCATGCAATTTATTGTGCAGCAACAGTACAATGGTTGTAGAGAGAGAGTAACTCCAAGTTGTAAAATAAACTAGTGATATGTGGCAACTGGCAACACTGCATAGAGTTGGCAACAGCCATTTTGTAAACTCTATCACTTTCTCTACCCTTAACAAAATCCCTGAGGGGACGAAATGTGGTATTATGTGTGTCTGTTGTATGTTTTATGGCACACCTGTATTTCTTCAAGGTAAGTTAGCTACTATCTTTTTTATCCAACAATTCAAAATCCTGGCCAAGAGCCCTTCGCCGAACAAAACCAGACATTTGGGTTGATACGTTTTTACTTTTACCATATCTTTATAGGGGAAAATACCACCAAGACCGAATTTAATAGCATGGCTGTGAGTCCTAAAGATCAATGGACGGTGGACAAACCTGTTAAGAAGACCAATATGTCCCCCAGAGGCTGTGTGGCATGGATCTGCAGAATGGAAACAACACACGCATCTATGTAGTCTGCCTCTGGAGCCTTGGTGTAGTAGATATCAACGGGGAATCTTCTGCCTGGAAAAAAACACATTAGAGTACAGTATAATGTTGAACAGCAGTTAAACTACTTGTTTCCCCTTTGTTATTTTGAAAGAAACAAATCAATAGGGGTCAATGAGAATTAATTAACAAAATTATATTGATTTTGCAAAAACCACAAGGAATGTTTACAATTTTGTTCAACAGCACAATTTACCTCGATGGCAGAAGGAAAGGCGCAGTATTTTATAAACCGATTATAATAAAATAAAATACCCCACCGCAGTAATCCCATTTTGGCCCAACTCAAATTTGACCCTAGACCCTAATGCCTAACATTTTTGTCCAGACCCTACTCGAGGTAAAATCATCTTGCCTGCAAATCCCTACAAATTTATATATGACCAGATATTAATGCATTCTTTATATCCAAGATCACTGTACTTTTTTGTTTTGGGATCCCCAAAAGCTAAAAAAATGTTTTGAAAATATGTTCTTTCATATTAAAAAAAAGCTACTGGCATCAATGACAATTAACCCATTGGGGAAGGAATTAATCCGCTACCTGCAGCACCCTCTGGCGGCAATTAATTTTACCGAATTTGTAGACTTTTACTCTAACTGCTATAGAAAGAAAACCTTAGGTAATAAATTAATAATTCTTTCAGCATTTTGTTCACAGTAAAATTGTCTACAGAACAGAGTTAATTGGATAGTCAAAGTTCTAAACTAAAAAAAAATATATATATAAAGATTATAAAAATAAAAACTTTAAAAACAATATTTTGAAAGTAAACTTGATATACAAATTCCAAGATTAATCCAGACACCAAATAACACTACTATTATAAAGGTCGATCGATTCCCTACGTAGAAAAATCAAAAGTTGTGTACTTTTATAAGTAATAACATTTAAAAAAAATTGTTTGTTTACCTTACCGCAGCTGATTTTTGGTGATATGTGGTTTCCATGGCAACACAAAATTGTTTGTTATTCGCTAAAATAAATGAGTAAATACGCAAATCAAGAAGCAAGATATTTATAAACATTATAATAGTAAGAAGAAACAAAAAGGGCAAAAAATAATAATAACTAAATAAAAAATGGCGCTGTCTAGCGGTGACACGAGCGGCTCTCGTAAGTCGGCCTCCGGGCCTGCAGCGGCCGTACGAGTAACGCTCGTCAGTCGGCGCCAATGGGTTAACAAGACTACAAGATTGTGCCACTCGCAATCTTGTAGTCTTGTCTACATTCATTCTTCACTCATATATAGGTTAAAATGCGCACATAGTGGTGTCCCCATCTTAAATAATTGTTATAGAAAAGAATTTGTCTTATCAATATGTCTAAAAGCTGTCCATATTCAAATAGTCCTGACCTGGAGTTCAAAGCTGATCTAAGTCAGTAACAAATCTACACAGATAATTTAACTCCATTCTACACTCACCTTACATTCATTTTAGCTTAAAATATGCACTAGAATGTGGATGGCTGTCATACTGAATTAATTAAACTGTCTAAATAGCCTATGGGAAAACTTTTTAATCTCCAACTAACTGGAGATTGAGTCTATCTCACACCTGGTATCCTGAAGATGGGAGCGTCGTCAAAGAAGTCGGAGAACTTCTGAGCGTCGAGAGTTGCGCTGGAGATGAGAAGTTTGAGATCTGGTCTGAACCTGGTGATATCCTTGACCAGTCCAAACAGGATGTCTGTGTGTAACGTGCGCTCGTGGGCCTCGTCAATTATCATCACACTGCATACAATAAGCAATGAGAGTTGTACTCTTTGTTACTAGAATCTATTAAATACAACAATGCTTAGGCCTATCTATACAATGGTATGAAAATTCTGTGTGTAATTGAGAGCAGGAATGTATTTTTTGTTCTTCTAGAAAATTTTTATTGTAATATTTTGTAAGAAGTTGGCAGCTCCTTTTAACCTTGCATTTGGCTGTCACTATTCCATCAATAATTTTAGCCTCTGGATTACTTACCTATATATAATTTCTATTGTAAGGGCTTACCTTAGCAATCCTAATATTGTTCATCCACGCAATATTAATTTTGAACCCAAAGGTTCATCTTCGGTTGAATTAGGCCAACCAAACTTCTATAGTAGTATCTTTGACTATTAATACAACTTCAGTATCCAATAGTCAATGGTAGTATCCACTTGATGGGTTTCGTAGAAAATATAACATTTATCACAATACAAATCACATGACGCAAAAATGCTAACAAAATTAGGGATCAAAGTTTGAGAACACATTGCCGGCAACTATAAAACATCGGGTGGATACTACTATAGAAGTTGATTGACCTAATCCGACTGAAGATGAACCTGTGGGTTCAAAATTAATCAATAATATTAGGATTGCTAAGGCCCTTATAATAGCAATGTCACTATTTTGTGCATGGATAAAAAAACCTTGTGCATAACATCAAGCAAAGCAAGGAGTGAGCCGGTACATTAAAAGAATGAACTGTAATGGCAAAATTTTAAGTGGCAACTCTGGGCCAGTGACTCTTTATTAATACACCTGTTTACAAATTATCTTTAAGTAAAATAAGTCATCAGTGAACAATTTTTAACTACGGAAGACTATAAGCATTTATTATTGTTGTCACCTACGTTCATGAAGAATACAAAATAAAACACTACAAGAAAAAATTATTATTAAAAAAAAGTTACCTGTATGTTTGTAAATCAGGCTCTGACAGAAATTCTCTATGTAAAGTACCATCAGTCATATATTTGATGATCGTCCGTTCAGAGGTGCAATCCTCAAATCTGATACTGTATCCAACCTGTAACGACAAAATACAACATTTATTATAATTAGTTTACATTTAAATTACAAAGTATTTCTTCAAACTGTGTTAAGTAAGTTGTGACCCTCAGATTAATTTTTGAGCGTATCTCTCAAACAAAGCAACACAGAACCAAAGATTTCTCAATTCCCATTGCATTCAAATGTTCCTTTAAAAAATGAGAGTAAAACTATCATAATGAAATTTAATCATCACAAGCACTTCTTCTGTCCAGAGCCAACCAGTCGAACCATTTATCCTGTTGTACCACTTCACAAGACAAATATTTTACGTGAAGGCGTGAAGGTAAAATATTTGGTAAAATACTTATGGGTGTAATATGTACATATTTTTTAATTTTCGTGCCCTTTCTAACCTATTTTCCAGCCAAATGTATGAGTTTTTCTCAGAGATTGTTATATTTTTGCGATTGAATGGGGTACTGAGATTTCAAATAGTTTTATTTTCACTCATAGAAATTGGAGATTTTACAACGCCAAAAACCAGGATACGTTTTTAAGACAAAAAAAGTGAAAATGTTAGACAAATTAGAGGACTTTTCAGTAAGCAAGTGCTATTATTTTTAAGTTCACTTAGTTACTTAGTTTTTATTAGGCCTACATTAATAAACTAACCAACCAAATAATCTCAACCAAGTCCTAACATCTTGATGACCACACCTAGTTTTTAATGGGTCATGAGCTAATGCTCATCATACCAGCCAGTAATAATTCTACCTAAAACTGTGTGATACTCGATATCAACATAGTAGCGAACAGAGGGTTAGGAAACACAGACAATAGTTGTATGACTAACATACAAATCTCTCACCTCGTTGCCTAACTTAACCCCCATCTCCTCAGCCACACGAGCCGCCACTGACATTGCAGCCACTCGTCGGGGCTGTGTGCAGCCTATCTTCTTCTTATCTTCTGTAAAGCCTGCCTGGTGAAGATACTGCGGAATCTGCGTAGTCTTGCCTGAACCCGTCTCTCCTTCTATGATAAGAATCTGTGCAAGACAAAACTTGTTAGATATCAGAGAAAACGGGTCGTCTTCAAAATAATCACCACAGATATTCCACAACTTTTATGAGCCTACATGTCCCGCAACAGTATTGACAAAACCTAACAGCTTTTTCATACGAGGTTTGTCAAACAAATCATACGATAAGTGATTTTCCTTATAACCATACCTTCAAAGTCTGGACCGCTTTTTAACTGCAAACTTTTTAAACGGTGTGGTCCAAAGGGCCCAAGTTAATATGTTAATACTGGTAGATAAATTAGCTTTTAGACATCCCTAAATGATTTATGTTAAATCTATCCAATAATGAGCCTCCGGATCAGTAAAAAAAGCTTATACAGGTTTAAGAAATAACTTACATTATTTTTAGCTTTAAATTATGGTTCAGTATTTTATTTGTATTTTATCATTCAAAAAGTAATTTTTTTTCATTGTTTCAAACTTACTCCGTCATTCTAACTCCTTGACTAACCACAAAGCCTACATTCTGAACAAATAAATAATTGTGAGATGTAAAAAAATAAAATAAAATAAAATGTTTTATTAAAATTTACTTGAGAAAAAAAAGTATAATGGTTACCTGATGTTCCCGAACTGCAGCGATTAAATCTTCTTTGAAAGGATAAATTGGGAGACTCTTTTGAGTTTCTTCAATGTTCATTTTTTTCTTTTGGGCTTCCGAAACTTCTTCCTTGTCCTGAAATTGATTTTACAAATGTTATAGACGCACAGTTTAAGTATGCCATTGTAATATAAACATTTAAAATTAAATTCTATGTATTTTGACCCTTCAGAGGAGACTTCACAGAATTTTCCTCAGGGGAATTGTATTTTAGTTTTAAGATCTGTCTGTTTTTTAAGGTGTGCAGTCACAGAAGTCACCATACCTCATTTGTGTCTTTCTAAGGAACAACTCAAATTAATTTCACTTTCCAAAATCTTCCTAATTCATCATGCCGCGAAGTTGCTGGAGACCAGTATAGAGTGTCACCTCTTGTAATTTTATCTGTTGTTATTTGTGTACTTTTTATAGTGTTAAATTTGTATTTAAATCATGAATCCAAACGGTGCATGTATGTGTCTACAATATATATATATACATAAGTTTACATGTATATACATGTAAAGTTGTTCACTATCCTAAAAACACACATCAATGGAAGCCGAACAAAAAGGTGCGGTTTTAACTAAATGTCAAATTTTATTCTTGAATTTAAACAATTAGATTTTGAATTTTAACATTTTCAATTCTTGATTCGGTTTTAAAACATGTGACGTTACCTTATCCTTGTCTCGGTTGCCAGGCATGCACAGAGCTTGTATGAAATCTATCTGGTTCTCCAGCACCAAGTCGTATTCCTGTTGTTGGTCTCTCTGTTTCGCTCCGAAGTGGAACACAGCGGAGGACATTTGTTCCTCCTCCCACTTGCGCTGTTCATAGTGTGGCATCCGCTCTCGCTCGTCCACCTCCTCATATTGGTCCTTGCTCTGTCACATTCAAAACAGGGATAACAAAATTGTGTTAAAATATTTTTTTTATTAAAAGCCACTTGGTTTGAGAATATTTAATTTTTAAGAAAGACAGAACAGATAGACAACTACAGTAGACTCCCTCTAGTTCTGACCCTTTAGGATCAAACTTTTGTCAGAGCGAAAAAATGTTGAACCATTAATGAATGGATGTTTTTCAAAAACACAAATAATCACAGTTGTCAACTTTGAGTGTGACCAATATATTGCATTACGATTACATGAATAAATATGTGACACTTGCTGGAAAATTTTTCCGCAAAAATTTGGTTAGTCAATTATTACTAGCCTATATTGCAGTGGTGTATCCAGGGGTGCATCCAGGGTTGGGGTTTGAACCCCCCCCCCCTTGACCTTTAATGTTATTTTTTTCAATTAAACAGTTTTTCCTACAATTTAAAACTCTCTTTTATGTGTCTTCATCAAGCCCAAAACGCGAGTTTACAGGTAAAGTAACAGAGATTTATATGGGGAGAATGAACACAGAACAGAACAGCGGACAGAAAGACAGAGTAGTATAACATCTAACTGAACTCACCGGTATTCATTCCAAGACTGAGATCGTCTCCTTTCTTCCGTTGGTCTCTCCTTTGACCTCTATTTAAATCTTAACGTCTTGCTGTGGCTTTTGGTTCTAACAATCACTAGGCCTACCGTATATACTATATTATTAATAAAAATAAAACTTTTACTTCTTGACACATAAAATAATATGAACACTTCTTTTACTTTATAACAACAGGTTGAATTTTTTAAAGTTTCCCGGGGACGGGCTTCGGACCCAGCCTTCCCTGGGCTCCTCAGACCCCTCGGTGTAACCCCCCCCCCCCACCCTTAGGATTATCCTAGTTACGCCTATGTTATATTGAGTGAGAGTCCTTAGTGTTACTTGAAATAACTTTCGTTTTAACTATAGGCCTAGTAGATACAATACTGACCTAGGCTGCTTTGCCTTTAACAAATTAGTAATATAGATTTGTCAGTGAAATAAAGTTAAAAAACTCATCCGCAACTCACGTCCTTAGTGTCCTGAGGCATGTGGTAACGCTGGACTTTCTCCAGCTCTCCAGCCTTGTCATGTTCTTTGGCCAAAGCGAGCAAAAACTTCTTCTCATCTCGATTTTTCTTTTCTCTTTCTGTGAGCCTAAAATGAGATGAATAATAAGTATATGTTCCAAAGCCATAAGCCCTACTTTTCCAGTAGCAAATGGTCTAACGCAGTGTTTCCCAACCTTTTTCCGCTCAGGGCACACTAGCTAGAACACGTTTGTAGTCACGGCACACTTGTCCACAAAAATATCGTTGGTTGAAATTACATTTAGTAAGTGCATAAAATACTTTTTTTTTCAATTACATCTTATCCCGTAAAACCTGTTTTTTACTAGTAAATATATATGTGTATAATTATAATATAAAGGTGGGTTTACCAAGGTAAAAAATAGAAAACTCACGATTGTTATCTAACATAGTACATTATTTAGTTTTTATTAAATGGAAAGTAAATAATAATAAAACATGAAGCTTGATTAAAATGTATGAATTTACCAATAATGAGTAAGAAATGTTTAATAAACCCAGGTTCAGTTCTAGTCGGAAACTTGTGCTTGACGTTTGTTCATTAAAAGTTTCTTTCTTGGACGAATGGTTGACAAGCAGACTCTCATATCGTCTTCCAAAGACTTAAGTTGAGAACGGGTTTTGGTCTTGATTGCGTTCATTGATGAGAATGCAGCTTCACAAATGTACGAAGTAGAAAAGGGCAATATTGCTTTCATGGCCTCCTTTGAAATTAGTGGATACTCCTTTAGTAAAGGAATCCAAAAAGATGAAATATCAATATTAACTTTGGTTTTCTTCAGTTTTGATTCTGCTTTTCGCATCTTCAACTAATTTGGAGTACTGTAGCTTTAAACCATGATCATTTTTTAAGTCGATAAGCTCACTCTCTTCATCAGTCGTAAACAATGCAGTCTTGTAAGCAGCTTCAATGAAAGGATTTCTCACCCAGTCCATTGAGGAAATATCAAGGGATGGGAAGTACTTTTTTATATTTCCTTCAAACAGACGCAGACTTTTCAAAATTAGCTCGGAAAAAGTTGAATCAATATCACAATCTTTTGTCAGTTCAAACATGTCCAAGGTTCCATGTTTTTCAATTTTAGTTATCCACATCGAAAGCTTCTGCTGGAAAGAACTTATTTTGTCAGTGGAAGTGAGAATGTTTTCTTGCTTTCCTTGCATGCCTTTGTTCAAAAAATACAATTTCCCAAATATGTCAGCCAAAAAAGCTACTTTTGCACACCAGTTTTCATTACTAAGAAAATCAGCATACTCAGATTCTTCACAAGTAAAAATATCAATAACTCATCCCTAAGTTCATAAAATCTTTGAAGGACACGTCCTCGTGATAACCATCTCACTTCTGTGTGTAGTAAAAGCTTGGTGTGCTCAGCATCCATAGCAGAACACAAACTATCAAAAAATCTGGACTTCAAAGGCCTACTCTTGATGAAGTTAACCATTTTTATAACAATTTGCAAAACATCATTCAGCTCAGGTACCAAAGACTTGGCAACTAGAGCTTCCCTGTAAAGAAAACAATGTGTAAAAATAATATCAGGATTTTCTTTCCTAACCAAGGCCAGAAAACCTGTTATATGGCCAACCATTGCAGGACAACCGTCTGTGCAAACGCTCAAACAATTCTGCCATGACAAACTATTGGCGGAGAAATAATTGTTCACTAGCTGAAAAATATCTAGTCCAGTTGTATTTCCAGGAAGGTCTTTGCAAAATAAAAACTGTTCAATTAACTCACTTTCACAAATAAATCTAACAAATGTTAGAACCTGAGGTTTCCCGGTTATATCTGTGGACTCGTCCAACTGAAGAGCAAAAAAATCTACTGTTTTAAGTTTTTCAGTAACTTGAGCTTCAACGTCTTTGGACATGTCTTCAATGCGCCTACTTATTGTATTGTCAGACAACGGGATTTTTCTAACTTCTTTTTCACATTCCTCACCAAACATAATTTTAACAATTTCACAGCAAGCTGGTAAAATGATTGATTCAGCTGTTGTGTGTGATTTCATTTTTTTAGCAACTAATTCAGCTACAACGTAACTGGCCTCCTGTGCTTTTTCCGATACAGAAGAGAGTTTTGTAAATGTTGAAGCCTGTGCGGATTGATTTAACAAAAGTCTTTTAAAATATTCAACCGGTTTTTCAGCAGCAAAAGCATGCTTCGTAACTAAATGTCTTTTTAACTTACTTGGTACCATAGCTTCATTTGACAGCTGGTCACTACAAATTAGACAACGGGGTTTTGGCTCTTCTCCACCAGACGACGTAAACCCGAATGACAAGTAGCTGTCATGGTACTGACGAAACTTAACCGATCCACCATCGTTACGTTCGTTATGTTTTCGTTTTGTAGGCCTACTTGCCATAACAGTTTTGTTTCCACTAACTTCAGCACTACTAGTCTCTTCACTTGAGTTAGAACAGGTACTAACATCGTTTTTCTTTGTTAAATAACGATCCATGTCACACAATCAATACTAACGACGTACAAAACAACACTAGCACTGACAGGTTAACTGAAAATGAGTATTCTGTTCTGTTGCTATGCTATCGCTTCTCTACGCCTAGCGCTTACTAGTGGATGATTAGTGAACTATAGGTAGGCAGATATGCCGTGCGCTACCGAATTCTACCGGCAAAGATTCGAACTATTAGTTAATGTTAGAAGCGGAACGTAGTGAATGGTAAGGAGTGGAAGTTGGGGCATGACTTCATAGATTCAACACTGACAAGTAATTGTACGCAAAAGAACGTGCTGTCATGAATGCGCAACAGCTCTTAAAACACGTCTATTATGAGATAAAAAATGTTAACTACTTAAATTTTCGCGGCACACCGGTTGGGAAACACTGGTCTAACGACTAGGGTTCAAAATTACAGTAGCAGTCATGTGACCACAAGAAACATAGACCTGCACCAACACATACCTGAAATGCAAACCACTCATTTGAGCAGTGTTGCCAAACTATGTTCATTATTTTACCCGCGTCCCGATAAAATCCCAGTTTATACAAGTTGGTCCAGCAGCAATCCCCGCAAAATCCCTGAAACTTAGCAAAATACCCTGAAATTTTGGTAAACTGCACTTACACTTTGAGAAGAAGTATCACGGATGTAGAGCACAGATTATCCAAATGCCACTCATCCGAAACGTTGGTTAATCAAAGTCGTCCCCAAAGGCAGTAAATTTGAATTTACTGCCATGCCAACATTACGAAAGCAGCCGGCATGAGCCCACAAGGCGCGCTTCGTGCATAACTGAGTGACACAGTGATCGTGATGTAGGCCCTACTCGTATACTCATTACTGATGTGTTAAAACCGAATGTCAAATCTCAAAACCATCAAAACTTAAGAAAAGTTTCTGTTTCGAGATTTGATAGGCAAGTTCCGAGATTCAAAAGTTCAAAATTGAAGATTTCGGTACCTGTAGCTTTATTTTTGAAACTGCCAACATTTTTTGGTGTCATTATTGTTGTTTTTAACTCTGTTTAAACACAAAAGCTGGATAATTTAATCAAGTAATTACATTCTGACCTAAAAAAAAGGTACCTTAAATACTAATTAGGCCTACTAGAACAACTTACAATAAAGTTCTATACCGTACCCATATTTGCTAAACACAAATAAATATTGACCACTAAATGTTCTAATGGTTCTAACTTTCATTTTTTTTAATGTTGGGTAAGGAGTTTAATTAATTTTAATGTTTGATGTTGGTCACAAATAATGGTTTTTTTGTTGTGTGTTTGAAGTTAATTTGTCACTGTATTTATGCTATCTCAGGGCCAGGACTCAATTTCTTTCAGTTTTGATTGCATAATAAACATTTTATTATTTAGGTACCTGTATTATTGTAGAAAACTTTTAACTAAAAAGGTTTTGCATTTGCGTTTTGAGATTCAAAATTTGATTTATTGAGTTTCGGTTTCGGTTTTGAGATTCCAAATTTCTGATTTTGCCCATCACATCACTAATTAATACAAATAACCCCACTTTGTGTTCTCTCAAAAAATAATTGTTTTATTTGGATTCCACCGTTAGTTAATCTACCAAACATTATGGTAGATAAAGAATACTATTTTTTTTTCTCAATACTTAGCTTAGGCCTATATACAATGCTGAGTGTGCTATGCTTTAATGTCCTAATTAGCCTACAATAAACTTAAGACGACCATAGTGATGTGGTCAGAAATGCCGAAGATCTTGGCGATAACATCAAATGAAGGGTATTGACAAAATCTAACGTTACCAGGCTGAAGTAAAGTACGACTTTACTCATGATAGATTTGGTCAATGCACTAGGCCTATCTTCAAAATAAACTACCTATCTGGACACCCCTCTGCTCCAATTTTTTTGAATAATCGATGCTCTACTGTAGCATTAAACATTATTCAATCCCCAAAAAATGCCTGCACAACCATCAAAATACTTGGCAAAACTGTATTTGAACCTCTACAAAAAGATACTAGCCTACACAGGAGTGACCATTCTTCTATCATCAATTGTTGAATAAAATACCAACCAAACACTAAGACTTAAAAGAAAAAAGAATGGACCTATCACGAATCACAATTAAGTTTAAGTAGGTAACACTTCTTTCTTTTTTTTAAAGGAAAATATTTCTAGTTTGATTTTTTCTACACACTACTTCACATAAAACGATGAATATTTTATTTACTCGTAAACAAATATGAACAAAAACTTCATACATAACTTACTCTTGTTCATTGAACAGGTACTCATCATCTTGGATATCAGCCTCCAATTCAGCAACCTTGTCTTCTTTACGTTTTTCGAGATATTTCCTTCTCGATTCAACACGCATTCGAGAGACAACCTTATCCCTGTTTTCATTTTCCAGTTTAAGTCTTTTTGCAGCTTCCTCGTAGGTTTTTTTATCTGTAATTAACGAAGCAATTAATAACTACTGTAACTTAATTGTTTGAATAAATTTGGGCTACCAGTACTTTTACCGGTACTTTGTAAAATATGGTAGCCTATACAAAAGCTGAGCCAATTTCTTAAAAAATTTACTTTGTATTAACTTAAGCTACATTAAATTTAATAACATAGATATTTCTATAATGTTTTATTTTAGCCAAACTAAAATTCTTAGAGTCATAAATATCGCTGGATGGGATTGTAAAAGGGTCGTGTTGTGAGGAACCAGCCAGTAATGAGCCTGAAGGTCGGTTTTTAGCTGCCTCAACTTAGGGTGGTGAGAGCAAGTGGCGGATCTAGAACAGTCAAAAGGACGGGAGGGGGGGGTCTAGGGGGTTCGGGGATACCCCCCAAAAAATGTGTGTAAACTAAGTCTCCAAAATGGCAGTTTTATACCATTTGTTTGTCCAAATTAGTGTGACAAATTATTTTACGCAATGTGTATTCAATACTGTATTACAGGCAGTAAAAGAAATACACATATGTATGCCCGGGGGGGGGGGGGTTGCCCCCTTCGCCCCCCCTCTGGATCCGCCACTGTTGAGAGCCCTTATAGTCAATATGTTTATCTAAAACAAGTGAAGCCAAATCAGTGGAAACTATTAAAACCCCTTCGTTTCTAAATATATTGCCCTTTTATAACTAAAAACAAGTAAATATTATTAAAACCTAAATCTGTCAACGGTAAGTAGGCTTTATTGCTTAGTTTTCATCAAAAATAAAAGTTTTACTTATCAATTTGATAACACAAATAACAGAAATTTGATAACAGAAATTAGGAAATTTCTGTAAGGTAACTTAACTTAACTTACTTACTATAATTATAACTGTGGATAAAAAAATATGTTCAAATTATTTACTTAACTTAACTTACTTGATCGTGCTGAAACAACATTCCTAGTTTTTTCTTTGTCACGCTTCTTCAGCCTTTCTGCAAACTCATCTCTCTGCTTCCTATCTTCTTCACTATCGCTTGTGCTTGAATCGCTAGACTTCCCCATCTGAAACACCCATTTCATAAAGAGCTTGTCCTCAAAATATAAAGATAGGCTAACTAGTTTACCAAGATGAGATAGGCTACCTGGACTGGACCCAGATGAGAATAGGATCAAGCTTAAACCTCATTTAGATATCAATTAATTTTTTGAAGCTATCTAACGAAAGCTTGACGTTGGATAGCTTTCATTAACTTCAAGACTCTGTAATGGCTTTAAAATAAATATTAATTAAGTAGGCATAACTTAGGCCTAAAATGTGTTTGTACTGTAGTAGGTAGGTAGGCCTGTAGACACTTAATAGGCCTAACTTAAGTTACCTAAATATTAAAAAGCTTTCATATTTTTATTTAGACTAACTTAAGTCATTGATTTATCTAAGGTGAGCACCATTAAACTATCATAAATACTAACAATAATACATTTGTATCACTATTGTAAACTTAACTAAACTAGGGATAAGGTAAGCTAAGCTATTTTGAGTTAAGTCTATTCTATTGACAAACCTACGTTTAATAAACCTATAAAAGGGCATGGAGACACTAATAAAACCAACTTAACAGATTTATTTACCTTAAACAAAACAACTTCAAAACTGAATTTTCGAAATACAGTAGTAACTTAAATAACCAATTTTTTGAGTTTTAAGTCAATGTAAGGTTATGTTTATCGAATGAAAAACGAAAACACAAGAAAACAAGCCAGAAGCGAAAACCCTGAGCTTACTTTTTTCTTTTGCTATAATTTGGTCAACTTGTGTTACAGCCATGGAGCAGCGCAGTCTAGAAACGTTAACCTTGGTGTATATATACACTATATAAACAAATACTTTAACACGAAACTCTGAAACAAAACCAGCAAAAACAGTGGTATGTTTTTTAAACACAGAGTGGTTACTCCAGTTATTATTATAGTTCAGTGGTGATTAGAGTTAGAGCTGGACTTGGCTCCTTGGCTGAAGTAGTAAAATCTAATTCCACAAATTTGGGCTAAAAAAATAATAGTTGAGAGTATAAAATACCAGTAGATCAAATATGTCTTGAATATGCAGTTTTAAATCTTCAACCGGCGGCCGGGGCTGCAATTTTTTGCTTGATTGTCGTTTGAGTTTGCGCTTGCTTGCGGAATTGCACTTTACAAACAAATACCATTAATTTGGTGTGTATATTCACCTATGCTTACCTTTTAAGATTTTCTTCTGACTCATAGCAAAAGAAAATCCTCCGTAGGCCCTACTCCTATCCCCTAAGGTCAGTTAACTGAAAATGGTTTTATAATGGCTTTCATGTTGTAACTCTGTTGAGTTTGGGGTTCAACATTCCAAGTACCTAAATAAAATCATATAAAACACACTCCTCAAGGAGTGTTATTTTATCTATGATAAAATACACAAGGAGTAAATCTGTTTAAAAAAATCATACATTAGTACGGTACTTCTTAAATCGAGTTTTAAAGTGTTGGCACTTTTATAAATGGGTAGCTCAGTGGATATAGTAATCTCCTAGTAATTTAAAGGTTGTCGGTTTGGTTCCAAGAAAAACGTGTAGCTTAATTTTTATTGTTCAAAACTGGTCCAAGCTGTTCTTGATCATTTGGCTTTTCAGAAATCCTGGCCAATTTAACAGCCAGTAACAAAGTTGGTCTTAAACCTAAAAGGCATCTCCTTCCGATTCTACTCCACACGGGGTTAAAATACACCTGGTTGGCGCCCACGCCAACACTTCTCTCCTCTCTGTATAATCCACCATGTCATGTCAATGGTGGCGACACCATCTTAAGTGATAACGAATGAATGTTAAGGAATGTACTAAAAATAGTCTTCCATTATTATTCCATACATTTACTTATACTGTACAGTAAACACAAAAGTTTTAGTACTTTTTTCTTAATATTAATATCATTAATATTATTTGTTAATTTGAAATGTCAAATGAACTTTTAATTTTTATAAAACGTTTGGGGGTGTTCCTTTTCAAACCTTTATTCTTAGTACTAAGATTCCTTCAGTCTTATTTACGTCTGGGGATTACTATAATATTTGGATCATAAGACCCATTCTCAACCCCAACATCAAATTGATGGTTTATGATCCATATAGTCTATGTATTTATTGATGTTCAGAGATTAACACTGGCAAGTGGCAGTTTTGTCCTCTCTCAAAATAGCTCATCTTGGAACTGTCTTGGAGACAAAATAAGGTTTAAAAGGATTAAAGACAAGAGTAATAAATTAGTAGTTTAATAAAGACAAAAAATTACTGGACTTCAGAATTCACATGGTTAAATTGATCGAGTTTATGATCATGAACTGAAGGCAATGCTTCATATGAACAAATGACCACTTCTTGTCTTTGCATTGGGGTAAATTCCCCTCTAAGGCCAATGTAGTAGATCTTGGTAGTCTCAGAACCAAAATTGCGGGGGAAATGGATTGAGAGATGGTGGACTGTAGCAAACTTCACCACCCTGCAAAAAAACATAATTACATCAACCAATTTGTTGCTAAACCTATTTACACATGATCTTAGTTTTTGCTGAAATCCAATGTAACGTAGATAGTTTAGTGTGCTAGTCCTTGTAGCCCTTTTTGTCCACTTATTGAAAAATGTGTTTGAACAATAAAAATACTGATGATGGAAATCAAAGGGAATAGTATCCAGGAAAACTAGCATTGATAAGGTGCACATGAAAACACATCTCTAAAACACCCTACAATAATGATATCATTATTAAATGCAGTTGGCAGCGTTTTGGAGCAGTAATGACCTAAGCTCCTCCCCTCTCGAAAAAACAAACATCACCATATTTTACTCATAAATGTTGTTCGCCTAAGATGTGTATTTAAGCACATTTGAGGTTTAAGGTTGATGGCAAATAGTCAAATCATCACAACATGCCACTATGATAGGTATGCGTCTATACTCGGTATGTCAAAAACCAGGTATTGACCAGGAAAAATCCCTGCATTTTGGGGAAACTAGATCTGCTAGAACTGATCCGATAAATCATAAACATTGTTTGTTTTATAATGTATGGCACAATAATTTACGAGTTGTCTGTTAATTAAGTTCTCCAACAAGCTCCAGGTCCAGAAAAGTTAGCTAATTTAAATCTGAGATCAAAATTGTCATATTCACTTCATGAGTCATATTCATTCAATGAATTCACTTTTATCCTAGTAGGTTACTACCCTATACATAAAAAATGTGAGGGCAATTGATGATCCCGCCAAATCAGAATCACGATCTGTGATTCCTTTCCTACGGGTCAATCCCTGTTCAAATCTGATGCCAGTAGGCAGACGTGTTTGCAGAGAAGTATTTTAATTTAGAAAATATGTATAAGTGGTATAGTGAGTTCTCAGAACAGGGCTGGCAGCGGGTGTTTATCAGGTTTCATCGAGACAATGATTGTATTCGAGTAAACGTTAGTTGCTGATTGGCGTGTTTAAGACTTCCAGGGCTTACAATAGTCTTTGAAAGTATTATAGAAACACATCCCAAGAGTTAGGAAATCTATCTCATTCCTCTTTTGTCATTCGTCTATACATTTTTGAAAAGCTTTAAACAAAGTTTTAATTAAAAATTCCATTTTAACTCGTCTTGCATAGAAATATTCGTACGAAAATCACAGCAACTCTTTTTCAAATATTGTAACTACGGTAAAATCTATAAATTAAGCAGAGAAAATATATTTTTTTACAATCTATAAAAATTATAAGAGGATTGGAGCAGTTTTGATCTTTTAAGTTAGGAGTCTTTGTTAAAAATGTGTTTTCTAATCTGAACCATTTACAAATGTTAGTGTAGTTTGATAATAAAAAGGTGGATCATCTCGAATTCAATTGCAATGTAACTAGCCACTCAAACAAGATTGATCACTCAGCTTAACGTATAGTTAGTTGGATGAGTGACGCCCCAGTTGATTAGGCGCAGTACCAATAGCCTAGTGTACATGTGCACATACACCAGGGTTGCCACCTGAGGTTAGGGGGAAAAAGGGTCAAGGCCCCCGTTCTATCCAAAATAACATAGGCTTAAAATATAGGCATAAGGAACCAAAATCGGGACTATCCCGACAGAATCTGAACCTGAGGCAACTCTGGCATACACTGCTAGACAGCTATAACAGCAGGGACGGAAGTGTTCTACATTGTTCAGTACGTAATGAAATCACGTACTATTTCTTTTAGGATATGACTATTTTTGGGGGGATAGGATCTAGCCGGATTACTGGAGTGCTGAATTATCAAGGTTCTACTGTATTATGCATTACCCAACAGCTGTGGAAAAACAATCATACTCAGGTATACTGACATGGTGGAATACTCCAACATTCCGTTAGTGTCATGATGTAGCTCAAACTCTTGAACAGCCGGAAGAGAAGTATCATCAAATGACATATTTTCACGATTCTTGAACCTAAATATGAAAGTATAGCATTAAATTTCAATTTTAAAAAAATCAATATTCTATTTAAAATGGCCACCACACATACACTAGCATAGGTTATAATGCTACAACTTTTGTCAAGAAGAAAAAAACTCTGTTAATTACTTAATTATAAAAAAAACTATTAACAAAGCATAGCGTGAATAGAAATTACTTGTTCCGCCAGTAATATTTAAGATTCAAATAATCGCTTCAATTCAAAGCTAGTATTTATGGGCAAAAAATTACATAGGCAATAGCTATATCTGCCTTTAATTTTTCTATACAAAAATTCAAAATGATTGACGTACAATGCTAGTAAACTGTAACTGTACTTTAAATGAAAGAGCACTTATAAACTATTTGAAAACGTAGTTTCAAGGTTAATTAATTATACTTACAGTCTCATTTTGGATGGATGAGATTCACCTTCTCCTCCAACCACGATTATTCCTTTGAGTTTCACATTTCCTGTGAAGCTGTAAAATTAGGATTTTATATAGTTAGACAACTGTATTTTAAGTTAATGTAAGATAAATTAACTCTAGTAAAACTGAATGGCCATTCCATAGAATGTCAAAACCAGAGCAAAATTGGGTTTAACACATTCGCTACCTCAATGGTACTACATTTTTCATTCATATGAACCAGCTACACACATATGCGACGGCCGGTTACCACCCATAGACTACCATCGCATATATGCGAGGGCTGGTCACATTAAAAGACTGACCGATGTCGCATATTAGCATCGGTGTCCCAATGTTACTAAAAGTCTTCGAAATGGTCTATTTGAAGGCCTCGAATTCCCTGTAGAGGTCTACAGAGATGTCTGTCGCATATGTGGGTCACTTGGTCTGTGGATATGATGATTAGTGATGTCATATGATAGTTGGCAAAACTGTTTTTTACTTTACTGCATCACTGGCAGCAAACCAGCAGTACCCGTGGTCCGCGGGTACTGTTAACCATAGGAAATTAGATGTGTTTTATTAAAATGTATACCTCGGTCCGTGGTAATGACCATATTGTCACATATATTATGTCCATGGATATTTACACCACAGTTAATGTAATTTGGATCTTAATGCTTGGATCTTAAAAATAGTATTGTATTTTTAGTTAGTTTTGACCTGAGTTACTCTGTAAAACAGTAATATTTGTACTGAGAGACGCTCGGAAATAAAGGCATTTTTATTTATTTATTTATTAACTAATCACATCTTGTTTTGCAAGGTATTTAGTTTATGGTTGCAATAATAGCCATCTTGGCGACCAGTGTTTCCGTACGTTGGATTTTTATCCAAAAAAGGGGATCTTCAGGCTTAATATCTTGTCATATTTACAGGATTAAAACAGGATGTGGGCGTGGGATAAAACGGTATTTTTGGCTCTGACGCCCGATTTTGACTACCAGATAATAGCTAACCCTCCTAGTTATTACATTATTTTATTAAGGTTTAAACTTAGGTAGCTATTTAAACATGGTCAACAAGACCACTCAGGATAGAGATTTACCTCTACCCAGTCAGTGGGATTTAAATAGTCATCTTTTTATGTTTGAAACACTGTTGGAAAAATGTGATTGGGACACTGACTGTACATTCTGGACAAAATTATTCAATAAGTACCAGTAATTAAGTTGTTTATTAAAACCACTAGCTTTGTTTAGTCAAAATTCTCATCTGGGTTTTAGGTTTTAGGTCCCTACGACAGTGGTTCCCTACATAAAAAAGCACTTGCCTAGGCCTAATATTTTATGTGTAAACTGAAACGTAATAAGAGGTCTTAATACTTGTTAAATTAAATAATGTACCGTAAATGAACCATATCAGTATTTCCACTTAGATGGAGATGATAATGATCATTTTTATACTCGCAGGCCATTGGACCAGCTGTAAAATGTAGCCCTCAAATAGGACAACAGGTTGCATTCATCTCCCTCCATTTCTGATCAGTTCTTAGTTTGTTGTTGGGAAAAGAAGTTTTAGAGCACCACAAGAAAACTTTTTTAGCAGTAGGGATTTGTAAATTTGCCATAGAAAAACTACATTATAGATAAGTTTGATCCATTTACCTTATGGCTTATACATATTTAGATACAATTATGCATTTCACATTGATAAATTACAATTCAAGAAAACATAAATTTAACTTTTTTCAAAATGGTGCCTAGTGGGGTAGATTTGAACAGGAGTCTGAGGGGTAACACCATGTTTTCCTCTGGTAAGCATGTTGTTCAAATGTAGGCTACCCCAACTGATTATATTTCTTTCCTATACAAGACAGAATTGAATAATAATAATTTAAGACTATAAGCTTCCTCAACCAACAATGAGTGTGAGAACTGCACGTGCAGCGAACAAATATAATTTTGCTATTAACTTTGCAACATTTAGCTACAAATAATGTGAATCTATAACATTAAATGAAGAATTGGTTCCAATAGAAATAAGAACTGTTTTTATCAACTCACATGCATAACAATTTCTGTAAAATAAAAATTTTCATTTTACTTAATTAGTGTGTTCAATTGTAGGCCTACCCCACTTCTTGTTCAAATGTACCCCACCCTACTTTTGGTACTTTGGGGTACTTTTGAACGATTTGCATACCATTGTGAAAACAGATATTGCACATTAATATGTTAACTTGGAGGGTTTAAAAAATAACTAAATTAAAGCTAACATTATGTTACAACTAAATGTAATAATGTTTTTATTTAAAACACATAAATTCACCTAGCCTATTAAAAAATTAAAGTTTAAAAAGCGTTCAAACGTGCCTCACTCTCCCCTACCTACTTAAATACAAACCTTGTAAATATGTTTATAAATATTATTATTTTAATTTTGACTCAGTCTATCCAGCAAGTGCTGGTCAACGACGTCGAGGGAGTAAGTAAGCAAGTAAGTATATAGGGTATTACTGTAGCATAAGCCTACAATAATTTGGAAAGGACAATTACTGAATCTTTATCTTATTAAGTACCTATTCAACCACATGTCTCGGTATATTCCAAATGCATGAATAGCCTAAATACATTGATTGGCTCAGTTCCTTTACATAGGTACTTACGGAATATTAAACAAGAGCTCTTCGTCAGCATCACTTTCTACAAACTGAAAAAAATAGTTTCATCACAGTATTTTGTATCGATCTGCATTTTTAAATCAGTTCAAGTGTAATTGAAAATTTATGTTGACAATAAATTAACTTAACTACCTAACTTTAAAATGGAGTAAAGTACCGGTAATGTAAGTTGGATGACAAAAACATTGTCCAAATCTTATAAAACCTGACTTAGGATAGGCTAAAATAAAACAGCAAATAAGTTAAGCTACAGATTATTTTAAGCTAAAAAATTTATGGATGTATGGGATTAAAACGCGCGCATGTAGACAGACTTCAACGCTACGTACCTTTTAAGTGCAGCACCTTAGCTAATTGAGCTATCTTACCGGTACCATACCACCGTAGGCCAAACGGGTTGATTCCCACTAACTTATACGCACTCGACCACACTAATGCTAGCAGATTAGATTCGACGTAAGGTTCTACTTAAGGCCAGTAGGTTAGCAGTACCACGACACTTATCTCACAGCAAAAAGCAGTGACAAGCTATGTTATTCGTCCAATAAAGTACCATTGATTCTCTGCTGAAATATACCCCAATAAGTGAAGTCGCTGTCAATGGCTTAAAACATAGTAAGTTACGTAGGAATGGATCAAACTTATTTAGGCCTAAGGTACCTGATTGCATGCATTGACCTACTTTTGTTAATGATGGTACGGTACTTTTGAATTGGAGACAGGACAGGGGACACCATGGCTGAATGAATAACCCTAGCGAAGCAAAACTTAGTACTTACCCAGGAGTAACTTAGTCAAGCTAGTCCTATGTAACCTTTAAAACTCCTAAGTTAGCCCTACCTTCTCAAAATTAAGTCTTTCTTCCCAAGGTTTGAATACATCTTTTCCTGACCCTTCAACAGCTTCATTCAAACATTCCAAGTTCATTATATCTATTTTTGTATATAGACTGTATTGAAGTCCCATTTCAGGAGTGTCATCATGGCCTTCATCCCCGTCACAACCGCCGTGACTGTGCCCATGACTATGACCCGACATGGCAAAATTAAATAAGATTGACTTTGTTCTATCGGTTCATGAAAAGATTACAACTCTCAGTGGAAGTAAATTTGTGTAAGTTTTACAAAATAGCCTAATCCAGTAAAATTATAAATCAAAACCCAAACTTATCTACATAATCACAAAGTGTCACATACTGTGTGTGACGGTGTGTGTGTATTCAGTTTCAGTATTGTTTTGTTTGTTTTCTGTTTTGTTAGGTCTCGGTCTAGGTTATTATTGTTTGAATTGAATTCAAGTCTATTCTACTCTGGAAAATTTTGATAAATAGCTTTTTTGTACGTCGTCATGTATGTCATGTCAGTCTTCTTTTATCACTATGTAAACTCTCCAACAAACTCCAAAACACGTGATTTAGTTCACACTGCCATTGATTTTGGACGTTGGGTCCTATTACTCCGATTAATTTGACTCAGAAACACATTTAGTTGCAATAGATCAATACAATTAATTACAATTTTAAAATAGCTCTGAATTATTTCGGACCGGTAATTAATTATTTTGGAGCTCTCTGAACTTTGGTGAATTTTGGTATACAATTTCTAATTCTAATCCATGGTTGGTAGGCCTATCTCCATAAAACATGTTTTTTTTCCTTTTTTGTAATTATTTTTTTAGTGTTGGTTTTGCCTTAAATAACGGAAAATCTGATTCCCACAAAATTTACACCAACAAAATTGAGGGAAATTTAAGCCCCCCACACACTACCAGACCAGACCTCCAGACCAGACCGTCTGGCTGCAACCAGACCGTCTTGGACGGCTCTACACACTCCCAGACCAGACGGTCTAACATTCGTAATTGAGAGACCGTGGTGAGAACTCTAACAAATGGATGAAGACTGTCACGATGGTCGGCCGTCTGACAGACAGCGCTACACACTCACAGACCAGACAAAAATAGTGCTGGGGGAACCTCAGACCGTCTGTGGTCTGAGGGTTCAACCATCAGACACGCAGACAGTCTGGTCCGAGAAAATTGGTCTGCAGACAGTCCCACACACGATAAGACAAGTGCCAGACGCCAGACCAGACGGTCTGGTCTGGAGGTCTGGTCTGGTAGTGTGTGGGGGGCTTTTCCCTGAAGAAGTTGGCTCAATTCCAGACGCTGCAAAAATTAGGGCTTAAAAGCTATTACATTTTTTTATTCCCCCTTAAAGTCTTAAACATTTTAATAAAAATATACAGCTTCAGTCTTCACCTTGGTTCGATTTATAATACATTCATTCTTCATTCGGTATTAAGTCTGGAAGTTTATCTAAAATTTCATCATACAGGCAGGCCTATCTCCTGCGACTATAGACAATGTAAAAGGAGTATTAGTGTTGCATTTGCAAGTACAAGTTGAGTGGTTGTCCCCATTTGATTAAATTCGTCTTAGTTGATGTGAGCCACCAACCTTTGCAATTGCTCGATTTCGAGCAACGTGTTAACTACAGTAGTGAATTATTATTCTCCTTCAATATTTTAATCGATGCTTTTGTCGACCAATAAAGACCAAAACAAGGTCTTACGTTCAATAAATAAAAAAAAAATTGTTGTAGTTTGTAGTAAAAATTATGTCTAAAAATTATAATGGCATTAAAATTGTATAAATATACTAATTCTACAAAATAATTAATAACATGTATATAAAATGTTAACATTTTCTGTCTGTGAAGCTGAGAACACTGGATCAGTGATCTCAGATGGTTGTGTTGTTTAAACCAGCCAATCAGAATAATATCTCTTTACCAATCTCCCACCATCTAAAAAAAATATTCAATTCAATTCAATTCAAAATTCAAACTCAGAACAGAACGGCGAGGCGACCAACGACTAACGAGAACGAGTAACGACAAAGCGAACTAGCAAGCAACTAGAGGGAAGGATCGACGACAAAACAACCAACCAGTGTGTTTGGGTTTGGTTCTGGTTTACAACTTACTTTTGTCAGTGGTAAGTTTTTTAAAAGTGTAAACAACTAATCAGTAATTTTAATTTCTTATTAATTTACCAAAATACCTATATAAATTGAAAATAAGGTGAGTTTAAAGCAACCAAATTATACACATACCTTCGAGTGAGCGTTGATGAGAGTTAAGTAGTTAATCAAAAGTTTTCGCGTGAAACCTTTCATGTAAGCACCTGTACCACAGAAAACATATTACTATAACCGTACCTAGTTTGTAGTAGGCCTCGCTGTTGGTAGGCTATTTTGGTCTAGCTAAAAAGTTCAGTAGGCCTAATCACCTATTTCCATTTGTACTTGGCCACAGTGGCGGTTCTAGGACCTTGTTAAGGGGGGGGCTACCGTGGGGGGGGGGTGTGGAGCACCCACCAATTAGGCAGGGGGGTCCGGGGGCCCTCCCCCGGGAAAATTTGGAATTTTCAAAGCCGTTTGGTAACTTTCTAAAGCCATTTTTAACACCTTAAACCGTGCCCAACTGTCCAAAAACTCCCATTTCACCTGTTGTTTCTCATGAACAAATAGACATTAAAAAAATTAAACTATGACGATTGCATTCATGAACTTCAAAACGCACTGTAGACTACGGCCATATCACAGACAATGGAATAAACCTCCATACTTTAATGGAATAAATTAAAGTATTATATTGTCTGTGGCCATATATACTCCTAAAAGCCGTTGGGTGACTTGACTTTCTACAGCCAGTTTTAACGTCTAGAACTGTGTGCAAAACCTCCCATTTCCCCATTTATTTGTCATGAATATGTAGACATTTTTAAAACTAACTGACGATTGCATTCATATATCTCAAAACATATTGTGGGCTACGGCCATATCCTCCTAAAAGCTGTTTACTGATTTTCCAAAGGCTTATTTATGTCTATAATATCTGTGTCCAACTGTCCATAAATCTCCCATTTCATCTGTCATTTGTCTTTGTCATAAGTAAGTGTAGACATTTTAAAAATCTAACTAGGCCTATGACGAACTTGCATTCATGAATTTCAAAACATAGGCCTACTGTAGACAACGAAGCCAAATCTCCTAAAACAGTTTGGTGACTTTATTAAGGGGATTCGCCACTGAAAAGGGTGAATTTTTTTATTTAATGAGGAAAGTCGTGAAACTATTTTTTTTCTAGTAGGGTATAGTTTAACAAAAAATGGAAAAATTTTGGTTTACTTCTAAATATAAATTATAGGCGGTAAAAAAATAAAATAGAGGTTTTTCGATCAATTTGTAAGGGGTTTTAAAAATCGATATTCTGAAGAGAGTTCTTTATGGATTTTGATAAATTTGGTGTTTTTTTAAAGACAGTTATCTAAACTTAAAATTTAGGTAGATTCATAATAATATCTCAGATACTTTTTTTGCTGTGACACATTAAATATAATTTTTCTTCAGAAAAAAGAATTAGTTTGAAAAAAACGTTATTGTTCAGTACCTAATTAACTTAGATACCTAATTCTACCAAAATATTTTCCTAATACTGTCTAGAATAAGTAGTAAAAATTTCAACAATGTACCTTTAGTGGCTCTCAAGATATATCAAATTTTGTATTGAAAAACGTGAAATTTCAATGTTGCGGATAACCGCGTTTGAATAAGAAGGTGTCCTATGATCTTGTAGCTATCGTAAAGAGCGAAACCCCTTGGTTATAACATATAATAACATTCATACATGGATTATATCATACTTTTTTGATGTAATAGGGTCCAATGTACAAAGAAATGTAAAAAGATATTTTTACAATTTTTCATGATTTTTACCTATTTTCAGTGGTGAATCCCCTTAAGCAATTTCTAACGGCTAAAACTGTACCCAATTGTCCTAAAACCTTCCATTTCACCTGTTATATGTCATGCAAGCAAGTAGACACGTTTTTTAACCTTACGTTTTTCTCCATTTCATAGATCTGTCACAATATTATCGAATTCAGTAATAGTATTGACTATTTCAACTTTAACACTAGTGTTTACATATAGTCAATGGTAATTAATAGGCTACTGGTGCTACAGCCAATTGCTGATTGATGCCTGTGTAAAGTTAGTGGCTAGCAGACAATTTGACAACTGCTATGATGAAACATCAGGAAATCAGCCCTGTCCTCGCTTGCGCGCTCGGCGCTCGCTAGCCATTGCCCTAGCATGTCAACAGCTGACAGCTGTAACAATTGGATGATGCGTACAACTTTCTATAACTAGCGTTTATTCGATCGAGGTGCTATTGTCCACAAAGTTTATCTATGTGGAACTTAATACTACTCCTGCCATCGCTTATTAAGTTTAATAAAATTTACATTGATGTCTGTTTTATGACATTGCGTGTTTTAAGGACGAAATGTACGTTTAAATTTATTTTTCCAGGGTCCAAGGGGGGGGCTTTAGCCCCTATAGCCCCCCCCTTGGAACCGCCACTGCTTGGCCATGTCAATTGAGCTAAGTACTCCCACAACTAAACGTAAATAAACCTAGGCCCTAGGCCTATTCTTATTCCACAACTCTGTTTGTAAAGTGGTCTACAGGGATGAGAATCGATAACCTTTTTACCCAACTAGCCTATGGAAATAGTTAATTAAACTTATTGGTGTTTTGGAAATTATTGCGATGAGGGTGACCAAGAGTACTATAGGCCTATTAATTACTAGCAGAGTACCGGTACCCGTCCTTCGTACGGGGTTGGCGTAGGCCTATATAAGTATAAAATGGGTATTGCAGTTATACTTGGTTTTGGGTTTGCAATGAGAGAGGATACGGTTGAGAATATTTGGTTCTTTTAATTTACGGTACCGGTACGCTATAATATAGCACATCTACCATAGCCATGATGTTCTTAACTGCACCTAAACAATAAAAAAAGTAAATGTCTCATTGTATATCACCGCTTTTTGTTGCTAGTTGGTTGAAATTAGCTGTTGTCATAAATGCAAAAAAAAAAAAAAATGCCGGTAACTTAATAGTGATGCACCCTGTTGGTAAACCTTATAACTTTTAATACTATTTATTATCATAGAATCAACTTGTGTAGTTGAAACAGCTGACGAAATCTTTGAATTCCTTTTAAATATTAATACTCATAAGGTTAGCATGGGAAACTCCAGAGCCAATGGGGTGGAGCCCGAAAGGATTTTTGAGATAAAAATATGTCTATATGTTAATTGGGATTGTGAGTTGTCACCATACCGATTTTCAGCTCAATACAACCAGTAACTTAGGTAATTATAATGTGTGATTGAACTTCAAACAAACAAAAAACACACAAACTTTCGCATTTATAATATTAGTAAGATTAGAAACTATCATATCATTAGAAACTAGATTTTTACCTGAAAACAATGGTGCAAAAATTTTCTGCTGTCTCAAAAACTGAATTAATTACGATTTTTGGAATTTTATTACTTCAGTTCTTATTTAGACGTGTGAGGTTGGTAGGTCGGGTGTTATGCGGATTCGTGGCTGTATTAAGTGTTTTGAAGTTAGGTTGGATTAACTTAATAGGAAGTTAAGAGTTTAGGTTATAATGAATCGAGTTGTTGATTATCTCCAGACTTTTTTTGCACTTTGTAAAAAGTACTAGAAATACAATAAGTTACCTATGTAATAGTTTAAAAAATGTGCGGCAAATTGTTCCAAAAAATTCAACTCTTTAGCCTAGCAGCCGACAAACTTTTTTAGCCTATGTCATATTTTAAAACTCATTTAAAAGTACCGAAAATTAAAATGGTATAAGATTACCTGTTTCCGTCTATGATCCTAAAATTTGTAGTAATGAGCTATCGGTTTCGAGGTTATAACCTCATCATCAGGCTCTTGTCACTCTTGCGAGGTCGTCGAGTTTTTCAAACACACAAAACACTGACATTTAAATAAATAAAACACAAGACATTGACGGACGAATACGATTTAACATAAAATTCGGGAACTAGTTCCACACACGACGCGGCACGGGCAAACGTTTAGTCATGACAAAACGTTTAGTAAATCCAAGGACATTTTTTATGTGCGTGTAGGCTAATTGTATCTTCGTTGTGTTACATTTTGACGAGTCCAGTGTAAGGTGAACGAAGCCCACAAGCTGATCAACATATCCTCTGTGTCAAAAGACTTGTTAATTTTGTATACATAATTATACCTAGCCTATTGCAATAAAGTTTTGACCCTTCATTGGACGAGGAGGTCTAATTTCATTATCTCCTGAAACTTATGGAATGCATTGTCACATGCAAAAAAGGTTGACATTGCAGTCAATGACATGGCTCGGATTGTAACTGGGTGTTTGAAACCAACCCCAGTACACAAACTCTATCCTATCATAGGGACAGTGCCGGATTTAGGGTACTTGCGGCCCTAGGCCAAATTACTTGAGCGGCCCTCTCCCTGTGGTGAAAATTCCTTGCGATCGCGGAAGTAATAGTGACTATCTCCTATACATCAAGGGGACATCATCATCGACACCCGTGATCCTGGATGAAATCGTGGACATCTCTCCTAAACCAGGTCAAAGCCATCATAGTTATCCGGGACCGCAGTAAAATCGTGAACATCTCCCGCGGGCCGCAATCACGGGGACATCATAATTGAAACTTGCGATCGCGGCAAAGTCGTGTTAAAAAAAACCTCTCCCGTCGACTGCGATCATGACGACTTCATCATTGGTGATCATTGTCACCTGCGGCCGTGCCGAAATCTTAAACATCCCGCTCGGGAAGCCATCACGGGAACGTCCTCATTGACACCCCGAGCCGCGGCGAAATCGTTAACAACCCCCGTGAACCGCGATCACAGGGACATCATCATCAACACTCACAGCCGCGGTGAAATCATGAACATCTGCCGCGGGCCGCAATCATGGGAACATCATCATCGAGACTTGCAATCGCGGCAAAGTCGTGTTAAAAACATCTCCCGTGGACTGTGATCATGAGGACTTCATCATTGTCACCCACGGCCGTGCCGAAATCGTAAACATCCTCCTTGGTAAGCCACCACGGAGACATCCACATTGACACCCCCAGCCGCGGCGAAATCGTTAACATGACGCCATTGTATTATTCTTAATGAAATTACAAAATAAAGAATGAAAAAAAAACATCTCCCGTGGGCCGCAATCATGGGGATGCATCATCAACACTCACAGCCGCGGTGAAATCATGAACATCTGCCGCGGACCGCAATCACGGGGACATTATCATCGACACTTGTGACCGCGGCGAAATCGTGAACATCTCCCGCACACGGGCCGCAATCACGGGGACATCATCATTGACAACTCGATACAGCATCTAATTCGTGAACGTCTCCTGCGGGCTGTGATCATAAAGAGACATCCCCGTCACCCACGGCCGCGGCTAAATCGTGAACGTCTCCCGCGGGCCGCAATCACGGGACATCATCACAGGCACCCGAGGCCGCGGCAAAATCGTAAACATCTCCCTCCGTCCGCGGAGACATCATTATGGTCACCTGTGATCGCGGCAAACTGGTGGTTTAAAATAAATTATTTGTTATTAATTTTATCTAAAAAATGTTTTTCCCAATCCTCTGCGGCCCCCTTCTGCTTGCGGCCCTAGGCCGCGGCCTAATCGGCCTAGTGGTAAATCCGGCACTGCATAGGGATCGCCCCTCCATCAATCCGACGTGATGTCACTGCCGACGCAGAAAGGACTAAGCAAGAGACAGACCCTCGTCACCATTACACGGCCACCAACCTGCAGAGCGACGGCTTCGGTCCAGAAAGAGCTTTTTATCACGGTCCTGGATGGATCACTCTCAAGCAATCGAGTGGCAAGGTGAAAGGCCACGTTGACTAACCCTCCCATACCAGCCAGGGAGGAACTGGCTCGTGGTGGAGGCCTTCATTACACTGTGTGGAAGACCCTAAATCGAATTAGGGTCGAGGTACCAAAATGCAAGACAAACATGCAGAAATGGGGTCTCTTACCAGACGAAGAAAACATCTTGTGCGCGTGTGGTGCTGTTCAGGACCCTGGCCATCTGCTGATCTGCCCACACCTAGACCAGTCTTGCACATTAGATGATCTTTTACGTGCGAATGACAAAGCCATATCGGTGGCTAATTTTTGGAAAAGCGAAAGTCTGATTTCCGGACACGGAAAGTAAGTAAGTAAGTAAGTCCTGAAACTTTGCTTGAGTGTGCTGCAGGTTTTCTGTCGTGGATCTCATTAATCATTCTGTTTACAGATTGTTGTTAACCGTTGAAAATGGAGGACCATTACTCCTCAGAAGATGAAGAGGTCTACTTTGGGAGTTTTGCCCAATCGGAAATCACCAAGAGGAAACATTTGTATGGGGACCACTACACCTCGTAAGTTTTATGAATGAATTTTGTAGGTTGAGTGTTTAATGTCTTTGGGCTTGAAGGCCTATTTATGCAGGCAGACGCATATGATGTGCTACAACTTGTTGGACGGCCATAACTTTAGTCTGACACGGAGCTTTCACCAAATGAAGATCATGGAAACACAAGTATAGTTTTAATCAAGTATCAAACTTCACCACAGTTCACAAATAATATATTTTGAGTTGTTTCTGCAACTGGCTTTATACAGATTTCCAATATGACTGTGTGACAAAATTTCCTTTAGATACGAAACAATATTGAGAGTTTGGCTTAGTGGTGGGTGTTATTCTAAGGGTTTAATTAACAAGAAATAATTATTGACTCAGTTAATTGATTATTACATCATTGACACATTGCAACGTAACTTATTATGGTTCCCTTCATCCTCTCATCTTTTTGTATTTTTGGGTAAAGATGGTGTTCCAAGGACATCAACCATCCAACATCTAGGTGTGCATTCCTTACACGAATTGGGGTTTGGCGAACATGTAGATATTATTGCCAGGAAGGGAAATACGGGAATTATAGGGAAATTGTAGGATTTCTAGAGCTTTCCTCACACGGAATCAGCAGCTGCTTATTTGTTATCGTGCTATCCTGATGATTAAATAGAATGCTGACAAAAATTGTCGTTGAGCTTTGAATATATATATTATCCTGACTGGTCTTAATCAGTAACCTGATAGCTACACAGATAATTTCATTTCATTCGACACTCATCCTTAATTCATATTCAACTTAAAACTACACACCTAAGTTTGTGTCACTGTCTTAAATAATTGAATTTTAAATAGACTGTGACCTCTTGTTTGGGGCGTACAACATCACCAAAATAACCAGTATGCCCTGTAGCCTACCTGAATGTTTGTTTGACAAAAGAATTGTGTTCCACTGTGTTAATGTTCAAGCCTTGAAATTAAATAAATAAATACAGTTTTATACAGTTTGTTGTAGAACCGAACAATTGATTTATCTGATCTTAAATAGAGATTTTTGTTATTCTTATTACTTACTCTAATGATAAAATTTACCCTTGGTACTGTTATCAATTCATTTAAGCCGTCTTGTGTAGAGTAACCGACCCAAAACCAAGTTTTGTGAATTGCTGGATTTGTTAGTTAGTTAAAGCTAGGTGTACTATATTATTTTTAAATATAGGCCCTAGTGTAGGCCTATTCTATAATTACAAAAATGTAATAAGCAAAAATTATTAAACCTACATGTTACTTGAAAGTATAGTAACTTAGGTTTGAATCTTGTATCTTGATGTTGAGGATTAATAAGAAATGTTTTTATCACAGTTTTAACATTATCACTTTACACTGGCTTAAAAAACCTCTCACACTGACTCATTCAATAAAAACTGAGCAGTGACACACTCAACACCTTAACTAATGTGTGTCACTGGCTACAATTTAGTTTATTAATGAACAGTTAGAGCAAAACGACTGAAATTTAATTGTATCTGTTATAGGACTCCAGAACAATTGAAAGCTGAAGCTTCAAAGAAACTAAAAGGGAGCTTGCCTGATGTACTCAAGTATGCAAACACTTCTACGCCCGTCCAAAGACTGCTGTCAGAAGAAAGTGGGGAAAACCAACAAACTGAACAGCCACAGAACAGTTCTGTTCTTGATGAAAGTGACGACGTCATCATTATAGATGCCTCTGTTCATTCAAACTCCATCATTACTCTGTCTGACGATGAAAGTTTTATAAACCATGAAAAATCCTGTTCTAATGTGTCTGCTAGAAGTGAAGATGATAATATTGAGAAGAATCCAGAATCTTCCAACATCATCAAGCTGCATGAAGAAAGCATTTCCTCTGGTAAACACGTTTTTACCTGTTCAGACTCAGACAGTGTGTCAAATCTCTTGACAAACCAAAGTGGATCGAATAGCAGCACATTCTCTACGACTTGTGAAGTTTCTCATAAAATGGAAACTGACAATAGTGTTGAGCAACAATCCAGAACCCCTTACAAAGACTCTTTTACTGCTATTGCGAATGATTCCAGTACAGCTTTAAACAATTCAGGAAACGATAGTGGTCTGAAAAACATCAGCTCTTCCAACAATAATTTTGACATGCTTAACAGTCTGCATGAGTCAGCTGGCAATGATAGTAGTTTCAAGTCCAATGTAGACTGTAGTAATCATTCTTCTCTTATTCAAGACATTGATGACTTTGTTGGAACAAATACTGTTGAAAATGTCACAGCTGTTGTCGAGACCCTTGTTGATCTTAGTGTCTCAACAAGTGTTGATAAAAGCCAGGACTTGCCTTTGAATCACTCAACTTCAAACTGTCAGAAAAGATCAAGTTTTGAGAGTCAAGATCCTCCCTCTGAAGAATCTGGTGTATTTCAGAAACAAACAGCCACTGTTCAAAGTAAAAATGGAGATGTTGATGGAGAAAGAATTGAACGTTCATTTAATATTAGCAATATGACTAACTTTTCCCTCAACGGAATCACTGATAGCATTCTTCACTTGTCACCAGGTTCAATCCTGCACAGTCCTCGAAAGAGTGCTGTAACCAGAAACCAATCATTTCAAAACCATTTTGGAACCAATAACAATATGACAGATCTAAAGGAAACAATTGAAGAAGATTTGCACATGTCTGTAGATGAAGTAGATTTCCAAAAACAACGGTTTACTGAAAACTTCATCGACTCATATGGTTTTACAGATTACACTAATATTTCTCAACCGTCAGAGTATAAATCTTGCCTACTTAGCGCTCATAGTAGCTACAAAACTGCTTTTGACCAAACTTGTGATGGAAATCAGTCATCGTCTGATCAGTCAAATGTGTTTCAAAACTATAGAGATGTGTCTGACTTGGATGTTTGTGGTGATGAGGACGCAGTAAGCATTAAATCAAATCAAGATAATGTTGATGAAGCAGGATTTGAAATGTTGGTTCAAGCCCGCCAGAATTCTTTCAATGAAACACTTGTTACTAAGAATGTCGTTGATGAGAAAGGAAAGTCAAAACTTTTGTCCAAACTGCCTGTTTATCAAAGCTCAAAAAGTATGCTGAGATCTCCAAAACTGCATGTGAAACCTGACTCCTTGAAAGCCAGCAGCTTTAAATTTGCGAAGCAAATATCACATGTTAATAAATACACATCCAATATTCCAAAACTAGCATCACCCAAAACTACACAATCCGCCTCGGTAAACAAACAAGGCCAAACCAAAGACAAGACTCCGTTAACCAAAGACAAGAAAATACCCTTCAAAACCCCAACTAATATCAGCTCATCAAAGCTTCACCATCCTACTGCAAAGTCGATAATTTCTACGCCAAAGCAAACAAATTCTACTCCTAGGCCAGGAACCTCACTAACCAAAAGCAGGATTCCTTCACACAGTGTTCCATCCGTCAGCAAAACACCTGCTCAAACTATTGGTCCTAATCCTTCATCCAAAAAGGTTTTGCTTAAAACTCCTGTACCAACAGGCATTCCTAGAGCAGTGAACTCTGACTCTAAAGTCAAGAGAGCGATGAGTCCATTGTCTCAGCATGTGAACAAAATTCCTCAAAGTACTGAGAAAACTTTACCATTGAAAAACCGGTATAAAAACATAGTATCTCCCATTCAATCCTATATCAGAGGTTCCCCTACCACTCTGCTCAGAAAGGCACACAATATAAGTGATGAAAACATTCTTGAGGGACCAACTTCCGGAACTAGGCCTGTTACTCCAGTGAAAGCTCTGCCTAAAGCTATACAGAAGCTACACTATGATGTAAGTGATAGTAAAAATATTTAGTCATTACATAGACTGACCATGATAGTGATAAGTTTTTAGTTGATCGACAATCAAAATCAACATCCTTCCCTAAGAGCCATTATATAAAGGCATAACTAACTCTTGGTTTTTTTACAATTTTCATTGTTGTCTAATTAGTTTAAGTAGCTTATTCCCTACATGGGAAATTCGCTAAAATTAGGACATTTCAAGTAAACTATCAATTTTTAAGTAGGCCTAGTTTTTATTCTTTATATGTAGTTTGAAAGTTGCTTATTGTTTCTAATAATTCCATCTGAACAATTTTTTACAAATTCTTCCTTTAGGGAAGAAACTCTTACTGTAGGTGGCATGGTAAGACATAGACCCGGAACCGATTTACTTTTCTCATTTTATGTCCCCAGATGTCAAAAACACTGTTGTTAAAATGTATGTATGTGTGTGTGTGTGTGTGTGTGTGTGCACGTCAACTTACACACACAAATATTTAAACAAACAGTTTTTTTTTCCTTACGACTGGATAAACTTGAATAAATTAAGGTTAGCTAATCAACATGATCAAGGTAAATGAAACAGAGTGTCGTGGGATTTGAAATTTTTCAAAGTTTTACCCTGACATGAAAATGCTACATTTGATTGTATCCATCGCGTAGAGCTTAAGAAACAAATAATTATGTATATTCAGGCTTGTACATATAGAAGGTTACAGAGAACATTTTTGGAAACTGTTATTTGTTATTCATATGGAGAAAATTTAGTCTGTGATAGTTTGCACGTTAATGCATTTATTTTAATGAAATTTGCTAGGTAGTTTATAATACACAAATTGTCTTTTGTTTGAAATGTCTTACCACGGTGTACAATTTATCTGACCATCCAATAAACAGATTGTATGTTGCAGGCTCATGAACAAGAAAATGTAAATCCAAACATGAAAGATTACTCAAGAGACACCATTCCGATCAAGGCATTTGAGCCATCTCAGGAGATATTTTGGGTAAATATTAAAATTTAAAAGTTGATTACACCTCGTCCCCTGCATCGACCCAAACTAATTGATATCAGACATATGACTAATGAAAAAAATTAGGCTGTACAAAATCATCTCTGTAGACAAAAGCCACTTGTAAATGTATATGCTTACAACAATCCATAAAATGCTTCCATATTAATATAATGCAAAAGAAAAGAAGATTCGAATGAATAGCATTGAGCCCATACAGTGTGATTGAAAAGTCCTGGATTAGTGTAATATATTTTTTACCGTTATAGACCAAGTAATGATCCTTAATATATATCAATAATAACCGTAAATGTCTACTCTACTCGATTAAGCTATTTTTCTCCCATAAGGGGAGCAGCCCACAAGGAGTCAGACAAAATTCTTAAATAGCAGCATAGGTCGAGTTTGGTATCAAATCAAAGGTCTTAGTTGGTAAAACACATTACCGCAAACGCAAACCCAAATTTAAAACGGTCAACCGATTAAAAAATTACAGCCGTTCAAAGATTCATTGAATTTCCAATGCTATTACAGTATACGCTACTTTCTCAAGGAGAGCGCCTGCTAGAATTCGGAAGAAAATCATAAACTTATGCATAGGGTGATATGCACATCAAATTCAAGGTCTTTATTAGTAGAATACATGACAAGGACATAGAACAAAATGCTGATAATGTTTTCCCAAAAGAACAACTGAGTAAAAAATGGCAGCCATTCAAAGATTCAAAATGGCAGATTCAAGAAATATTTAAACTCATGCCATTTTCTACTTGATTGTCCATTTAAGTTGGGGTTTGCGGAAATGTGTTCTACTAAGACCTTTAATGTGATAACAAATTCAACCTATGCTGATATTTAAAAAAAATTATCTGACTCCTCGTGGGCAAGCCTATGATAAAAAAGTGATAATAGCTTAAAAGAGTAAAGAGTACACATTTATGGTCATTATTGATATACCAAATCTCATTACTTTATCTATACTGTAATGGTAAAAAATATATGACACTGTTACGGGACTTTTCAATCACACATACATATCTGAGCATGGGGTAAATACTACACTACTGATCCATTCTATAGTCAGAGTATAATGGTTGACTGATTCCTCTCAAACCTTAATTCCCAAACTGCCTTAAGTACAAAAAAAACTACTACTTTTGCCGAACAGGGAATTACCTTTTGTATAAAATTTAAGGCTATAACGCTTATCAAGATATTTTTAATGATTTAGGGGAACTCGCGTAAGACCCATCTTTAAATAATTTGGGCTCACTCATAAAAAGGGTTTATGATACTTGAATTTAAATGATAATTGTTAAGGTACGTTAGTTAAGGTGTAATTTATCAAATGCATTTAAATAGGACTAAGCTCATGAAGTAAATTGGTTGATTAACTCACAGTCTTAGTGTTTAAAACTTCTAAACTCGCAATGGCACCAAGCATTGCTTTACATCAATGTGTATTTTATTTTTATTTTAGATTTTATTCTCTGTCAAAATTGTGTATTTCTCTGTGATGTTTTCTTAACATAAGTCTGGAGAAACACGAACACTGATGAAATATTTTTTTGGTGATATGTTTGTTCGTTGTAGAAACAAGAACATGTTGAGTCACGCCTGCCTGTCATGGGAGAAAAACAAACCAAAATACTAAGTGCGATTCCTGAGGTCAAACTTACTCGACATGAGGGTAAGCCGTTTTAATTACTCAATACATAATGACCTAATGTTAATGTCATTTCTTTTGTTCATTGATTTTCTTAATATCTAGAACAGTAGATCAAAGATTTTTCTTATCTAGTGATATTTCAAAACTGATTCTTTTTAATGAATTGAACAATAAGGAGAGAAATAAACTATATCAAACGAACAATGTTATAAGAATAACAATATGACGTGCAAGTGTGAGGGAGCAATGTACATGATAATGTTTATATTTTAAAACTCACTCATTTTGAGGCCTTTTGTTGGTCATATTGGGGGTTTGTGCAATGGACTCTCTCTCTTCGTCACATCAGATGGCCTAGACCTATTTTGATTGAATTCTGAGATAGCCTATTAAGTGTATATTAATCTCATTCATGTTTTTGATGTCAGTTTCAGGAGTTCAATTAATTTTTGTGTTAGTTGTTTAGTTTGAACAAACATATTTTTCAGGTTCAATGTGTATTTGTCACATGTTATTATGTCAGGGTCATGAGTCCAAGTTCTTTCAGTTGTGATTACATAATAATCATTTTACTATTATAGAACTCCAGTTAGCCAAGCTCCAACCATCCAAATCACCTATTATCCAAATCGCTTACAGAAAAAAACATAAAACCATACTCAATAGTAAATAAGAGTTGTTAAAGATAGCAGATGCCGTGATTCCGTGATTGTGACAAAATCCAATAAACGCTCTCGTGTTAGTTTTTTTATCGTTATCAAATTTAATATTTATTTGTTCGTAGTATATACAGACATCTTCTTTGGTCTTGTAGAGATCGTCTCCTGTGATCACGGAAATAACATAATTTTTTTCCTCTATAGCAGCAAAATCTTGAATATCTTCCTCGGTCTGGTGGAGGTCTCTTTCTCGGTCACAGAAAATTTTAATCGTCCTCTGCAATCAGGATGAAAGCTGAATTTTTTTATCGTGAAATCTTCGCACACGAGTTCTGCGATCGCAATGGCAAACCCTCATAACTCGGCCTATTTTCTGTAAGATACCCCGAACTTTAGTAAAAGTCCAATTATCCAAATTTATGATTATGTGTTACAGCCCCAATTGATTCAGATGATTGCAGTTCTACATCTGTAGACAAATGAAAAAATGTTGGTTTAGGTTTGGAGATTCAGGACTCGATTTTTTACATTTTTAGATTCACAGAGATCACATCATACCTGTACACTTTGGGACTTTGGCTTTTAAATTACCTGTGTCCTTATGAATTACATGATAATCCTTTATTCCTTATAATGTCCTTCAAGTTTCTCCATAGGTAACTATACAATTTTTCGTTTTTGTTAACTCTCAACCTGATTACATAATCTATAGTTGTAGTTTACATGAAATATTTTTTTAGGAAGAGTGATTGAATGTCCAAAGTCCAAGGGAGTTCTGGTTCCTAACAACGATTCACCTACTGTTGATGACCTCGAGACAAATGACCTTCCCCTCCAACAGGCGCAGGGTAGAATCTCAGTGAGGGTACAAAAAACTGTCAAGCCTCAGTGATTTCCTAAACTTATTCATTGAGTCAAAGAAAGCTGTTAAATTTTATGTAAAATATTTTATACCTAATAACTTATTCTATTTGTGTAGCATATTTTATAAGTTTGTTGTGTTATTTCTGTTTATAAACAATTGTAGCCATTGTACCATAAGTAAAAGGAACCTTAACCTTATGTGTATATTATGAACGTTGGTTATCAAATAAATATTTAGCAATTTTAAGTGAAAAGGCGTTAATGTCAAGTTTATAATGATCGTCTGTGTAACAAATTTTGTCTGGTTTTATTATATGTTATTGACCATTTTAGAGTGTGATTTTCAATGTTGAACTTAAAGTGAAATAAAATTGTTCACGCTCGGTTTTCTTAAGCATCATTTTTAAATACCTGAACCATCCAGTTTTTATGTTATGAAATAAGCAGTTTCAACACTTATGTAGTTTACTTTATACATTACCAATATCTTAACAGTGTGATTGTACAAGAAATCTATATAGTTGTTAGGATCAAAATTTTCAATATCTGAGCCTTCAGTATCCTCTCGCTTAGTTTCAATTGAATCATTTTTTAATTGAGATTTTAAAATCTTAAAATTAGTTTGTGATAAAGCTTCAAAACATAAATTGATATATTTCTTTGTTAGGGGCCTTAGATTATTTGCTTTTGGTCAGAGACTTTGAAGATTACCATTTTAATCTTAGACTGGCCAAAAATAAATCAAAGAAAGTTTATATTTACAACAGGGGTGCCCACAAGGGGGGGCTGTGACGCAGACTGCGTCATTGAAATTCTTGGGGGGGGCTCAAAAAATTCAAAGGGGGGGGGTGGCTAAAGCTAATTGCAACAGTGTTCAACGTGACGACAATCCAAAATATATTACAAAGTCGCCAGATAGAAAGTGGATTAATTAATGACAATAGTTATATTATTGAATTCAATTAGTTAAAATAGGATTTTAGGATAGTTTAGGATTCGTGTAGGAAGTTATTATTTAAGATTAGCAAGACGCGAGACCTAAGAGGGAGGGCACGGAATGGCTCAACTGCTGTGATAGATAAAAGATAACGCGTGGTACAGACACGTCCAGCTACGCAGCTATGCACTTTGTTGACATAAAGCTCGTTAAAATACAATCAAGTTGCATAGGCTTGCTACTTTACACTATTGTGTAGATACTCGATTACCTGAGTTAATAGGGAGAGGGGGGGGGGGGTAATGAAAAATACGGTTAATCCAATATATTATAAAAACAGATGACAAACTCATTAAAACGCTGTAAACAGCCATTAACGTCACGATTATCATTTGTATAAACAAATTTCAATTTTGCACAATCATTATTAATTGTGCAATAACATTATTATTGTAAATTTCAAATCATTTATCTTGGTTCAGTTGTACAAACGGCAACGTTTAAAATTATAGCGAACTCAAACATAACTAATCACTAGCCAAACATTGCATTGCTATAAATAACGTAAATATTAAAGGAACCTTTAGAAAGTGTTATAAAGACACCCATTACTGCATTACTGGCATTACTGCTCATGATAGACAGATAGCCTACCGATAGGTGCTGTATCACAGCATAGGAATTGATAGATAAGTAATAAAAAAGTATAAAATTATATTTAGAGATAATTAAAACACTCTTAAAAAAGAATGTAACGAGAAAAATCTTGTTATTCTTTTTCTTTGTTCTTTAATAGGTTTCTCTTCAATTCATACACAAATTCAACAAGTCGCCATATTTAGGCCTACTCATTGGCCAATCACAGCCTTACTAAAGTTACCATGGTTACTAATCACTCAATCACAGTTTACTAAGCATTATATCGTCATCATTCCCCAGCTGTTGTATCTGAAATCTGTTGTAACATAGCGCACAGCAGACAGAAGTGTAAAACGGAGCAGACGATTGTTGGCGCAAGCGTTGTTTCCATTTCATTTCATCAAAGGAGCTGTGATGTTTCTAAAGGGAGGGAGAGGGGATCGTTATATCGAGAAAAGACGCTGACAATTCGTTAAGCAGAGGTTACGAACGCTATATGGATATTCTGGCAATAAAAAATTCCTTAAATTGAGGTGACTTATAAAACTCTAATTTTATTTATATAGAAAGATAAGTTTTCCAGTCCTGTACAACACTGATTAACGGTATTTTCCCTGTAATCAAAATTCAAGTACAACTTGATACACACAGAATCTCCGATTCCCGACCTGGATGATGGCTAGTTATTTAATTTAATTTACAGTTACATATTAGTACCCGTGATAAATCAAACCCGTTATGTAAGCCAAAGCCACACACGGTTTAAATAATAATCTCACTTGGTTTTGGATTTGCTTACAAACGTGATCGTAAATGCCACTAAATGGTTACAAACGTGATCGGAAATGGTTAGGGCCTACACAGTATTCGTAAACAACATTTATGTAAACATATCAGTGACAGCTAGGAAAAGGAATCTTTATCCAAACAGCTGTTCGTAATTTCATATATGACGTGTTCTCTTAACAGATTATTAGTATTTCATAAATTAATGACGTATGTAGTAAACATGGAGAAAATAAACTAGAAAAATCACACAAAATTGTGTTTTTGATCGTCCGTTATTTTATTTACAAAATAGTGAGGCCATATTTTAATGGCTATAAGGACTCTCTCGACAATCCTGTGGATACAATTAAACCATTAGAATCATAATCGGTACTCTAGGTTTCTTTAGAGTAGGCTGTATAAAATGCCTTCTGGGCCGTGACAGACGGACATAAATTGAGATAAGACATGTTTCAACTTCTTCAATGTATAAAACATAAATAACCCAAAATATGTATAATTCTGAGCAATGTACAGACAAACATATAACTTTATTCATATATATAGATTAACTGGGTTTGAATTTTAAATATCTAAAAAAATTATAAAACTTCTTTTATAGTTTTACAAATAGTGCTGGGCGGGGGAATAATGTATCTCATTTGTTGTGTACATCATTTATGGTGGGGGGGGCTGTTGCTCAATTGGGGGGGGGGGTGCGTCATGAGTCTAGGGGGGGATGGGCACCCCTGTTTACAATGAAATTGTGACAAAACTATAGCTAATAGCTATCCAATTTTGGTGTGTCAATTTTGGTTGTTTCCATGGTCTGATCTTTTAAAGTCTAGAATCTAAGTCAAAAAATCTAGAATAACACTGAATAAGCAAACTATACATTCAAAATATCAAACATAATATGCAGTGCTATACTTCTATACTTTTTTAATCTGACGATAATAATTGCAAAATTTAATTTGTTCCCATCAAAGTTAACTCTAAAAGACTTGTTCCTTATGTTTTTATATCGTGTGTGTATAGATCACAAACCAGCAAATTGTAATATTTGAATATCATTCCTTTTCACAAACTATATCATTGTGATATGACACACAGGAACAACGTGACCAATGCTAATCTCTGCTGATTCTGTCAAACTGAGAATAGAATCGTTTAAAAATGGATTGTCATATTTTCTAATCTTTAAATACTTTGCCAGGTGTAAGATTCATTTTGCAAAGTTTAAGTAATTAATGAAGATTTCAGAGAATTTTTTTATTCTGATAAAAAATGTTTAGTGAATAAAGCGCTGTTGCATACTCCTATATATATGCTGTACTATAATCACTTGTGCAAAAAAGTGAATTTCTTATTCTTACTGAGCTGGAAAGTAAGCGAGGAATGATAAAGAGCCACTTTTAAGAGAGAAAATCTATCCACAACTCTTGACTCCTGTTATCATTTTTAGTTTTTACAAGATGTCTGTAATGATGTTGATATACAAAAAAAAAGACTACTGTTTATAAAACGTTATTTTAATCAGCAATTGTATACTAACCAGTGGTTAGTTCTTATGTGTCCTCACGATAATGTAAAAGTATAAAATTCAGATTTATATTATTTGCCATCGTACTCAACTTAAGGTGACCGAATCAATTCTTTCATGACCTCTATGACTGGAAGATTAGAGCTAGGAGTCGGTAAGGACTTCCCAGTCTGACCATAAATAAACATTAGAAATTTTAAATTTATATTAAAAATAGTTTTAACGAAAAGATTGTTTCAAAAAATAAATTTTAACATTTTGGTACTTTGGAACAATTTATTTTTCAGTTTGTTTGTGTAAGTCGTAATGATCTTGACAAACCACTGCCACTCCCCCCCTCCTCGTAATGCTAAGCCGACGCCCTCAGCGCCAAAAATAATAGTAGTACTAGGGTGGTCTGCCGTTACACTTTAGACGCATAAATGAGTGAAACATTATTTAAAAATTGTCAATGGCTAAAGCAGCTAACAACCTACAATATGTTCCCTTTCAACAGATTCACTGTTTGTTTGTCCGATATTATTTAAGTTCTAAAGAATGACAAATTTATCTGATGCCAATTTAATTATTAAATATAATTAATAAAATGCTAAGTAATTTACAATAGTGTGTTTGGATGCAACTATCTTACAATCAGTGTTAGCACGCCAGACTTTTGCTACAAATGGGTTGTGTTCATCGATTAGAGGATCATTTCTTGCTGTTGTATATTGCCAAATTCCATTTACATCTGCATCTAATTCATGTTGGAATTGATTAGCCTAACTGCCTATCATTATCAGCTTCTTCCGCCACTGCTTCATCTGGTTCTTCTTGTTCACGACTCCACTCTCTTATAATATTTGTATTATTGGTGCGAAGACCAATATTACGACGTGGCCTTTGAGGCATGCTCAAAATAAATATAGCAAAACTGTTATTTCCATTGATGAACAGTTACATTCCAACTTTAACCTAGGATGAAAGTAAACATTGAAATGTAAACAAAACAGTTACAAACAATTAACATATATGTTTATCTTTATTTTATTCAAATGAAAGAGATAAACCCATATGTCATAAACCCAATATAATTTTTCTTTCAACTTACATTAAAATAACAAGCGAAATTGCGTGACCCGTAAAATAAAATCCAGAAGGAAATTTGCAAATATTTTTTACCAAAACATTGTGCTCAGTATACTTTAGCTGTTGGCCAAATTTCATATCAATTGGTCAAGCCATTACGGTACATTCTGATGCTCTTACAAAGAAGTTACAAAGTGAGCTTCGCTCAATAAAATACCCCCGCCGCAGACTAAGCAAATTTGTCTGGCTGGATTTCTACTAAAATATTTCCTAAAAATGTCCAGATTTATTTCCTATTTAAATAACCTTAATTTTAATGAGTACTTAGGTTTGCTGCTACAGGGAAGATCTTGAGGTATGTTATTTTGTATTGCAATGTTGATAGTTTAGTATTAAATAAACAAAATTTCCAAATTTGGTTAAAATATATCCATAAACAAGTAAACTAACAGTGTATTATGTTATTCTCCATAAGAAAAAGATGGGAATTTTTAATTAACAATTTTTTAACTATCTCTGTAACCGTTGGGGCATACAACAACACTTCATTGTACAAAATTAGTTCTTTTTTTAAGCTTTACCAAATAGATTGGAGAGTAATTATGAATTTTTTTTGTTTTTAGGGTCAAAAATTGGAAAAATAAATTTTTGAACCACAAAATCCCATTCCCATAGTCCGATTATGCTGGTTCGTGAACTCATTTGAATAAACGTAGGTTTACATGTCTGTACAAAATTTCATCAAAATAGGATCATTTTTGCTTGAGTTATCGTGCTAACGAACGATACATATAAATATTATATACAGGGTTAGTAAAAAGTCTGGAGACCCCCTGTTAATTTTGTAACAGCCCTTACTAGAAAAACTAAACTCGGCACACCTTTATGGCATGTTATGAAGTACTTTTTGGGCATAACTGCCACTTGGTGTACATCCCCAAAATGGAGGATTTTGGGGGAAACTTAAACTTTTCAAATGGTAAGACCCATCGAGTGACCCCTCATTTTGAAGGTCCTGGTAAAGATAACCAAAAATGGAAACTAGAGGTCTCTATCCCAGTAAGAAATGGCAACCCATTGAAATTCTCAGAAGTTAAAATCAACTTGCAGCTTTCCAAGTCTGGACACCCCCTGTAAATTTTGTAATGCTCACACTAGGAAAACTAAACTCTACACACCTTTATGGCATGTTATGAAGTACTTTTTAAGCCTAATTGCCACTTGATTCCCAAACCCAAAATGGGGGATTTTGGGGGAAACTCAAAAAGTTTGAAACGTTAAATCCCATCGAGTGACCCCTCATTTTGAAGGTCCTGATAAAAGGAAACTAACAACACAAACTAGAGGTCTCTATCTTAACACAGTAAAAATGGCAGCTGATTGAAATCTTTAGAAATCAGAATTAACTTGCAATTTTATATTCAATTGGCTGCCATATTTTACTGAGTTAAGATAGAGACTTCTAGTTTGCGTTGTTAGTTTCCTTCAAAATTAGGGGTCACTCGATGGGGCTTAACGTTTAAAACTTTTGAGTTTCCCCCATTCTGGGTTTAGGAACCAAGTAGCAATTATGCTCAAAAAGTACTTCATAACGTGCCATAAAGGTGTGTACAGTTTAGTTTACCTAGTGTGAACCGTTATAAAATTTACAGGGGGTCTCCAGACTTGGAAAGATGTAAGTTGAATTTAACTTCTGAGAATTTCAATGGGCTGCCATTGTTTACTGGGTTAAGATAGAGACCTCTAGTTTGCATTTTTGTTTTTTCTTTTACCAGGACCTTCAAAATGAGGGGTCACTCGATAGGTCTTACCACTTGAAAATTTTGAGTTTCCCCCAAAATCCCCCTTTTGCGAATGTACACCAAGTGGCTATTATGTCCAAAAAGTACTTCATAACATGCCATAAAGGTGTGCCGAGTTTAGTTTTTCTAGTATCGGCCGTTAAAAAATTAACAGAGGGTCTCCACACTTTTTACTAACCCTGTATATATACATATGTATGCAATATATATAGAACTGGCTGGGTAGCAGAGTGGTTATAGTGCTCGCCTTCTAATCATAAGGTCGCCAGTTCGATCCTGAGAAAAGTCAGTAGCTTTTTGATGGTTCGAAACTGGACCCAGCTGTTCCTGATCATTGGGCTTTAAATAAATGATCCTGGCTAATGAAACAGCTGATCTTAGTCAGTAACAAAGCTACACATATCATCTCACACCATTCTACACTCATCCTTCACTCATATTTGGGTTAAAATACGCACCTAAGTGGCGTCCATGGTGGAAGGAAAAAACATAGGTGTGCTATTCCCACATATTCTGACGTCACTCGGATTGCAAACAAAAGATTACCTGATTGTAACTGTCAAATTAGTATATGTATTTGTTTTGATTTGGTTGTTATTGTTTTTATTATTATAAAAACAATAACATTCAAATAAAAACAAATACATACTAATTTGACAGTTACAATCAGATGATCTTTTGTTTGCAATCCGAGTGACGTCAGAATATGTGGGAATAGCACACCTATGTTTTTTCCTTCCACCATGAGTGGCGTCCCCATCTTAATGATTGATAATTGATTGATTGATTGATATATATATATATATATATATATATATATATATATATATATATATATATATATATATATGCAAGAAAATGATGTATATATATGTATGCATGAAATTATTGTAGTAAATAAAGTACAACTGAGCACCCTGAATATTATATTTTTAACTTATTAACTTCCTATTAAAATATAATATAAATTCTTAGGAGATATAAAGTCAATGCTTAAATCTTGAATCATCGAATATAGAACACGAAGTTTCTATCACCACTAAGTTGGTAAATGGTGTAGAGTAGACTTCAGGAAGTGTGGGGAGTTAAAATAGATTGAGATTGGTGATTGGATTGAATTGATTACTCACTCACCTTTCACCTACACCTACACCTTTTATACACTCTAGTCTAGTCTTAAAAACATAGAACACAACAGAACAGAACAACGAGAGTGAGTAATCGGGAATCGTCATCTTCGTCTATAAGGCTAGATGTCAAAATTATTTTCAGTTAAGACCTGAGAAATACACATATTATTATTCATTTATCCACAAATATTGGAAATTCTGTTAAGAGTAATATATAAATTCATGGGTTTACTATAGCTTTTGGTTGGAACAGTGATTGATTGGCTTTATGGATTTGTGAACCTGTCAGTTTTGATAATTTAGGCTAGTGTTAACATGACTGAGGTGAGCTCAATTCAATTAATACAGACTTGTACCAAGCTTGTACTTCTATCTGTTAATCTCCTTTTAATATTTCACACTTTCTAATAAACCATATAACTTATGTTGAGGTATTTGTAATGCAACTTATTGCCATTTTAGGTTAGGTTTTTGTAGGCTAGATCAACTCTTTAGTTCACCCTCCTCATACAAATCTTTGCAGAGCAAAGACAAGCTGTAACCCCAACTGAAGTGTGGGGTAGGAAAACACTCGCTATGTCTAGTTTTTTGTCAGACTATCTTCAACCCACTTAAGCTTCATAAATTTACATTCACGATCCAACCTTACGGCACATCTTGTAGCCTACATTGCTTTTGTTGTCTGTCGTCACTAGCAAACTGATTCTTACACACCGCACAATCGAAATATCCCATAGAAACTGCATAAACAATACTGACCAGACGACCGCTGTAATGCTGGCTATAACCAAGATTTCATATGGAGACTCGATTTTATGTTATATTCCTTAAATTGAGGTGCACGTATTGTATAAAATATTTTTGATAGAGGTGAACATTGTTAGGCTATGTAACTTAGTGGTCCAGAGCTACAAAGATTGATTTTTGAAGAGATTATAAAAAGATATTGAGGTAGTGAATAAGTTCTAGGCTACTTTTGATTTGTTACTTATACAGTATATGCTTAGAGGTAAAATTTACACAGACTTTTATGGACAGTTAAAGGATAGAAACAAATTTGTTATAAGTAATTTATTGAACAAAAATGAGGTTTGTTGTAAACTTATTGAGGTTTTACTGTACAAACTAAAACTACTTGTATTCAACTCAACCAACTTTGGTTGAAGTTTGATCATATTGTTCTGCTGCCTAAGTCCGGCGATCCCTGTGACGTTAAGAACTATTGTCCAATAACCATTTTGTCTACCATCTCTAAGGTCTTCAAGAGCTTGGTCTTGGACATGTTTAAGCCTATCTTAGGGGGAATCATTCATGACAGTCAGCATGGATTTGTCACCGGGAGGTCCACTACAACCAACCTACTGCTTATTCAAGAAAAGGCTCTCTTGGCAGTGAGAAAATGATCCCAACTGGATACTGTATGTATAGGCCTATTGGTTTTGCTAAAGCGTTCGACAAGGTGGACCACAACATTCTCATCTCTAAACTTAGGAGGTATGGATTCCTTAACCCATCGGTGCACTCATGGTCGCCGATGACCTGAAGCTTTTTTGTGAGGGTGTCTTCAGACAATAACGCTGCACAACTTCAGATGAACCTGGATAAGGTTATGGCATTGTGTGAGGACAATAATATGAAAATAAATCACAGTAAATGCTCTGTTGACCTACAGTATGGTGATCATGAGGACCATATTACCAGGAAAGGAAACAAAGTGCTGGGATTCATCATACGCTTCACACGAGGTATCTGTTGTCCCCATGCTTTGAAGTCTCTGCACTGCGCATTAGTCAGACAAGGTCTTGAATATGCTTATGCGGTCTGATCGCCCTACACGGAAATCGACAGGCAACACTTGGACGCCATCCAGAAAAGATTTCTTCGTCTGGTTTGTGTTAGAATTGGCTATTCCTATAGAGACGTGGATGACTGTGCACAGATACTGAGATTGCATCCTTTAAAACTTCGGAGAGATGTTGCCGACCTGTGTCTTCTATTTAAGGCTATGAATGGTGTCCTCAGTTGTCCAGAACTTCTTCTGGAGATTGACATCAGGGCTCCTGGCTGAACTCGATCCAAAGAATTGTTTGGCTGGCGCTTCAGATTAACATCCTATGACGCCAACAGTCCACTCGCCTGGGTAACACGGTGTATAGTGTTGTGGACTTCTTCTTCGACGGCTTCAAACTAGCTCCTCACTGTACTTGGCAACAACGATTTATCAGTATTTAAATGAACTTTGTCGATTATTAATATATAATTTATTATTTAATTGTTGATTTTCTTTTGTTTTCTATTGATTGTTACATTGTTATTTATGTGTTATAAGTTGGATAACTGTTTGCTGATTATTTTTAAATGGTTCTGCCGTTGGTATGTATAAAATAAAAATTAAAAAAATATAAGTTAGTTAATAATAAGTCGATTGAAGGCTTATTATTTTAATTTTGATGTTCATTTCCTCTGTCCTAATCTGCTCTGTATGGCAGACTTGGTGTCTATTTTTAAAAGTGTTTATAGCTTTTGAAAAAAATCATATTTACGATCAAATATTCATTTCTGCTTCTGCAATATTTATTTACAAGCAAACTTCAAAGCCATGTGGCCAGTGTGAAAACCATTATAGGTTTATCACCAAAGGATTAGGCTGTGTATGTGTTGAGTCGTAGGCTTACACAAAATAAACTTTAATTACTGTATTTAATTCAATTTAGCCAGGAAGACTACCTAATAATTTTTTTACATATCAATTTAGTTATCTGTAAACTTTTTATTCATATGTTTCAGATGATGATCTCCCGAATAGTTATTCTCTTTGTGTTCAGCCTAAAACTATCCTCATGTTTCTACATACCTGGTGTCGCACCAGTTGAGTTTAAGAAAGGTGACCGTATTGAAGTAAGAGCAGTGAAGATGACCAGCGTGCAGACTCAGTTACCATTTGAATACTACTCTCTACCATTCTGCCCACCGAAAAACAGAACATACAACTACAAGTCTGAAAACTTGGGTAAGACCTATTCAATTCTCAAATTTATTATGGTTTAACAATAACAATAGTAACAAAAAATATATACATCTTAGTAACCTCTAAATAGGCTACTGTAGGATTACCATATGTCCTGAAGCCCGTGTAGACAAGAAAATACAAGGTCAAAAGAGACTTACCCCTTGCTTTGTTCTAACTGAATCATCTAGAAGGTTAATTGTTTCTGTCATTACAATTTTTTATCAGTTTTTAATGTTTTTGGCTAGGTGAGGTCCTGAGAGGCGATCGTATTGTCAACACACCGTATGAGGTTCGGATGGCAGAAGACGTAAGCTGTCGGCTGTTGTGTCACTCCCCTGGCAACCCAATGCACTGGTCTTACGAAGACCAGCTCAAAGTCATGTATCGGATACGCCATGAGTACAATGTCCATCTGTACGTAAACAATAATTTATTTTATTTAGAAGTCAGATGTAGGTATTGTTTTGTTATTAGTTACTCATCATAGCCTAAATATAACCTGTGAACAATTCAGATCATTTACATTTCAAATGGTGAGAGTTTTAATAATTGGAGTTCTACTAAATTTAAAAATAAATATACCTTTTCATGCCAAGTTATAGAACACTTGACTAATCATAAACAAACAGCAACTTTCAAATACATGGTTTTATTGTTTGTAATCTGTTATTGTGAATGCCTTAAGAATGTAATGTTATAATGAAGTTTGTTTACCCTAATTTGTCTTTTACTGTCAGTGACGTGGTTGTACCCAGGAGATCTAGATTGTAGCGGTAATCTTAATAACCATGCAAGGCTTCCTTCTTAAACTAACTTGTATGTTTAGCCTAGTAGACAACCTACCCTGTGCGACAAAAACGATCAACACCGAAACAAACGAGATACAACATGAGCCCGGGTATCGTCTGGGCACCACCTCCAACGGACGAGCGTTCATCAACAATCATTTGAAACTTATTCTCCTCTACCACACTGTCAATGAGTGAGTGTTATAGGCTTACCAATATATGATTATATTTCTAGGGAAAGCCATACAGCTGATTACGCCTGACAAACTGACACGGTCGCTGGCCACGAGGCTAGTCACCTATGTCTGTTTAATGCAGTTCAGTTTTCTAATTGTAAAGATGCTATAACACAGTGAGTACATGTTGTTACTGGCTTAAAGAGAAGAAGAAGGAAGAGAACAGTCCACGTTTATCCTATTCTCGATGGAAAGATGTCTCTTTGTACTATAATTTATTTGACAAACTGTGTTATGAGCCAAATTTTTAAACTATTTTATAATCTTAAAAATCATCATTTTTTTTTTAATTAATCAAAAATACATTAGAGACGATAAACGATCTTGAGGGAACCCATATCACCAGCATGTGCAACGTCGCCGGCCCAGGTGGCCAGTGACTGTATCGTTAAGAACAGCCACAGTGCCCGTGGCTGTTTTAGCCACCCGAGTCGCTCATTTTCAGCCACCCGAGTTGCTCATTTTCAGCCACCCGAGTCGCTCATTTTCAGCCACGTCGCCAGCCACTGTAGTGTAACAGGATTCCATTTGATTCAGTGTAAACACTTGCCACCGCAATGTAACAGGGGCCTTAAATAACAATAACATCATTATAATATATATATTGTAATGTAATCTTGTTTTTAAATACATTTTCATCAAGAACCTTTCTTAATTGTATATGACTGGTGAGGCCTTTTTGAACAACAAAATATCACAAACTCTCGAAAGTACGCTTTTATTGAATACATTCTAATCTCTAAAACTTGTTGACAAAAAGTTTTAACATCGAAACAATAAATAACTAACACATGTGCAAAAACAGTATTATCTAAGGTAAAAAATATATAAAGCTAAAAAGGATCACAAACTTTTGAGAAAACCACAAGCTGCATACCTGTCAACTGCGTACTTGAATGAAAGATCATGATGTGAAACTTCCCCGAAAAATTTCAGTTTCTTTATAAAGCCTCTTCAATGGGCAGGAACATTAATTAAAGGGCTGTACAGGGTACATCACAGTGATTTTAACAGCTCAGGAGCTAGAATGAAATTAATTATAATTTTCTACACCATTTAAAAGCAGAAAGTTAGCTTCACAAACTACCTCGACTCCTTATGATATATCAGCTGTTTGTAGGGAGACGTTCAGAGTGGTCGGGTTTGAGGTTGAGGCGAGCAGTGTGGACTTGTCAGCGTTGCAGTTTGACTCGGGCTCCAACAACTGTGTGTTCCCGACCGAGGGCATCGTCAAACCTCAGGAGATTGGGGCTAGCCAAGACTCACTCAGGTAAATAAGAGAATGATTTATTTACTAATATGTGTATAGTTCAATTTTACACTTTTATTCATTTTGTCTTGTAGCAGCTTTTGGTAATGGTAACCCCCATTGAGTGTCTAGTCTAATACGTACATATACTCACTCAATGGTCAAAGCTGCAACATAGAGAATTGGAAATTTTTATGGTTTCTTGTATAGGGTTATGACTATTTTTGCTTTTATAGTTGTGGGAATAATTAAACAAGTTTGTTTGTAGCCTACAGTTCACTTACTCAGTACAGTGGATGGCCTCAGACATCAGCTGGGCCTCCAGATGGGACATCTACCTCGGCATGTCAGACGTTCAAATCCACTGGTTCTCCATCATCAACTCTCTTGTTGTCGTCTTCTTCCTATCCGGTTTGTAGTTTATTATTTGTCATGTTTAAAACTTTGACAGTGAGTTTTGCACTGTATGTGTATTATACTGGGATCACTCAAGAATAGTATGTTTCATTGTTAATACTGTCAGTGGCGTTTGCCGGCGCGCTTAAGTTTCATGTGTGAGGCAAAGTCGAACTGAAGAACACCAAATTTCTCATGTATGAAGCTGAAGATGGGAATAGTTGGAATAAGTGTCGGAAAATCACTTTCGGTACAAGGAAAAATAGTTTATCCTAAACTAGCTTAAACTAGCTTATCCTATTCATATTTATGTTCACATTGTTGTATTGTTAACAGTAAAAACAGTGGATCCAACAATAGAAATAAATTGTAAACAAAAACAAGAAATCAGAAATCAGAAATCTTTATTCACCATTGATCATATTACATGAAATAGGCTTCGTCATACAATATAGGCTAAATCTATCATAATACTAAGGAAAATAAAATCTACACATATAACAATCATAAACCTATATAGGCCCAAATACTACTGACAATAACAACATTTCTTGGCCAATTCTATCTACAAGTGTTAATCTAGGATCACAGGACAGTCTAAAAACTCAGTTAAACAATAAAACGGATTTTTTAATAGCCAATCGTACATTTTCTTCTTGAAAACATTGACTGGTGCAGTTCTAGCATATGAAGGAAGTTTATTGAAAAATCTAATGCAGTTAATTTTGTGAGATGACCCAGTTTTGGCTAATCTGTGCATTGGGATATCAAGTCTCACCTTCCCTCTTGTGTCGTGGTTGTGTAGGTAGCATCAAGTACTAGGGCCTGTTTGTCCTGTGTTGAGAGCAAGGGATCAGCTGATTGTTTTCCCCTTGATCCAAACAGTGCTTGGGAAACAAAACAGTTCCACTTCCTGTACAGAGTAATGAAGAGGTTTATATCATGTACAATTTAATTTTAGATTCAAATTGAACAAAGAGCCAGTTGACCATTATAAACATTTTGTATACAGTTGAACCTCTTTAATCCGAACCCCTGTAATCCGAACGTCCACTAATCCGAACCCCTCATTGCTGTACTCTATACACAGTACAGCAGCTCTTTATTGTATACTGTATTTAATTTACAGTACTCTTTATTCACCATGTTTACTACTGTATTAAATAAACACTGTATTTTACTTTATAAAACATTTTTTCACTTTTCCCAAAATAATTTTGATCAATTTTAGCCATGTTTTAGCTACTGTTATGTAAAAACAACAATATGTTCTATAATCCGAACAATTCAATAGTCCGAACCACCCCTGGTCCCAATTAGTTCGGATTAAAGAGGTTCTACTGTATCTACACACAGCTGTCATTATCTCCTGGGTCTGATGTCTAACCGTCCCTTCAAAGCAAAGTATGCCAACCCCTACCTGTATTCCAACATACACTGAAATTCTTAGGATACTGAAGCTGCTGTGTAGTGTCTGTAGGCCTTTCAATGATTTCAGGCAAACACCAAACATTGAACAACCAAAAACTCACTATTTACATAAAAATGTATTTAAGGTTCATGCATGTTTGCCAACAGATTTTCCCTCTGCATAGTTCTCTACTGTCCCCATGTTTGCAGGTATACTGACGATGATCATGGTTCGCACATTACGTCGAGACATCGCGAGGTACAACTCTGACGAGGGTATTGAGGAGGCGTTGGAAGAGTCGGGGTGGAAGCTCGTCCATGGAGATGTATTTAGGCCTCCGAGACATCCAAGGTTATTTGCCGCTGTCATCGGCTCTGGCATACAGATATTCTTCATGGCACTCATCACTATTTGTAATTATTTTAAATCATTCTATGTACTTAAGTATTGCTCATGGAGTATTCAGAGTTTGTGTCTAAGGTTAGGATATTTAATAGAATACCTAAAAGTGTTGTAGAAGCACTTAACGAGTGTTACTACTACAAGTGTTACTGTGTATGCTAGCGTTTCTTGTTGTAGTTTGATTGTAGGTTTTATGGAACATACATTGTTGATGTAGTGTACATTTTTCTATATGTTAGAAAATGCTAGCAGCTAGCATATTTTATGTCTTTAAAACTCCAATATAGAGTAGGCGCAAAATGAATAGTTTACTATAGGTGGCACAATTGTCTTAATTATCTCAGCTAAAAATTCCATTTAGTTGATGACATACAACAGTTCATAAGATTCAAATATTGGTACTTGGTGGAGAGAAGACTTAAACTAAGAAAGAATATATTAAAGAAGAAAGAACGGTTAGCTTTAGATTTCCAGTCTTCTATATTATCTTACTTGTACGTACGTTTTTAGTCTTCGCCATGTTGGGAATGCTGTCACCAGCCTCAAGAGGAGCTCTTATGACTGCCGCCATTTTTCTGTACGTCTTCATGGGGCTCATAGCAGGCTACATATCTGCCAGACTTTACAAAACTATCAAAGGCCGCAAGTGGAAAAGGGCTGCGTTTTTGGTGTGTCATTCAAATTTCATTAAATACTAAGATAGTGAATAATTGATTTATATGTAGCTTTTGGAAGTTTTTTTATGCCAAGATAAAAATGTGTAGCAAATACAAAACATTTTCAAAAATTGTACCAACACTTAGCACTTAAAACGAAAAAGTAAACAAAAAGTCGGTCCGATATCTAGATCTAACTAGGTCTTATCATAATACTTGCAGTAACAGCTTATTATTCCCTAACTTAATTGAAATTTGCAAAAATTGGCCTCAGATTTTAAAATATAATGTGTCTACTAGCACTATTGAGTGAATGGCACTTGTCTAATAATTATTTGTGGAACTAGTGTGTAAAGTGGCACTTTGGTCTTGAGTACAGCAAAGGTACTTTGCACTCGCGTTACACATTATATTTCTCCTAAAGTTACTATAAAGCGTGTAAATAATTAATCTTTCAAACACTATACAACACATTTTTAGGTTAAATTAAATCCAAACATTGAACAAAATTGGTAACGCTGCACCAGCTGATCGCAGTCATAGTATCATTAAGTGTTGCCAACTTATTTTCAAGCGTGCACATATTACAACCCTAATAATACCCCTGCCGCAGCAAACCTGCCGACTAAGCGAATTTTCATCTGCCTGGATTAATTTTCAATTAAATCTATTTAAATAAGTTTAACGAGGACCTAGGTTTGCTGCTACAGTATGGTGTTGTTTGGTTGGAATACTGGAGTGTGGCAAAAGTAAGTAAATGCAGCAATTAGCTACTTTGCGTGCTATAATCAGTGCAAGGAAGCCCACATTGTTAGGTAACTGTGGGAAAAGGTGTTTTTCCCATTAGTAACCCATGTTTTACTTGCAGACAGCCACACTCTACCCGGCTGTAGTGTTTGGGACAGGGTTCGTCCTCAACTTTTTCATCTGGGGTAAGAACTCCAGCGGGGCAGTGCCGTTCTCTACGATGTTGTCACTGCTGCTGCTCTGGTTCGGCATTTCTCTGCCGCTTGTGTACCTCGGCTACTACTTTGGCTATCGCAAGCAGCCGTTCCAACATCCCGTACGCACCAATCAGATCCCCCGACAGGTGCCAGACCAACTGTGGTACATGAACCCGATGCTGTGGTGAGTGCCGCACTCTATTAGTTGATTAAAATTTGAATAAAAATGAAATTTAGTTAACCTAAAATATCACTCTAAGGGCTCATCAATTATTTGGATCTGAAGGTTATTTCACCATTTTAATTAAAAATCCAAAAACAATTTTAGTTATTATTTTTCTGATGTTTTATGCACCGACACAAACTGTAGTGTTCAATACTACTATACTTGGACCGTATGAGACTCCGTAATTTAGTTTTAGAAATTGTAAGACTTTTGAAATTTGTTTTGGACATAATGAGAATAGTTGATGGTGTTCAGTCGTTATAAGACTTGGATACTAAGAAATGAACTCCTGACATTTACTTATATAAAGGATAAATACAAATGAACCAAAATTAAGATTTGTGATAAGGAGTGACAATTCACTGACAATAAAATATGAATGTACCGGTGAAACAGTAGGTACAGTTAAACGACTGTCTGAATTGGTCAATAATCCACTTTGACCAAGTTCTTGTGTTTTTATATTCAATCTCCTACAGATTTGACTTGGCATGTTACAGTACTCTGATGGCTGGAGTGTTGCCATTCGGAGCCATCTTCATCGAGCTGTTCTTCATCTTGACGGCTATATGGCAGAACCAGTTCTACTACTTGTTTGGCTTCCTGTTCCTCGTGTTCATTATCTTGGTCATCTCCTGTTCCCAGATCTCCATAGTCATGGTGTACTTCCAGCTGTGTGGCGAGGTAGGTTGAAATTTACCAATTGCGATGGATTTTGTCCGTCTTTGTGAGTCAAGCGGCACTCAACGATTTTGTTGGATTCAAATTCAAACTATCTTTGCTTATAGCATGCACAAAACTTACAATAAATAGTGCCAAGCTTACCAACACGGGGAAAAGTCTAGTCGTTTATCATATTACTAGAGGCAAGAGGTATACCTATACATCTATAAAAATAATACATACTACAAAAGTTTTCATTATTTACACTATAAGGAGATTTTTTCTGAGGGGGAGAATAAGGTAGTTGTTTTAAATTTAGGTTAGAAAGATGACTAGAGTTTGTAATGCACTGGTAGGCTAATACTTTCCTAAATATGGAACTTTCTTATTGGTCTTTAGGGTTGGACTTTGAGCAAGAACCCAAATCTGTTTTTTCAGCGTATGTGGCTTATATTATAGGTACTAGTTTTTTGGAAATTGAAAAGCGTTTGAGAAAACAATTGTGTGTGGATTCCCCAGGAGACTTGAAAATAATGTTTCATGTTCCAGGACTACCACTGGTGGTGGCGTTCACTCCTTGTATCGGGTGGATCTGCTGTCTACGTCCTCGGATACTCTATCTTCTACTTCATGACCAAGTTGGAGATTACCGAGTTCATCCCTACCCTCCTCTACTTCGGTTACACAAGTCTAATGGTTCTGACGTTCTGGCTGCTCACGGGGACTATCGGGTTCTTCGCAGCCTACGCCTTCGTCATGAAGATCTACGGCGCAGTCAAGATTGACTAAGCCTACCCAACGTCTGTGATCTAGTGAGAATGATTCAAGCTGTTTTGTCATAGTTGTACAGTCTAGGATTTGTTTTCTAGTGGTTTGATTGACATATTCCTTATCCACAAAAAAATTATGGAGTTGTAAAATTGTATATTTTCTTTTTGTGGAAACATTTTGTTGGATCTGCTATAATTTGTGTTTTGTAAGGGATTACTTAACAAACTCACTGTCATGACAAGATAAAAGGATTACTATTATTGTAATTATAACTGTCTACTGTAAAATCCAACTTAATTTTATTTAAAAAAATCTTTTTTGAATTAATTTTCCTAGGGACAGGTTTTAAATCTCTAGACTGTCCAATTTTTCAAAGTGGCTTGTTTCCATTCATCTAATAAAATTTGTAAATAGATAAAGTAATTTTTATAATCATCACCTCATATTTACCATTTTGTAAATAATTTTCGTCTTAGTTATTTATCAGTGTATTGTCTACTTTAAGCTACTGTAGATCGCATTTATGTGCACATTTTTCCTGTGAGATAGCTGTATTTATGTATAAATATTTAAGTAATATTTTTCAGCAGTTAAATGTTTGTATTTCTGCTGAAAAAATATTCCCCCTTTTCTGTGCAGCTGTGTATAGATCAAGCTAAGTGTTGTTATTTTTTATTAGCAGATAAGCCGCATGATTTTATCATCTCAATAACCATATCTGTGTTGTTTGGTGTACAAACAATTTTTTTACTGGTGCTGAAATTGTAAAAAGTATAAATTTGTTGTGTACAAAAATAGTAAAAAAGTTTTTGTGAATTTAGCAGGACGATTTTTTGTTTGTTTTTATAAATGCTCCATTATTGTTTGACAAATATATTTAACCATTTCGAATATATTTTTTATCATACTAAATTAATAGTTTTATTCCCTAAAAGCATTTATGGAGATGGAACATACCTATGTTGATATTCCCCCGTAAATTTAATAAATACATGCATTTTACTGATGAATGTAGATAAGATTTAATTGGTTTAAAGACAAATAATCAAACTTTTAATATTAAAAATCAAATGATCTGAAAATGATCCATTTGATCCATCAACCAAGTTTAAAATAAGATATAAATCAATACAGTTGAGATAAGAATAGTCTTCCCAATCAGCAATTTTGTTTACTTGATGTTGATGATGGTAGTATATTTCACTTCTGGCCTCAAAAGTAATTCCAGGGAAAGATAATGATTTATAAAGGAAGCAAAGACCAGCACAGAACTACCTTCCAATCAAGACAGGAAATTAATCACTACAGTAGTGAACGATTCTTTTCATCATGATGCAAAGAATGTGAAATAATCACTCAACCATAATATTTATTAGTGCTCCAGTTAAACAAACCAGGAACTTAGGTTTGGGACAGGAAAAATCATGTTTTGATGGATTGGAAATCAACGATTTTAGTTAAGCTCAGCTGTAGCTGTAAGGAAATGAACTTTTCTGCATATATTTATAAAATAGTTATTTGTGTAACTAGTGGTGAAAGTGGCACTTTGCTGCACACGAGAGCAATGTTTACGCACGAGCCGCAGGCGAGTGTGGAATGATCTCGAGTGCAGCAAAGGCCTTTTTCACTCGTGTTACACATTATATTTTTCCTACAGTCACTATAAAGCATATAAATAATTAGTCTTTCAAACACTATGCAACACGTTTTTAGGTTCAGCTGGCAACACAAATGGTGCCCTAGAGAAAGTAGTACCCGCGGTCCATATCACTCCGCTATTTTTCCTCGGCAAGAAATGTGATCCGCGTTTTGAGAATATAGTTCCGTATGTTTTTGTAATTTGAAGTGGTTTCCGCGCCTAAAAAAAATTCTTAAAAGGTATTTTCTTGTTTATTAAGATCGTAGGAAGGTTTTAAAAACGTTTAAAAGAAAAGTCCAGAAAGTTCAGAAATACCGAAACTATAAACACGAAATGACAGGTTAAATCGTAGTTATAATAGTCAATCAGCTGCTTATAGTATAATTATCTTTAAGTGTTGCCAACCTATTTCCAAGCGTACACGGATTACGTGCATAATGGAACCACGCTGTTTTGTGTTGTTTCGTTGGAATCCTGATGTGCGGCAAAGTATAAACTGTACGGCAAAGTATAAACCGTACGGCAAAGTATAAATATGCAGCAATTAGCAGCTTTCTGTACTATAAACAGTACAAGGAAGCCAACTTTGTCGGGTGACTGTAGGAAATAGTATATTTCACTACTAGTCTTGAAAGTGACTCATTCAAGGACAAAGTAGTGGATTGCGAGGTGAAGCTGAGAGCGTAAATCTGATCCTGTCTTGACGAGTAGTGAACGATACTTTTTATCAGGATGCAAGCAAATATCAATCAAATCTGCCATAGCTTTTTGGTACAAGATATAATAAAATAATATTCCATAGTCTAGTAATCCTCTTTTAAAGTTTTCAAAATATGGTTTTGCAATTTATTGATAAATCAGCTGTTAATACAAATTTATTCTTCGCAAACTCATAAACACACAGGTTCTATTATTTCAGCTCGTAATAAAGTAATACATTACGGCCGGTTTTCCTAGTTGCCAAATACAGCTGTATCATTTGGCACCAACTCAACACGCAAGCGTGTTTTCCTAGCTGCCAAATGTTAGGTACGATGTTAACGATGCAGACTTTATGTTAAGGATTTTAAATGGTTTAGTTAATTTCTTTTAGTTATCGGTACTTTATGTTCTGAAGGATGAATGTCAATAAAGCCAACTTTAATAAACTAAGGCAACTAATCTATTTCAGACATATATAAACAATTGAACTAAGACTAGTTTCAGAACATGAATTTGTGTAGAAAATTCAGATTTAATATATTATAAGAATATTTTAAAAGAGAAAAACTGTGAACACTACACTACTGAAAATTGGCACATTAACCGACTCTACAATTAAATAAATCAATTTAGGAAACTGCAAAAAACGAAGGCACTAGAATGCCTGACACTCAAGATCCCTCGTATTCAGCCGCTAGGAAAACCCATGTTCACTCCTTTTGTGTGAAGTGAGTTTTTTGGGACAGGAAAACGTTTGTTTGGGAAAGAGAAAACATATTGTTTGGGACAGAAAAATTATGTTTTGAAAGAATGGAAAAAATTATTTTCGTTAAGCTCAGCTGTGCGGATATGAGGAATTTTTTGTATACTGTATGATGAAAAGTATTACGATGTGCAGGTTCATATCCTCCAAAAAGTAATTAGTCTTGCTTAGCCTCCTATGAATGCTTTACAACTGCTTTGAAATACTGTTCGAAATTCCAGAAAAAAACAATATTTGGCAAAATAAATAGTGATGTACAGTAGTGTAGTAATAAAATGTATAATGTTGTGGTAATAAATGATTTTAGTAATTAAATAAACAATATGGAATTGTTTAAAAAACTACAGTTATAAACACTAAACATGATTTATTAGATTTATCACAAACAATAATTTCTTTAACATATAAGATTTATTTACAAATTACCACTGGCTCAATATAACCTAATGATAAGTTACTACTTAACAACTATAAAAGTATTAAATGCTATTGGCTTATTAGCAGGCAAGGGATTTTAGTATGGTGTTCAAGAGAAATGTACAAAAATAACTAAACTGTATCTGTTATCAGCAATCTGACTCATACTTTCTCCCATTAGCTTGTCACCAACCCTCTTAATGGGCAAGTCGTGGGAGTAACTGTGATATTTTATGGGGGAAATCACAAACTTTGCAATAACTTTTGAACAGTAATATTTACAGAATTGGAGGTTATAAACTTTTATTTAGAGTTAAAAGGACTATAACACACTAAATTTGAATCAAAATCATTATGAAAGTCAAATTATGTGTTATTAAATGGGGAAATCACAAAAGTTTTAAAAACTTTTTAACCATACTTTCTAAGGCATGGGGGTTGTATAATTTGGTTTAGAGTCAAAAGTTCTACATATAACTATAACACACCGGGTACCACATTTTTATCCAAATCATTCAGGCAGTTTTATGAAAAATACAATTTTTCCGTTATTTTATGGAAAAACTACTATTAAAAATCACTAAAAAATATACCAAAGAACCCACATAACGAATTTCATCAAAATCGACATAAAAGAACATAACAAAAATAAAAAAATACACAAATATTTTGGTATCAATGGGTTAATGAAAGATATTACTTTATTTGAAATATAAGCCACTGTGACCAGTGCTCAAAACTGAGCATCACCAGTACAATAAAGTGATGATTCACAATGTCCAATAATACTTGCTTTACTTTTTTTTTAAATATTTGCATATATATATATATATAATATACATTTTTGAATATACATCTCAGTGTGCCAAATATAATTTACTACACATAGGCTTTATTAACAAAGACTAAAGAGTAAAATGTTCTGTGAAACAATTTTGAACATTAAGGTGTTTAGTCAAATATTTAGTCTTTGTTAACAGAAAACAGCTCAACATTTAATTTTGGACATTGTGAAACTGGATTTTTACCTTTGAAACTTATACTAAACATCTCCAGATTTGCTGCTATGACGTCAAAGGTGCCTGGGAATCAGTCAGTGGTACCACAACGACTTGAATCGTCGGAACTCCATCGTCAAATGGTTTCCTGCTCTCTAGCAATCGTTGTTTTCGTCTGTTCAAATGTTCTTTGTTTTTCTTGACTTTTACAGAAGAATTCTTGTAACGATCCTAAAACAAAGGTCAGAAATGTCTTGACATTCATTCGTTCAATAACATGAAGTTTGTCAGGTTGGTTTGAAAATAGGATAAAATTTGTAATTTGTTACATTCATAATCGTAATGTAATCAGTTTTTTCTAAAGACACCACATACACAGAAACAAACATCCAAATGATATCAAATCCTTGGAAGCCTAACATTCATTTTTACATTGAGATTGTTTTCATATTTACCCACATATTCTTAAGTGTGTTTGTCTGTGGTACAAGAATCAAATCAAGAAGTAAACTAATTCAGTACGAGAAAGGGATGAACAGATTTATTTTGTCCCAAATCACCAATTTCTACAGATTTCAGAATCAATTTTATAAGAAATCTATTAAAGAAGCTTGTTGACTTGGTGTAGGAGCTTTAAAGCCAATAAGAGAACTTAAATAACTTGAAAATGGAAAATTGTTAGAGCTTCGAAACAGTTCATACCATCCATCGGGCCTTTGTTATGAAAATACGACACACAGACAGCACTTCAAAAACCAGGGGAACCCAAAACTGATATTTCCACTCCAATCTCAAACTCAAAACATTTTGACAAAAATAATAATTTCTTCCATATATAATGTATTGGTGGAGAAAGTTAAAATTATCAATTGAGGCTGTAGCTGCTAAAGGAGCCTAAGTCGAGATGGGCCCTTATAGATGAGATTCGCTATTTCGCTTCCTTAAGTCTTCTAGTATAATATGTGATCACTACAATATTTAAATCTCTGTAATGTTTGACGCCTATTCTTTGTTCTTATGTTCAAGAATAAAGTATTCTGATTCTTGGAATGGTGTATTTCAGTTTGTTTGGTTGGTATGACTCTGAAAGCCAGCTGGTGTCATTACGCCCTTTTAGCATCGACGAGTGCCAACGCTGACAGCAGCCAAACATAACCTAACAGACATTTTTTGTAAAACTTTAGGACACGCCCTTTGAGAGGAGAATCACTATTTTTGCTTCCTCGTGCCTCTAGTATAATCTTTAATATAATTTGGAATGGTGTATTTTAGTTTTTTTTTTCGTATTGCTGGTGTCACCAGTCCCTTTAAGCATAGACATCTTTCAACACAGACAGTCAAACATAACCTCTAAACATTAACAGCGATTATCTCAAAACATCAGTTTTCTAGATATAGGCCCGTTTAGCAGCTACAGCCTCAATAGCAAATCACACTACACTTGTTTTTGGATCCTTGACCACTCACCAGACTGGCAGTGACGTGACCGCAGTCTTTACAAGGCTTGTTCTCTCCCACACACACAGCCTCATGCCGGGTCAGCTGAACTCTCTGTTTGAACGTCCGAGAACACCCTTTACATCTGAGATCCTTGTTAGTGGTGTGTGACAACAGATGCTGCTTCAGCTTGTCCTTGCGATAAAACTCCTTCTTGCAGCCCAAACTCTTGTTGAACGGACATTTAAATCTGGGTAGGCAAACGTTTCTAGATGAATTGTAGAACAATTTTTAGCCCTTTGAGGTGGAATTGTTTTGGCGAGTATAGGTTGCCATTTGAGCGTTCGGGAAAATGGCACACAGCTACCTATACTCTCCATTCGACCGCAAAGGGTTAATACTCATGAGATTATCTGAGAAATTAAAAGTCCATAAATCTGATGTTCTGATATTTTTGGCAAATTTGCCATGATAATTAACCACTGATTCTAATAGCAGGTCACAGGTCAAGATTATATATTGAAGTTAGAACCAAAAACCTTTAAAGTTTGTTATAGTGAATTTCTATAGGTCAACTGGGAAAAACTTATACCACAAGTCTCATGATAAGACCTAGACCCGGGACCAATTTACTTTTTTCATTTTGGTGACCCAAGAGGCCAAAACCACCATCTGTTCATATTCTTTATTTTGAAATTCAAAGTACATTAAATATGTTTTTTAACTTTAAAAGGTTTAATTTTGTAAATAAGGTGGGCTTTAGATAGTTCCATAATACCTATGTAATTTTCTTGTCAAGGTTGCTTTAATTTAATGTGGACTTCATAGAACATTGATGAATCCAGATTAACAAGGGTTTACTGTAAGAAAATTAATTCATTAAAATTACCTATCAGAGAAGAGCTTAAGACTCACCTGTGTGACGGGTCGTGTATCATCATATGCCTTATCAGTCTGTCTTGGCGACCAAACGAGGCTGAGCAGAACTTGCACTCGTACGACTTCTCGCCTTGATGTGTCACTCTGTGATATCTATCACACAACTCTGATTAGATTACAGCTGAATCTCAAACTCACCCAACTTTAAGAAGACTCAAAATCGGATTTGATCGGTTGGTGTCAAGAATCGAATCTCAAACTAAACATCTGCAGTTTATCCACGCTACTGCAACCCAGGAGACCATTCAAGGATGTAAACGTAACACAAACTGTATAAGAAAGTTTAAAGGTTAGAAAATTTGAGTAAAATATAAGCCCGTTCAGTAGTTTTCCAACAAGTAGACAGAAGCCATAATCTTTTCTCTAAAATAAGAGTCCTTAACACGTTCACTGCGGGCTATATCAATTGATGTGGTGCGTCACAAGCGCTCCTATCGGCCTACATCAATAGATGCAGTCGTGCCACTCCCACTACATTAGTTCAGTATGAACTCAGCCATTTCCGGGGAATGTTATAATCGTTGTCAGCATGTAGCTTAGAATGCGAGCTTTATTCTGGTGTAGGTTGGTAAAAGATTTTCCCATAAAAACCTGTCTGGCAATGTTTTTGTCTCGGTTTTGGGGATTTCCCTCTTCATGACCCATGACAAAGACACTGGCTACAGATCCAGGCAGTGATGCTACTTTTGGATGTTTCAGTGAACTACGATCACTCTCGGGGTAACGCAGCACAATCACCGCTGCTCTTTTGTTACTTGTCAGACTGAAATATTTGAATATAAAAGGTTTAATTTACCTGTTGCGTCAATTGATCCTTAAGTTATGAAATAACTACGGCCGTTTCGTACTGCTAAACGAGTACATCTTCAGGTCATGAACGTTAAAATACGGCCTTCTCATCCATGGGTGGAGTCGTCAGCACATTTAGGACACATAACACGAACACATACGAAACATTAAAATATTTACAATTAAAAAACTTGGCTCATCATCTAACGCTACCGGTTACACAACTCTCGTGTTCGGACTACTTGGCCAAGTTTTTTAATTGTAAATATTTTAATGTTTCGTATGTGTTCGTGTTATGTGTCCTAAATGTGCTGACGACTCCACCCATGGATGAGAAGGCCGTATTTTAACGTTCATGACCTGAAGATGTACTCGTTTAGCAGTACGAAACGGCCGTAGTTATTTCATAACTTAAGGATCAATTGACGCAACAGGTAAATTAAACCTTTTATATTTGCATTACCTTGATCCAGAGGCTAACCCATCATGAAATTGAAATATTTGAATGCCAATTGCGTTCACCGAATCGGTTGCGCCGTGGTGCTTTGCCGGGCCTTGCCGCTATTGGCGAGCCCCTGTTTTAAGGTATGCCGCACTGAACGTGTTAAAAAACATTAAAAAATTTAATGGCGTTAAAGGTCACAAAATAACAATGTTTTGGATTAGGCTTACCTAAGGTTCTGACGAGTCTTAAATCCTTTTCCGCATTCTGAGCAGATGTGGGAATTGATGGAAGAATGAGTTGCTAGATGTTTGCGTAAATGTCTTTCTGATACGTAGACCTGTAAACAGCGTGGAAAAAATGTATAGAGTTAAAATATAAAAAATCAATTGATATTTCAAAATCAACGTCAGGGTCAACCAAATTTTATTTTAAAGGAATCTCCAATCATAATTACTGTATACAAACTAATCCTATGTTTCCTTAATAATTTAAAAACATTGTGCCATTGAATTTTGGGTAGTGAAGTAGACATCCCATCATATAGAGCAGCAGTATTCCCAATAAACTAAAAAACCACTTTTTTGAGTTCAGGGGAATCCAAAAGGATATTTCCACGTGAAACTCAAACTTGAATATTTTGAAAATACAGTACTTTCTCGTTTTGGTAAGTACTATGCATAGGGAGAGAAAGTAAAAGTTTAAGTTAATAGTGCTATAAATCTAATTCTATCGATTAAATTTGTGTATTTTAAAATTTTATCAGTTAAACTTTAAACTCTTGCATTTGACCACTATGCAAAGTGGTCAACTACAGTTGAGTTGTTGTGATTCCAAGATAACAGATAACAAACCTTGCTGCACTGTGGACACTGGTAAAAGTGAGTTTCTTCAGTCTGATGTCTCTCAAAAGCTTCTACTGTTGTAAATTTGGCTTTACATATCTTGCACACAAAAGGCCTGTAAAACACATTTATAAGTAAGTGGCGCATACAACAAGCTGAGCTAAATCAATGACTCCATTCACTACAAGTGAGGAGATAAAAATAAAACTACTGATTGCGGACGATGTGCTGAATTTTGCTGGGACTGCAAGACATTCACAATTTCACCATGACCGCAGAAGATGATAACGATTTCACAGGAATTGCTGTAAATAGTGTACAGTATATACATAATAAAGTTACTACAGTAAAATAATTAATATCTTTAAAAATCAATCAATCAGCCCAGGAAAATTATAAATCATAACCTGGACAAACCCAATTAAGCCCATCCGAGGATTAAGGTGCAAAAGTTACCCCTTCCGAAAATAACACCTTACAACTTTCCAAAGCAATCCTATTTTGGCCTTAGACCGGGTGACAATTTTTTGCCAGACCCGAAGAAAAAGTCTATCTCATAGATTGTGACTTTAGGCCCTGCCGATGAAATATTTCAAGTGCTTCCTTGGACATCTCTAAGTTGATCAAATGTTTTACAAAATGTCAACAGTGGTCGCATGATCTATCAATGACTAAGGTAAACTCTTCCAACCTCTAATAAAAGCTGTGATCACATCAGATTACCCTTGTTTGCTCTTGATGGGCAATGTGTGAGTGTTCTGGTGGGTGCCGAGCTCATCCAGGTTTGTGAACACCTGTCTGCACATGCAGCATCTGTACTGCACGTCGTTCTGCGTCTGATGCGAGGCTGTGTGCTGCAGAAACTGCTGCAGGTTCTCAAACATCTGTCCACACTTGCTCTGGATACACCGGAATATCTGTGACAGGAAGGAAAATTCACTAGGACCTCTTAAAAATGGTTAAGTGCAAGAGAAAAATTGTGCTTAATGATTCTGTGCATTCAGTTGGGTCTCTGAGTTCAATTATTTTGCTTGGCCACGTGAATAATAAGTCATCTTATAACTCGAGTTTTAATGTTTATGTCTACTTATTGATGGGTTTAACCTATTAACATCGAGTCACGTTTGTATTCATCGCATTTCGCACCAAGGTAGGTACTGCTAACACACTAGCGGATGAGTAGTTCGTCGAGTCTAACCTATGAGCGCTAGTGTCTACCAGTTTTGCCTCTTTTTACATTAGTGTAGAGGAGGAGGACATGGTTTTTTCTTTGGATTTTATTTTGGCTAAATAGGGACATATCATGTTGAAATACATGACAAAAGACATTAAACGAAATAACATACATAAAATTAAATAATGGAGAGAGAGAGAGAGAGAGAAAAATTCTTTATTTACAACAATTATTTTGCAGCATTACATAAAGAAAATAAAAAATATCACATGGGTCACAATGACCTGTGCGTGATAGAGTCCTTATTTGGCTGCTTAAAATCAAAATAAAAGTTCACCACACTTCACATAATAAAATAAAAAACAAATCGAACAATATCTTAGTTAAATAAGCGTAACAATTAATTTACTATACAATTATAATTATAAAAAACTGCGAAACCTAAAAAACCATATACAAATGTAACTCAATAGTAGGGAGCTCATTGCTTGCATTAAATCCAATGCACAACTTTTTCCCTTCAATTCCCAATTTAACTGATTTAACTGAGGCGTGGATTCCTTCAAGTAAGAGTGCTGTATAAAGTACTATAGATAGTCCAGTTATCAGTTGGTTAAGTCTAAACGAGATATTCTGGGCTGATAAGCGACTCTGTATTGTCGAGGCCTATCTCCATCAGCCAATTAGCGATAACCCTCTTATATACACTCAGTGACACTCGCAGGTCCCTAATTTCTGGAGGAATATTACGCAGCAAGCAATTAGCAATGTAAAATGAATTTGTTAAATTGATTGATTTGAGAACTCTTGGGACCCGTAATCCAATCATCACTGAGTTTCTGGTATGATAATTATGAACTACGGGCGATGCGATGAGGTCTAAATGAATGTATGAATAAGCTAATAAATCTTTAACATATAGCTGCCTTATTGATAAAAACTTAGATTCGTTAAAGAGATGATCAGTAGAATAACGTCTCGGTTTTCTTAAAGCAGCTTTAATTATTGATTTTTGAATTACGAACAAAGGTTCAATTACCGATGAATAAGCCCCTCCCCAAGCTATTAAACCATACTGCAGATGAGATTGAACGTATGCGTAATAAATTCTTTTAATTTCTTCATGTCTTAAAATTTGACCCAATTGGTGAAAAACAAAAATCATTTTTCTAAGTTTTGTTTTTAAAAAATTTATATGACTTTCCCATTTTAATTTAGAATCCATTATAATGCCCAGGTATTTATAATGCGACACAGTTTCAATAATTTGGCAGTTGCAATCGCTGCCTGCGGTGCCACATGAGTGCAAGGCTAGTCTGAGTTCGGCGGGCGGCTCGCTAGCGGGACGAAGTGCGATAGGTAAACATTTTTTTTTACTGACATTCATTGTTAAAATGTTTTCTGAGAACCATCTTTTTAAAATTTGTAATTCTGATGATGCAATATTAAAAACCTCTTCCCACGTACGTGCCCTAAAGATTACCGCTGTGTCATCTGCAAACAAGAATATTTCTCCAGAAATATCAATTTTATCTATGTTATTTATGTAAATTAAAAATAGTAAAGGCCCCATAGTAGAACCTTGAATAATTCCAAAATCTACATTCATTTGATCACTAATAACGTTATTAATTGAAACTACTTGAGTTCTATTGCTTAAATAACTTTTAAACCATGCCAGGGCTAAACCCCTTACACCCAAATATTCTAATTTTTTGAAAAGAATTTTCCTATCAATGGAATCAAACGCTTTAGCAAGATCTATGAATGCAATTAGTATTTTTTCATTTCTATTCACTGACTCGATTAAAGTTTTATTGATAAGAAATAGTGCATCAGTAGTATTTTTACCTTTTCTAAACCCAAACTGTTGGTCTGATAAAATTCCATGTTCATCCAGATAATTTTGAAGTTGAATTTTGACACATTTCTCTAACACTTTAGATAATACACTTAACAATGAGATTGGTCTATAATTATTTTTGTCATTTTTTTGCCCGGACTTATAAAGAGGAATTACCTTAGCTATTTTAAATTTGTTTGGAAAAATGCCTGAAGTAATACTCAAGTTAATAAGATGTTTGAGTGGTAGTAAAATGTCTTGCAGATGATTTTTTAATATTTTTGCTGGAAATTCATCGAACCCGGGAGCAGAACCGCCTCGCATTTCCCTCACACACTCGACCAACTGACTGTCAGAGACAGGCTCCAGTCGCAGTTCACGCCCCTGTCCTACACTGAACAAAGCATCGTCGACCAGTGGCGGACCCACGGGCGGTGGCAACTCGCTCGCCAACCTATTACCAACACTAGAGAAAAATTCATTAAACGAGTTAGCCACCGCCCCCAAACCTCCTCCACCTGAGTCCGACGGTTGCTGGAAAAGAGAAACAGGAAAATTGCATTTCTTTACATTTACTCCATTAAATTCATTTATATGTTTCCAAAATAATCTGGGTTTATCAACAGAGGCTGCTATTTTTTCTCTGTAAAAATGTTGTTTTGTAGTTTTGATTTTATTTGATATCTGGTTTCTAAAAGCTTGAAATTGAAATTTTAATTGCTCATCAAAAGGTCGGGCTTTAACCAGTTTACTCATTTTATCTCGTTTTCTAATAGCAAATATTAACTCTGTGTTTATCCATGGCTTTAATTTTTTAAATCTAGAGGTGGGTTTTGTCACACGCATAGCTTTAAGTTTTAAACTAGAAAATGTGTTTAAAAAAGCGTCACAACAATCATTAACATCCTGATGTGCAAGGACGTGATCCCACGACTGGGCCGCCATCAAGCCACTCAGAACACCCGAGTCCAAGTACATGTTGCAGGTTTCAGGTTGAGCTGTAATGTTTTCAAGTTCAATTTTTGCTATAAGAGTGTAATGATCAGTTATGTCAGTTTTAAGTACACACGAAGTTAGTTTGTTACAGTCATAGTGTTTGACAAAAATGTGATCAATGCAAGTTTTAGAGTTGTTAACTTCTCTTGTAGGTGTATTTATTAATTCAATAAAGCCCGCTGAATACATTATATTTAAGTAAATCTCTTTAAAATTGGTTTGATTTGACTCTGGTAAAATGTCAATGTTTGTATCCCCCATGAAAATGTGAGTATTTGAATTGTTGGTAGTAATGCAGTAGGTTTCTAGATCATTTAAAAACAAATCAATATTCATGGATGGGCTACGGTAAACTGTAAGTATGCTGTAATGTTTGGAGTCCAGAGTACAGTCAAGTCGTAATCCAGTCGCTTCACCCAGTCTTATCTGTTGCATTGTTCCGCAAAGTTCAGTTTTCAAGTACACAATAACACCGTCGTTTCTGTTCCAGTTGTTGTCTGTATTAAATATATCGTATCCGTCGATGTGATTCAATGTCTTCAAATCATGGGTCCACGCCTCAGTAAATGCAATACAATCAAATTCTAAGTTTAGACTTTGTAACAAAACCAATGCAGCATCAATGTTCCTACTGTAACTTCTAATATTTAAGTGGATAAATAATAAACCTTTCCCCTCGTTGAAAAAGTTAGATACTTGTATATGGTTTACAAAACTCATGCATTGTATAGTTTTTAAGTTTTCCAAGTCAGTTTCTCTATCAAAGTGAACCATATGTTACTATCCTAACCGTGTCTTCCCCAAATTGTATATATATATAGACTACTTTATTATAAAATCGCAAAAAAAGCATTACCTCGCCATGTATTAATTTGAGAATACTATTACATTTAAAAGTAGTATTAACTTAATAAAGGATGCTCAACACTTCTTTTTTTTATTAACACAAAACAAAACTACACTAAGTAATATGCATTAGACTGGCTTTAAATTAAGACAAATAAAACTGTAGTGTAATGTTCTATAGACTTTAAGCAAAATTACATTACTATTTAACGATAACACAAAATTGCAACAAAAGTATTTTTCTAAGTACAGTACCTCATTACTGATTTTGTTATTTTAGATTATTAGTCTGGAGTTATCTCGAAACACTTCAGAAATAAGTTGATTTTAAAGAGAGTTTAAAAAATACTTAGTTATAGACCTAATCCGTGACAAACAAACTAAAATTGAACGTAGTAAACATTCCAGGTCAATTGTATAATCAAATTAAATATTAAGTTTGTAAAGGGAGCAGAATTTACTAAATAAATAAATATACCTATGATTATAATTAATAATTTACAAATAAAAGACTTTTTTAATAATCAACTTATGGATCCTACTTATCTAATACTAACAATAAAAGTGCATTCCAGGTTGTTTTTTTTATCGAACGTAAAAAAATATATATATATATAGGCCTAAGTAATAATAGTAGTAGAAAAAAGATAAATAAATAAAATAAATACCACTGTAAATAATTAACCCTAGTTTTCATAAGCTTGCAAATTATGTTTTTCTTTTTAAGTAGTAAAATATGCATGCAAAATAATTAATAATAGTAGTAAAAAACAAAGATAGTTAAATAAAATAATTACTAATGTAAATAATAACCCTGGGTGTCATAAGCTTATAATTATGTTTTTCTTTAAGTAAAATATGCAAATTATAAATAAAAAAAAGTAAGAATGCATTATATAAATACCAATAACTTTGTTAACATTTCAGTTTATTTTAGCAATCAACCTTTGCATTGAAGTTTAAAGTAATAAATAACTTATTATAGGAGTGATAAACTTGTAAATTATAATTTCTTTAATAAGTAACTTAAATATGCAAATTTAAAGAAGATAGAAAAAAAAATATAAATAATATTACTAGAGACTAGGGTAATATTAATACGATTAGTTTAGATAGGCTCACTCATTATTTAAGAAGTTGTTCCAGATCTTCCATTGTTCTCAGGAGGGTCGGTCGGCTTCCAGGTTCGGAGTTCCTCTTCCTCGCGAACACCTTGCAGTCCCGTGACCATGCAGAGATTAGCTTCTTGTCGCGGACGGCTTGTCGCGCCTTGCCGAGGATTGCTTTGTTGAACGCTGTTAGGTGGTCATTGATGAAAAAACTATAGGACGGCCACGAGTCGCTGAGGGCTGCTCCTGTCATCTTCTGTCGGTTAGCAAAGGCCGCATTCATCCACGCCGTCTTGCACTCCCTGGAGATGAATTTGACAATAATTGCTGGGTTGGGACGTTCAGTTGTCACTGGCAGACGATGTGCTATCGATATATCCCACGAGTTGTATTTGATCTGGATGACCGTTGCAATTTTTGCTATAATCGAATAAAGATTTTCTCCTTTTGTGTAAGGAATTCCCACTATTTCAATATTATCCCTCCGTGAATATTGTTCCATATTTTGCATGTTAGACTTGATATCACTAACCTCTTGCTTTAATTTAGCGTTTTCACTTTCTAAACTACATATATCATTCTTCCTGTCTTCATTTTCTTTAACTAAATTACCTAACGTTGCTTGCAATGAACAGATCGTGTCATTGACTGTTTTTAACTGACCTTTCACGCCATCAATGTTTGTGTTAACCTGTCCAATCTGGCCACTGAGGTTACTCTCCAAGTTGCGAATCAATGTAATCAGAGCCTCGTTATCTTGGGTTTGCTTACCGCCACTACGTTGAGAAGATTGTTTCACCTCACAGGTATCACACAACCACGCTAGCTTTTGTTGATTGTTAAGTAGTTTATAGTTTTCATCAGATACAACACGTGAACACGCCGGGTGGAACACTTTCTTACACTTTGCACACACGAGAGGAGTATCTTTTTTATCGACAAACACGGATGAACACTTGCCACAGGTGGACATTTTAAGCAATAAAATATAATTACAAAAAATATAAAATAGTCCGTATTAAACCATGCACATGCACGTAAAAACTGGATGGGGAGACACGGCAGAGGTAGCCTAGATAGTGGAGGTCAGAGTGCAGACGACCTCCCTCGGCGGCATCCAGATAAGAACTGAGAAATTAAAAATTACTCCGGCGTCAATTGGTAAAATATTTTTTTGAAACAATACTACTTTTAGAATTTTTTTTTTTCAATTTAAATTTAGGCACTACAGTCACCATTCTCTGAGTACAATTTGTGTTCCATAATTTTATTTTTCAGTTCAACTTAAGATGTGTTTATGACAATTTCAATGACCTTATGAGATTGCTATAATGTTTATACTAGATGAAACTGATCATCTAATAATGGGTGATGGATTATATATCCTATTTGGTCTTTGTATCAAACACGGATGCAAAAGTTACATACTATGTAAAATTAAATTATAATATCCTACTAATTCCTACTAATATTATAAATGAGAAAGTTTGGATGTATGGATGTATGGATGTATGTTTGTGACAAGTGAACGCGAAAAATACTGGTCGGATTGGGCTGAAATTTGGCATGATGATAGCTCACATTCCCGATTAACATATGGGCATATTCTTATTTCAAAAATCCTTTCGGGCTCCGCCCCAGTGGCTCTGGAGTTCCCCATGTTAACCTTATGAGAAATGGAATTATTGAATCTTAACAGCTGTTTCAATTAAACAAGTTGGTTCTGTTCTATGATGTTCAATAGCATTAAAGTTACAAGGATTACCAACAGGATGCAACACTATTATTTCTTTTACATTTATGACAACCGCTAATTTGCAACCAAAAGGTGAGTGAGCGTAGCGAACGAACTACAACCTGGAGGCGAGTTAGCGTAGCGAACGAGCTAACCTGAAGGCAAGTGAGCGCAGCGAACAAGCTCCAACCTAAAGGTGAGTGAGCGTAGCGAACGAGCTCCAACCTAAAGGTGAGTGAGCGTAGCGAACAAACTTCAACCAGGACGTGATTGAGCCATGCGAACGAGATAATCTTGAAAATATATTTTCATTTTTATATAATGATGCTTTCTTCAATATTAAGTTCATTTCAGCTAATGTACAAAGAAATCTATAAAAGGGAATTACATTATTTTTTATATCATGATGATGAGTTTTGAACCTCATCATAATGTGCCATTTGCGACCCCTTGTTACTTTCATTATTACTGTATGAGCTGTTTTGCTGTTTTCTCACTAACCTTATTGTCAGTGTGAGCTTTCCGATGTGTTTTAAGTTGTGCAAAACTACTGAAGGTCTCGGGACAGAATTGGCAAGTATACGAGTTGTTTACAACAACCACTTCTTCGCCAGCCTTAAACAAACAAGGAAAATTACAATAAAAGCAAAAGTACCTAATTAAAATACTTATTTATTAGGGATGGATGGCTCCCCACAATTTGGGAATATTAGATAAAGATTACAATTTTAATTTTGGAATTTTCTCAAAACAGAATTTGTTTCGTCAACAACGATTCTGCCACTATAGTAAGTGGCAATGATGATGTCTTCGTAATGTCAAAGTTAATCACAAGTTTGCCACGATTGCAGGAGATATTCACAATTTTGCCGCTCTTTTGATAATAATGTGTCTGCCATCGAGGGAAATGAAAACGATAGTGGCCCAATCACAGATTTTAGACATAATGACAACACAATGCAATAAAGCCTGACAATTGATTTTCTTTGAAATAATTGCCATCTACCGAAAGTTCAACTAACGATTTTAAAAACCAATCAAAGTTTCCCTTGCTGTACAGGAAGAAAATGTCCCGTGGCCAGTTCCCTTCCTAATAAGGAAGGAAATAAAAATCTTGTCCCAAACTAAAAGCAATTAACAGTACAATCCCATCCATCCATAATGTTTATATGAAAAACGTTAGGATAGAAATAAATTTGTGTTTCTCTAAAATCTTAATAGTATTTATTATACTGCATACCTACCATAACCACTTAATTTTCCCATTACTCCTAAAACTAGACAAGAGTCTATCCATTAATTAAATAATTAGGCAAAGAGATTGTTCCCAAATCTTGTCTAAATGACATTTTCGCCAACTCCTTAGATTGTTGCCCATGATTAATAAACAAGTTTAAATTTGTTAACTTACCGGTTCAGTTATCTTCTCTAATGGCTTCTCTGGCAGACTTCTCATTTTTTGCGGCCACACCTGTTAAATAATATAAGCTGAGTAATTTTGTAGCATTCACTTAGGTACACATGTTGAATTGTATTATTTTAAATAACCCAAACCTGAAATAACGATGAAAAAAAAGGTTATTAGGAATGTCTAAAGGCAATTTAACCTGATGAAAATATAAGTCTAGAAAAGTTTTCTAAGATTTTATTTGACTAAAACAAGTCAACCATGTTAAAATATGTAGAATATAAGAACATAAACATATTCTACAATAACAATTTACCTTATGTGTTCGCATGTGTTTCTTGACGTTTGACTTCTGCGTGAAGGACCGACCGCAGACGACGCACTGGAAAGGTCGTTCACCCGTGTGAGAGCGTAAATGCTGCTGAAGGTCAAAGCTCTTAGTAAACTCCTTGTTGCAATAGAGGCATGTCAGTTGCTGCAACAGTATTGGTAGGATGAGTTATAAATTACAGCCAGTTTTTGATTGTGGTAGTGTACTTTACATTGGTTTATAAAGTTGCATTGGACTCGGTTAAAAGTTACCTATAGTAGAGCAGCCTCTGGTTCAAACATCAAGCGAAATAAAGTCTCTTCCCAAACTAAAAGTCTGAAACGTCTTAAACTAATAGAAAAGTAAACAGTTTCATTTCAAAAGCACAGACTACGGAAAATAGAACTAACAACAAATGACTATTGGTCAGACCAAAGTAATCTGAATGAGAAAAAAATTTACTTCATCTCTATTTAACTAATAACTATGTGCATCCTTAGTTCATGGAACAGTTGACGGTACAAAACTAATTCAGTTGTGTGAAACATTTTCACTAAAAATTTAAATTTTAAAGTTTAATTTCAGAAAAATAAAAATAGTTCAGTTTGCTACAACTGAAAATATTATTCAGTATTTGATTATTCAATTTTACAAAAAACATTTTTTGAAAAAGGAACGACCACATTGCACCATTCTAATGAATTCCATACGTGATTTGTTAGTACAAAAACTTCTTGGATACAAGCAACTGTTACATTCACCAAAAATTTAAAAACGATTAAAATTTAAATTTATATAAAAAGTTATTAGTTGTAATCTAAATAGAAAAAGGCTTTTATCAACTGAAGTAAAGTATCACTGTATCAACTAAATATTAAAACCAGTAAAAACGTGGTATCACAGTATAAGCACAGAAAACCTACTACTATAACCCAGAATGTCAACCGCATGGTAAAAAGCGTTAAGTACTCGGAGAGAGCTTTGCCTAGGAATTGACAGACAAAGCTCTTTCCGAGTACTTAACGCTTTTTACCATGTGGTTGGCATTCTGGGTTATAGTAGTAGGTTTTCTGTGGTATAAGATGGTGATAAAAACATCGTAGAAGGAAATGCTCACAGTGAAGAACTGTTGGTTTAATCAAGTTTTATCATTTTAAAATGGAGAACTGAGCCTATAACAGTCTGGTACATGTGCATCCTTTGAAGGGATAAAACATCCACAGTAAAAAACTGGCATGGTACTAATTGTATCCAACTTAACTATAACTAAAGCTGCAATTGGCCATTTAAAACACTAAGTTGGTATCCGAACTAGACCTTTGTCATCCATTCTTAACTGTATTATGTACACCGTCTCCAAAACGCAGTTGACAATTTTTATCAAGAATAAATTAATAGAATCTTCTTTTAAATTCTTATTGACTAAACATACCTTGCTTTTCACTCCTTGTTCTTTTCCACCATCTACAAACTCTGGTGTCACCGATTCGTCCTCTGGGCACTGTTCCTAGAAAACGTTCATAATACCAAATTATTATCAAATAATCGGTTAGAACCTTGCACATCTTATAAAGATATGATATATAACCTACATGTTTAAAAGCATTATATATTGTTCATCAACAATTTTCAAAAATTTGAACAAAAGCTTCTACAGTCATCTTTAGAGCATTAATGGAGCAATACTACTGAAGTAGGATGCATAAGAGGAAATAGTAATTCATTACTGAAGACGAAATTGTTACCTACATTTAAGACTAAAATTTAACCCCACCATGTTAATGATGTGATAACGTGGTTGTACCTCAAAGCCCACAAAATTGGATTAACTATCCTTAAAACTATAAATGTATTGTAAACATTTAATTAAAGGAATTTAAGGATACCAATAGTCTAAAGGAGCTCAAATAAACCTTATTCGCTACCATTCATCATGTGCCAGTCATGTGTCGCTAAATATGATTTTGATGAACATTAACAAAACAATGCTCGCAATATTTGTTGTTTCATACAATGTGTTCAATTGTTTGCCATGTAACTTAGTAAACTGATTAAAACAATCAAAAAAGATTTTCAGCAAATTATAAATGCTAACACTAAAGAAATTTGTTACTTCTATAGAGACATAGAACTGACAACAATTCCATGATAAGCCAAGAAGAAATACTTGAGAACAAATTGTTTGGTCATGTTGTGCAATTCAATGTAACAGGGAGAAACGAAATTCCTTTCAATTTCTTTCATCCAATAATGTTGCAACAACACTAGCGTCAATACATACCAACATCGCAGTGTCCTCGAGTGTAAGGATGTGATTGTCCAAACTGTACGACTCTGACTCATGTCCAGTAAGGTTCGGCAGAATCATTTGTATCGGCTGATCTTTGCTTATCTGGTAAACACCAATATCATCAGGAAACACAAGATTGTGAATAATGGCCTGTTAATTGTAGATTAAACATTGTTTTTATTTTTTATTAATCAGCCACTAGTTTATTTACTATTCTACAACTGCAGAGTAGTCCTAAATCCTAATCCTACCGCAATGAAACTGAAATGTAGCTTTTCAATAGGCGAAAAAGAACACACAATTAAGGAAAAAGAAAATATTATCGAAATAAAAACTTGATTGTCAATAATGATTTCAAACATTAATTTCATTTTTAAAACGTTTTTATTAGCTCGCTTTCTTGTCCGGTACAAATTTCGAAATCAATTTTACACTAACTTCCTGATGAGCTAGAGACTTGAAACTTGAAACATAGCTCACAAATGGAAGACAATGCAATATTATATCATTTAATTTTCATATTTCCCTTGGACTACGCCCCATGGACTTGTTTCTATTAGCTCGCTTTCCTAAAAATTTTGATATCAATTTTAAACGAAGTTCCCGATGAGCTAGAGACTTGAAACTTGAAACATAGCTCACAAATGGATGACAATGCAATATTAAATCATTTAATTTTCATATTTCCCTTGGGCTACGCCCTTTTGGCTTCCAAATTTTCCATGTTTACATTTAAAAGAATATAAACATATAAATTAATTTAAGTCAGCTGTAAACACTTAAATTTGACAGTTAGAAGAGCAGAGGTTAAGAGGTACAGGTTCTGCTCCCGAGATATTCTAAAAATATAGGTATTTACTCAGGGGAGGTATAGAAGAGGCTACGATGACAGCTGAGGGCTTCTTATTAGCTGAGGGAACGCCATTACCGTAACAAAACTTTCGATTGCCATCGGGCCTCGGTAGTCTAATGGTTAGCGTGCCGGGCTGATATACTGTAGGTCCCGGGTTCGAATCCCGCTAGTAGCATTAACTTTTTGTCCAAGATTTTTTTTATTATCAGCAAGTTTGGTTGGATTGGTTTGGTTATTACAGTTTAATTTTATAATTAAGTCACTATAAAATTTTAATTGAGCAATTTATAGTTTTATTTAATAAACAGAATTATTTTTCCGACTACTAAACTCTTGTTATATTATTTCTTTATCAGCAAGTTTGGTTAGTTCGGTTAGGTTATGATAGTTTAATATTATAATTTAAAAATAGTAAAATTGAATTTGAGGCATTTATAATTTTATTTTATAAGCAGAACTATTTTTGCGATTAGTAAATCTTCATTGCCAAAGTGCTCTCTACTACAGCGCTGTTCACGGAGGAATTTTGAACTAAATGCCTCATTTGTACCTCCCCTAAGTCAGACCCAAAAATATAAAACAATCATTTCAAAGTAAAGATAAAACATCTGATTACAGATAATAAGGTTTTGGGTTTTGGTTATGTATTAAGAGGCTATATAAAATAGATTTAACATATTTATTATTTACACATTAAAGACTAAATACTCCCGCCGCAGCAAACCTGCAGACTAAGCGAATTTCCATTTGACTGATTGGATTTACACTGAAATGTCTACTTAAAAATATAACATTTATTCCCGATTTAAATAGAATTAGTTTAACAAGTACTTAAGTTTGCTGCATCAGGGAGGGTAAAACTGTTTTTTTTTTGTAAAATGTTAATAGTTAGTAAGAAATAAAAACATTTTCCAAATTTGATCAAAATATGTCCATAAACAAGCAAACTACAACAGTTTACAATATTCTCCATAAGAATAACATGGGAATTTTAAATTTACAATTTTTTTAATTTTCTCCGTTACTATTAACCGAACAAAAATACTTTTATATACTAAATTAATTGTTTTTTTAAGCTCTTTAAAAAGGTCTAAAGAGAAATTGGGAAATTTTGTGTTTTGAGGGTCAAAAGTGAGAAAAACCAATTTTTACCCCATAAAACCCCCCGTAAAGCCCCGTTCCCATGGTCCGATCAAGCTGATTCGCAAACTCATTCAAGTTTATCCCGCTTTACACCTTTAAACCAAATTTCATCAAAATCGGACAAAAATTACTCAAGTTATCGCGTTCACGGACGTATATATATATATATATATATAATACACGGCCGCGCCCGGGAAGCCAGTCACATGAAATATACACTGGAAGTCAGTCAGTTGCACCCCCCAATATATTTCAAGACTATGATATATATATAATATATATTGGTAAATATCTTAAGCCTAGACATATCTGAACGTATATATCTCTTTTTTTCTTAAAAATACTAAAATATAATTACGTAAAAATTGCTATGCTAATGCAGTCACCACCGCATTTGCATGGGAAAGCCAGTCACGTAAAATTTGTGCTGCTAAGCCAGTCACTATATATTTTACCACATACCACACCACTGGAATCCAGTCACTGAAAATCCACCGGGTGTCCCGTCACTTCAGTCAATTTCACCCCTGCCCTTCTACTTTGTACTATTTATTTCTTCTACAAGCTTGAAAATACACACCTCAAACAAACGGATTATGCTTCATAATACCGGATTATGCATTGAGCACTCTCATAACCAATCTTTCGCACTTCATTTTAATTAGTTGTCTTCCAGATTACTTAACAAAGAATTACTATTCTACAGATTAAATACCTAAATGCCAATGTAATCTTTGGTCGTCTTATAATGGTCGTCCTGCCAACTGTGGATACAAATATGTAACGAGCTAATTCGCAAGCGCAAGGTGGGAAGTTATTGCTTTATAGTAGCACAAGTAGGCCTATTGTTGAGTCCTTGGAGGCAAGCGGCCATCTTGGATAATTTCAAATAGCTGCAAAATTATCTTCCAAAAATATTTTTTCAAACACCAAAGTGATGATTATAATTTAATAGCTAGTATACTGTGGGATTAGAAATGTTCTTAGTAGTTTTGAGTTATTCTCTAAGGGAGTCCATAAAAGCTAATGGTCACGGTCATCTTGGACAAAGGCCAACTAATACGAAAACAATATCCTTTTTGTGCGGGCCGTAGCACATAGATAGTTTTCCCGCCTCAAACAATCGAAGGCGCGTGGAACAAGGCAAAATTCTTGTCTCTCTTGTGACGAGAGGTAGGGGCGAGCCTAACGGGTTCCATTGATGTGCTACCCGGCTACCGACCGACCTGGGGTAGCGACTAGCGAGCCACTGGATGTTTGAAGGTTCGGCTGGTTATTTCCAACTTGCTGGTTCTCGAGCTTACTGAGCTCGTTGTACAGTGAAATCTTACTTCCCTATTTTATATAGCCACAATCAAATCGATATTTACAAGAAAGAATGAAGATATAGACTCAGTGATGTGTGGTTACTTAATCAAATTATGTTCCTTGATTGTTTATCCTTTTATAAGAGACAATAATCAATCAACTTATATTTTCTTTATTTTTCGATTTATTATCTATATAAATTCAAGAGGTAGCCCTGTACCTGGTTAACACATATATCGATTACTTTTAACGTGTTTTCTTTGAGTTACGCCCTATGGGATTCCAAAGTTTCACAATGTTTACATTTTTGAAGAATGTAGATAACAGAATGTTAAATGAATTTAGCTGTAAATGCAGTGCTTTGATTTTACGGTCCAAAAGGTAGAAACAATTCGAATTGTGAAACTTTTAATTTTTGCTACGAGCCTGTTAATTGGAGATTGTGACTTTCTTAATTTAAGGAAGTAAACGTATTAACATGACGTGTTTGGAGTGGGATTTGAAATATGTGACGTGTATCAAACTTTTTCTCTTCAAAATCCTATCCGATGTAAAACACGGGTGCGGCAGCTAGGTTTATTAGAATTCAAAATTTTTTATGATTAAAATTGTGCTCCAATGTTTTGAAGTTATTTTCCGAACAAGTTGTTTAATAAATAAATAACTGTTTTGCCAAATTATGTTTTGAAACCAGGAACTAAAAGTAGATCAGGAAATAGATATTTTAGTTCAGAAAACAAAGCCAATCAAATAGGCCTACGTACTTTTTAAATAAAAACACTGGTCGGGTGGTTTGTAGCTTTGTTGTTTATTTACTTCAATAAATTTCTAATGAAAATCACCACAGGTACTAATCTATATAAATAAAATTAGAGTTTTGTCTGTACATTGCTCAGAATCATCAATTTTTAGGTTATTTTTACCTTTTATACATTCAAGAATCCAAAACAAGTCTCATCTCAATTATTCCGTTATTATCTCAATTATCAATTATTATCTCAATTCCGTTGTTGTCTGTCTTCCGACTGTCACGGCCCAAAAGCCATTTTACGCGGCCTTCTCCTGAAAAACGAGAGTAAAGATCCGAATCGTTTTAATGTATTCACTGGATTGGCGAAAGTGTCTTAAGCTATTAAAATATGGCCTCACTACTTTTTAAAAAAACTTACGGACGTTTAAAAACCCAATTTTGTGCGATTTTTGTCAAGTTTTCTCACAATGTTTATCACATAATCATCTATGAAATAGCGAACGGCTGCTCGGATCAAGATTATTTTTCTCTAGCTGTCACTGATATGTTTACATTGAATGTTGTTTACAAATACTGCAATCATTTCCGATCACGTTTTAAAAGCAAATAAAAAACCAAGTTGGTTTAAAACAGTTTTTCCTTACATAACGGATTTAATTAAACGCAAGTGCAATAATGTGTAGGGTAACCGTAAATAAAAACAGAGCTATTTTGTGTATAACATTTTTATTTAGTTTTAATAACCGGGGAAAAGACCTTGAATCAGTGTTCTATGGCTGGGAAACTTAAATTTTTTACATAAGCGTTACCAATAGCTTACATAAAAGGTTTCAACTCACTGACGGCACTTCAATGGTGGTTGTGTAAAGTGTAAAGTGACAACTGCAGTGGGTGATTGTAACAGAGGTTTACGGATTATGCTCAAATCGCTTTTCCAATGTGTCTTCTCAACGCTATGTGTTGCTCGCTGGACCATAGAGCCAATATACCAATTGCCCATCTCTTGGGTTCGTAGGCCTAAACAATTATTTATAAGTTGGTAGCGCA